TATAGGGGCTAGAAGACTCAATTTTATCAAGCCACCCTCTCCCCTTTTCCTTCACTTTCTTCCATTTATCTAGTTTGGTGAAATTTCTCTAGCCTGAACCCATAGGCACGCAGCTTTTTGGGGTTCCAAGGTCCTCAAGCAGCTGGACTCTTCATGTGGGTGAGGTGCCACCCACTTTTGCTGGTTTGGCTTTGAACTGGTTTTAACAGAGCACGACGATGGATATTTTATAAAATGCTGGGTTGGGCTGTTTTGTTTCCAGCGGTTTGTGAGTTCCCTTTGATTTCATCAGACTGTTGGAAGCTTTGGCTAATGTGGGATTTTTTATGGGCTATGGCTATTGGACATTTTTTTAAAGATGTTTGGGCCTTTTCTTAAGGTGATGGGCTATTGGGTTTTCTCTCTTGCTTGCCCATATATTTGGACTCAAGGAATGGGTTTCAGTTTTGGTGCTCTCAAGTAGCCCAAAACTTCCACTCCTTGGACCATCAATGGGCCTCGTGAATACTCTTAACCATCCATACCACAACCCGCTCAGCAAGCCCCAGGCATTAACATGGCTTGGGCCCACTTAAGCTTGTAGCGTGGCATGTTGCTTATTTGCTTGGCGTGGCATGTGTGCAAAGCGTATATGACGAACTTTCGCGTGCCCAAATCGGCTTTCTTCTTGATAGCCCATGCGTGCTATGAACACGACGTGCTGGGAGTTGAGAACCCACGCGTGCAAAGAGGGGAAAACCCATCGTGTGACTGAAAACTGCTAGCCCATGCGTGCAATGTATATATATATATATATTTTTTCTTCAATTACAACTGCTCACTCAGCATACAAAAACGGAATGGATATCTGGGATCTCATTCCTGTTTCCTATTTCAAATTTCCGATTCCACTTTCCCCTCACTAGCTATCAACAAATGCTCTCTTGCTCTGTGGTAAGCCTAACAAATTTTTCTTTCTTAGTTGGTTTTTTTGTGTGCACTTTATGTGTTTCATATTTAGTTTCAGAGTGGTTTGTATTCAGTGAATTGGGGATTGAATTTTGTTCTTCTTTGTGTGGTTGAAATTTGTTGAAATTTGCTATTCTTCATTCCTGTTTTTCCTCTTAATTTTTTTAGGTCCACATTCGGTTTACTTCTCTTGGTTGATGAATTTCTAGATTATTGGACAATCTTTTCTGTATCTGTGCTTGGGTGGTTCAATAACCATTTCTATTTCAATTCTGCTTTGGCTCTGTATAGATGTACAGTGCCCTTAGTTTCACACAAAATAGGTCAATCACTACTTCTGAATCATATTTGTATTTTTTCAATGTTCGCATACTGAATGCTTATTCTTACAAATTTATTGTATGACAGCTTCAAGCAATATCAAGGACCAAGGAAAGAAATTCAAGAATGAGGCAGTGCGTTGTTCAACTACCAATTTCAGGGGTTAAGTATTGGGTTGTTCAATTAGTGTATTCAGATACCACCCTCTCTTTTTTACATTGGTATGCTGATTGTGTTTGACACTAGGTGTTGTGAGAATACAATTTTAGGTCAGTAATTTCCTCTTTCTATTTCTGTCTTTTTGGAGGACGCAGGTGACAAAGGAAAAAAACAAAATCGAAGAAGAGGGCTTTGGCATTTAATTTTTAAGCTTCCTCTCCACAAAACACCTTTCGTAATTCCCCTTATTAATTTTGTGCTGTTTCTGACTGGAATGCGTGTTGGTTTTTATTTATGTTGAAATCCCTAATAACAATTAACAACTATGAATTTTTCTCTTTGTTTATATATTGGTTTTTGATGATATTTAGGGGTGGTTTGCTTATTTTTTTATGTTCATATTTCTGTAGTTGTACTTTTTGCGTAGTTAGCCAATAGATAGGTGCAATGCATATCAAGAAATTTGTTTTTCTGCATATTGTTGGTTCGTTATGCAGAATTTTGGTTTTTGCATATTATTTGGTTTTTACATTTCTGTGACATTTGGGTGTTTAGTTGTGAAGAACTATAACATTGATGCATGTCAAATTCTGATGCGTAGACTAAAACCCAGTGTTAAGTCTACATAGCACACAAGCACACTTCACCGGATTCTCTGCCTATAGTGTCTTATTTGTTTTTTTCTTTTACATGTCTGTTTATTTACAATCTGTATTAGTTTCTCCTATCTTTCTGTTTTTTGTTGTTGCATCTTTCAGTAAAAGATTGACGTCTTTTTTTGCATTTCTTTTATGTTAGGAATCAGATTATGTTTTGATTTTTTGTTTCTTTTCCTCTTTTCTCAAGGAATACTTTTGGTAGAGGAATTAAAAGCTTCATGAGGATCATGTGCCTGGACTTCAACAGTCTCCTTCAATTTTTGTTGCTCTTCTTATGATGTGTTTTTTCTTGGTGCTGGTATAACTAAAAACCGTTTGTGCTCAGATAAAGGACGTAGTGTTCAAACTCAGAAAGAGAGAAGATTTAAATTCGTATAGGAGGGATAATGTTCAAGCTATTTACCAGGTTATTATTTCAAATCCTATCTCTTTTTTGTCATCACACGTGCTCTTCCGAGTTTTAAATTGTTTGTTAGGATTTTTGAATTTGGGTGTTTGATTTCTGAATTTTAATCTTCTATATTTTGGCTAATTTTGTCTTGGTTTCTCTCTGTCTCTTTCATTCTTATGTTTCATTTTGTCAAGTAAACATTTTCTCTATGATTTTCTTATGTTTCATTTCGGAATTTTAACTATGTTTATATAAGGATGTTGAAACTTTCTTATATTCATTCATGTGACAGCAAACGAAGATCACATTTATTACAGTACAACATGAAGAGAAGGCTCATAATTTTTGCGTGTATTTACTCCTAGAGCTCAGGCATGCAACCAACAATATCAGTAGACTGCTTAAAATTGGAGAAGGTGGATTTGGGAATGAATGTTTATAAAGGTTCAATGAAGCCTTGCTGGTGCCAAGAGTGATCCAATCGCGGTCCCCATTAGAATGCTTAACAATGATGGCTTACAGGTATATATGGGGTTTAAGCATCTTCCTATTAATTGAATTGTTAAACAATGTCCTCAAGAGTTTTTTTCCTTCTTTTTTTCCATTATTAGTTTACATGCTTCACACACTTTTGTTGATTTATTCTCCTTGAATATATAAGCTCATAGTTAAACTACTATATGAAATATTGTTAATTGAGTTGTGAGTCTTCTGGCTCTTATCTCTTGACATTTCTGTTCAGTCTCTTTCTATGACAACTTTTTAATTTTCTTTTAAATTGAATTTGATGCTATTCTGTGGAACATTTCTTATGATTTTTTTTATTTGAGTATGTGTATATATTGCAAGAGAGAATGCCTAGAGTAAGTGATTTCTCTTAGCATATTTGTACAAACCTATTTTCCATAGTTTAGTTTATCTTGGTTACCAAAACTGCTGTTGGATACTCACTTTAAATGTGGCATGCTTCAACCAATTTAGATGTTGCGTGTATCCCACCACCCGAACCAATTTATATGTTGATACTCAACATCATTGCCATGCACATATATAATAGGTAAAGTTTCATCGTTCTCTTTTATTTTTCTGACTTTTTAGAATGATTGGTTTTGTTAATGTTTTTTGTCTTTGGTTTTATCTAAGAGGATGCACAAAGTTGGCAAGTCGTGATGCCACTGCAGAGTACCCAAAGAGAGTAGAGTGGATGGCGGAGATACTAATTTTTCTACTTAGGATATCAATTATTGATAAAAGGTGAGAGTCTGTAGTATTTTCTTTTTATTTAGCTTGGTATGTCAAATTGTTTGCCACAACGCCATTGGAGTTGGATGTTTATTAATTCTTTGCATTTCAAAATTGGCTACACGTTTTTTTTCTTCTTCTTTTCTTACCTCCATTGGAGATGTTCCTATTAATTTTGGATGGTATTGATGTCACTTTCATCATATCCACTTCAAATTTACTTTTGTTTTAATCAATTGTTCAAAGTTAAAGCAATAACACCAGTTAAATCGCCTTAATTCCTAAAATTCTTTAAACTAGCCTCTCTGCATGCGCGGAAACGGGTGCGAGAAGCTTTTTCTTAATCACACACACTATGGGCAACTTACAAATTTTTTATTTTTTTTGTTTTTGCAATTGTATCTTGCTAGATGTCTGTTTCAACAATTTCTTTATTTTAATCACGTGTATAAATTGTTGAGACGTACATCAAGTAAGATACAATTGCAAAACATAAAATGGACATCTAGAAAAATACAGGCGATAAAGGAAAACTTTTAGGATGACAATTTATCACACGCGCGCGATTAAAATATGAAATTGTTGAAATTGACATTTATATAAATATAATTGCGAAAAAATATTTACAAAACTTTATAAGTCGTGTGTAGCGCGTGTGATTAAATAAAAGCCTCTCGCACTGCGGATTGATGACAAAACATATCATCGATATTAGACAATTGTTACGCATTTCACTCAATTTATCGTATACACAATGCATTATTGAAGACAAAAATTTAGGTAATCTAGACTTCAGTCAAATATTTAATAAAATTTTCATTTCTATCCATAGATTCGATATATTATAGTGTTATACTAGCCTCCCTGCACGCTCTTGCGAGAGGCTTTTTTTTAATCACGCGCGCTAGAAAGATATGAACGTCTAGAAAGATATGGGCAATAAAGGAAAAATTTTAAGATGACGATTTATCACACGTGCTCGATTAAAATGTTAAACTGTTGAAACAGACATCTATATAAATACAATTGCGAACAAATATTTACGAAATATTGAAAGTCGCGCGTAGCGTGTGTGATTAAAAAAAAGCCTCTCGCACACGCGGAAGCGCGTGCAGGGAGGCTAGTGGAAATTATGGAAAGTAGCCTCTATATATACTTTATACAACGTGTAACTTAAAATCATATCCCACACAATTCATTCCCATGCAATTCTCCAAATCCATAAATTAATTTATACAAATACCTCCTCCAATAGCAATTAAACCCATTCAACCCAACCCATGGCTGATCATCCCCTTGTTCTGCAGATACATCCACCACAACCGCACCTTCAGCGCTCCTCGAGCACGGAGCTGGGTTCAGAACTAGCAAATTCATCATCAACAACGCCACCAGCAAACCCCATCGCAACAAATCTTGAACAGTTGGTGTTGCAAATTGGACAATCATCGACAGCGCCACCACAGCATGAAGATATTTTAAACCTCAAGGTAGGTAAGCCAATTTTGCTACACAGTACACATAAACTCCTTAACACCACCACCAAACCCACCACCACCACCACCACCAAAGCCAGAAAACCAAAACCATGATCTCCCTGCACCATCTGATGATCAGAAACAGCAACTGAATGCCATTTTGTTACACAATCAAACCCAGCTGTTCATAAAATGAAGATTAATAAAAACCGAAAACTAAGCACTGCAAGAAGCCTTGCAAACCTTTTACCCACTGGCACAGTTCTTGCCTTCCAAGCCCTCACACCTTCTATTTCCTACAACGGCCGATGCCACACGTTCAACCAGTACCTTGTGGCATTTGTCATACTAGTTTGTTCTGTCATATGTTTTGTGTCATCCTTCATTGATAGCCTGCCATGGGAAGGCAAAGTATACTACGGCTTCGCCACATCCAAGGGTCTTTGTGTTTTGAACGATGACGATCACGAGATTGATAAAAACGACGACATTCAGCAGGAGTTGAATGTTGGGAAAACAACAATCAGTGACTAATTAAAATAATTATATAAACAGAATTTATAACAAACTGTAATACAGAATATAGTATATAAATAATAAATGAAACTGACTTGGATTCGAGAGAGAGGCTTGCAGATTTGATGTAATGTCCTAAACACAGTAATTTTGCCCCTTCTCGGTGCTTGAAGTTCTACAGGTGATTGCCTCTCAGGATTCAATTATCTGTATTCTAAGCCCTAGCACTCGGACTTAGAATTTGGCGAACGTTGTTTGTTTTCCTCTCAGACAAGATGAAATGCTTGTAGAATGCTTTTTACTGTATCAAATGAATGAGGCTTTATTTGATTTAAATAAACTTCTGAAACTTTATCAGAAGAGTCACAACTGTTAGAAAATAATTAATAAAACTAATCCTAATTAATAAAAAATTATTAATTCGAAACCAAAAATAATAATTTTAAATCTAATTTTTGACCATTAAATATTATATAATTTTATATAATATTCAAAGCCCAAATTGTTTTTGAAGCCCAACTTGCTTCCACTTGACCCACTTCCATTTAATAAATGTGGGACTTCCCCACTTATAAAGACCTCACTCTTTCTACTTTCTACTAATGTGGGACGAAGGTTCTTGAATTTCATTCAAACTTCCAACATTGAAGAAGTTGCACGTCAAACCTAAAGACTTTATTCATGTGTTTGTGTCGGTGTTTGTGTTCCTGATCTTTGCTCTTAGCAGCTCAGAAGTGCAAGGCTGCTACTTTCCTAAATCAAGAGAGTTGGAATATTCACTCGTCATATATTTGCCTTTAGTGGTTAGCCTTTTCTCAAGTTTCTTGTTCTCCATTTTTCCGACTAAACGCAGAGGGATTGGCTGTGTATGAACGATCATGTAATTCACCAATATATATATATATATATATATATAAAGTGCGAATGTCCTTATTGAAGAATATATATATATATATATTAAGGAGGTAACAATTTGATCCCTATCTATTTACCCGAAATCTGCTAGCACTCGAAAGATCAGGAGATTGTATTAAGGGCCAGTTTGGATTACTATGCTGTGAAAATAATCGTTGTCAAATTTGTTGTGAGAGAACGCAGTTTGGCATTTGGTAAACTTTTTATTAAAAGTGTTGTTGATCTTGATTCCCGCATAATCAGAAAATGATTGCCGCATAATCATTAAACCCAACGCCTCTTTGAAACTGATTCCTGCATAATCAGAAAATGAAAGCACCTCATTAGCGGATTTTCCTTATAGCTTTCTCTCATAGCAATTTTTAAGAATAAGTGATTTTATTATAGTTTACCAAACGGACTGGGCTTTCCAAATTTTTTTAAAAATTACTTACCATCCCAAATAAGCAATGTCAAACTGGCACTAATTGATTGTGATCATACCACTACTCCTACTCAATAGATAAATAAAAAGGGAACTTGCACCTCAAGTAACCAGATTCATTGTTTTTTATGCCTTCATTGGTAAGCACTTTAATATTTTCGGGGAAAAAAAAAGGAGATAAGAACTTTAATATTTATCTAATGCAAACAAAATCAAGGGAGTCAGACTGAATCTGGAATGTAACAACATGATCAAAACTATAAGCATATTATCAATTTCAAATGGTTATAACAATGAAAATAGCAAAACTATTAATAAAGTAAATTAAATGACAAAACTAAGATCGGGCCGAAGGGTTGTCAATTCGGACATTCTGGAATCGCCAAAACTATCAAGAATCACGATTGAGATTAATCATCACCCCGAAATTATACAAATGTAAAGTTGTGCATAACAATCTTCGGGAAAGATGGATGTAACTTGCAGGAGTTGTCAACTTCAAATCTCAATATCAAAAGCAAAACACTGTTTGCAAATTGTGTGATCAATGGGATTTGTTGAAATTTGTTGGAAATCAATTGTGTACGTAGAGATCCTCAACTATTCTTTTGACTTGCTTAAATACTTGACAAAACCCTAACTTGAACATGAATCTAACTTTTCTTGGCAACTAGGACTACTTGGCCACACTGGACTAATGAGGCCCCAGCTATGAGTACCCCCCCTTCTCTAGTAACAAAAGCCGCTACCTCATGGTCCGCGCGATTACCCCACCATTTTGTAAACGAGAAACAAACTTGTTCCAACCTTCGTGTTAATTGCTTGATGTCAAAGATAATACTCTCCACTTTTACGTCCACCGTTTCTTCCCCTCTCACCATGCCAATAATCATCGTGGAGCACCACACGACTATGCTACTTTTCAATGCATGCCATGAAAGTCACGTGAATTTCCTCTGCCTCCACCATGAGCACAAACAACATTTGAGATCTCCAAACCCGTATTCATCCCACACCCTCTCACAGAGTTTGTGCTCTCCATGCCCCATCTCAATTGGCCTTGTTGATGCTCTTTTTGGGAGGGTCAACTTAGGTAGAGGAGTGTTGGATCTTCAACAGAGTGAGAGGTTTATGAACCTTTGGCACAGAGGCACCCTGTAGAAGGAGATAAGGAAGAAGCAATTGTCAAGCTTCGGGCGCCGGTATGGTACTTGCCGAAGCCTATCCAATGCTTAAGTCAACAAGTGTATGTGGTAATTTCGGCTGAGTAATAGTGAAGGTAAAAAGTAGTTACCTCATTTTGGGGACTCGTGCCCCTTTTTATAGAGAGGTAGAAGTGGGAGTTTGCACAAAGTTTAAATATGGGACTTTGTGTAAGTTGTTGTGGTGGTGACACGTGTCTGCGGGTTAGGTTATGTAGATGAGGACTTTAGCAAATATCTTCGACAGGCAGTTGTTGCATCGGAGGGGGGCGTTATGGCGTCGTCGATGTTATCTTCGGCAGGCTTGTAAGTCTATCTGTGCTTCAATTCCCAGTGCCGAATACTTGGTTGAATATAGTATAAACATGCTTTTAACATACCATCCTGTGGTTTTTTTTTCCATGGCAGCCCTTGATTCTGTCCTTGGTCCTGTGGTAGTGGTTGTCCAATATGCACTTGCGTTGGCACTCATTCAACACAGCAGCAAGAATCCCAGCAAGAACAGGAACGGCTCAAGACTTTTGTTCTCTCTCAGAATCTGTTTCAGCTCTCTCTTTATGATGAGATTAGGGTTACAGAATGTGTTTGACAAGAGTAGGACAAATTATAGAGTGATACGGTATCACCACGTCAGCTGGTGATACTCCCACTCAAAATCTAACACGTATCAATTTTCAAAGTAAATTTAAAAACAATTACACCTGGACTTTGTCTTCCAAGTATACCCTTTGTAAGGGACTTTTTCTTCCGACAGCTGTGAGTGGGCTGGGCTGCCGTAAAGGGCAGACTGATGGAATTGTCCCCTTTGTTTGAGTTCGAAAATTAAGCCCTAAAAATGCTTCGAAAGGGCAGTATGTATTTTGGTTACCTTCACTAGCCAAAACGATAGTAGCTTACAGGCAATTTCTTCATGCTTACAGATAAACTCTTAAGCTCAGCGTGAGTGGCATGTGGCATGGAAGCAAAATCAACATGAGTTTAGCACTAAGAGAAAATTTAGGCTTGCTTTGAGGGAAAATGAAGTGTTAGGGTAAGAAATGAGAAGTTTCGTGAGAGATTTGGCTAAAAAAGAGGAAATAGAGAATAGAGTTCTTCCGGCAGCTCGACAGATGCTCTGTCTGCCAGAAGAGAAGAATGGAGAAGAAAGGTGAATAGTGCACGAGGTTGCTGGGTTTTTGCAAGTCAGAGAGAAAGCTTGCTCTCCGAATATGAGTTGGTTTAGTTGGGCAGAAGAGGCCCCATTTTATAGTTGTTGGAAATCATAGTTTCCCAAGAAACCCTAATGGTTTCTACCCTTTTTGGCCAAGCTTTTCCTTCCCTTTCTCCTCTCCTCCCTTGACTTTACACAAAACCAGGAATTTTGGGAGCTCAAAGCCCCTTTTCCCCGCAGCTGCTCAGTGGGAGCCTCCAATCTTAGCTATTTTTCTTCTTCTTTCCTTCCTCCTTCCCTGGCCAAATCTGACGAAGGAAAGCAAATGGATATACATGCTGGTTTGAAGAGTGCTTCTCCTCCTGGAAGCTTACGTGCTAACATCCCTTGGTCCCTTGGATGTTTTGTGCTTGGAACTTGTTCCTTCCCAGCAACTCTGCATATGTGACCATCTTGCTTCTTTCGTGGCTTCTATTTTTTCAGCAAAGGGCTAAGGCTTTGTGGCTTATTTTGAAGTTTTGTATGGGCCAAGGTCGTTCCTTAAGAAAGTGGGCTATTTTTGTTAAACGTTGGGATTTTTTAGTTGTGTCAATAGGCTATTTTGCTTGGGTTATTGGGCTATTTCTCTCTCTTGTGCTTACCCACATGTTTGAGCCTAAGAAATGGGCTTGAGTCTCGAGACTCCCAAGCAACCCGAGACTTTCCATTTATCGGCCCATCAATGGGCCTCATGTTGATTTATTACCATCCATACCACAACCCACTCTAGCAAGCCCCGGGTATTTGAGTGGCTTGGGCCCACTTAGGCTTGTAGCGTGGTTGGGTGTGAGATAACAATTTCGTGCTTGGCATGGCATGTTGTTTGGCATGTTTTAATTTTATCATCCTTGGGAAGGATTTAATTTCGGCATGGGCTTGTAGAGCTGGTATATTTTATCTCAACTCCTAGCATGAAGGATTATTTACTTAGCATGTCACGTGAACTGCAACTCGCATGTGACAGGTTTTCGTATACTCCGTTTTATGCCTTTTCTTAATAGAGTGTCGTTTTGGGCCGATAATTTATTCAGGCCCAGCCATGGATTTTTTGGGCCTCAACATTAGCCCCCTTAATTATAAGGGCCATGAACAGTTGCAGGAATGGGCCGAATAATTAAACCCAACCCAAAAAATCAGATTTGTATTTGTAAGGAACTTCTCCTCTCCCCGCGTGCAAAATGACGGTGCGTCATGATTGGCCCCAGTGATTATTTGCAGTTTCCCAACGCCAATCGCCTTCTGCTTTTTTATTTTTATTTTTCCCTTTCTTTCTCTTTTCACATACCAGACCCAGAACTTCTCTTCAACTCTCCTCTCTTCGTTCTTCTTCGCTCTTCCACGAACTCAGACCAAGTGAGAGAATAAAATTAGGCAGAAATCATCCACCTTCAGCCGCTGGGAAGGAGCCCAAATCGAACCTGACCCCGTCGTTCCATCTTCGTTCGAAAGGAGCCCGTTCATCATTGTTGGAAGGGTTTTCTCCTGTGCGGGTTTCTTCTCCAAATCCCCAATTTTCCTCTCCTTCTTGGTGCGTTCAAGACCATCCCTTGGGAGATTCAGCAAGGTATGATTTTTCTCTTGTTTTTCCTTAGATTTATTGGAGAATTTGTTGGGTTCCTCATATCCATGGATGTTGCTTTTCATTTTGGTAGCCAAGTACCAAACCCCCTTTGACCCATCTCGTTTCCGCTGCAACAAGAGTGCTCACAGAGTGGGTACTAGCAAGGAAGGGCCCGCGCTATTTTCTGAGTTTCTTTCTTCTTTGATTTGCTAGAGTTGCTGGAAAGGTACCAATTTTTGTGAGAGGAAATTGTTGGCTTGGGTTTCTCCCCTGTTCTTTTTCTTTACTTTTACCTTGCATCGATCTCTTCTATGTTTATAAAAAGGCAAGTCTTGGCATGACGTGTTTTCTCTTTTCTTTATTTCTGTGCAGGTGTATACGTCTCAGGCATAAGTGAGGGTAGGTGCTGGAAGCCTTGACGTTTCTGCTGCTGGAACCTTCAACTCCTCCAGCCTTCTAATTTGGATATTTGGGGCTTTTGCTTTAATATTTTGATGAGTAACTTTGCCACTTTGGATATTCTAGGAATAAGCATAGACTAGTGCTTGGCCTAGGCTTACTCCTTTTCTGAACACATGCTTGATTAATTGTAGACTTCGTTCTTGGTTGCGAGAAGTAGGAATGCATGCCTTGCAACGCTTGATTTTTTGTTTTGAAAGAAAGAATCTACTTGTCCTGCTTGTTGATTCACAGGATAAAAATTTCTCTGGTCATGAATTGCATATTTTCTTGAACTCCCTTTTCTTTTGGTATGCAGGGATTTGCCACTCTGTCAAGACTGGTCATGGCGTCTGTTGACCCGTCGCTTACTATGAGGGACCATCTTTATTCCATAGATGACAGATTGAAAATAGGGAGGCCGCCTCCTTTGCTCAAGAGTGCTGATGAAGACATAATCCTTGATGGAGAGCCAGTGCTGGAAGTTACTCTAGTAATTTATCCTACTTCCATATCGAGGTGCTGTATAGAGAGAGACTTATTTCCAGCAGTCCCCTTGTTCTTTCAATATCCATGTGGCACCAGCAAGGGTTGGTCAGAATGGGTTGACCGCGAGTTGAAGGACCCGTCTACCTGTGACATCCTAAACCGGGCAGAGGTGCTGGACGCCATCTTTATTTCTAAAGCTTGTGACATCCATATCGAAGCCAAGATGCTCCGGCATGTGGTTAGGTGATGGAGTACCGAGACACACATCTTCATTTGTTCATGGGGGGAGCTTACTCCCACACTTGAGGACGTAGCCAACATTTTCCATCTCCCAATTTGTGGCAGCCAACATCCTTTCCATATCGTGCTTACTCCGGATGATGAACTAAAGCTTGAGGCCTTACGGAAGGGTGCCCCGTCTTCTCCTAGCACTTCCCCACGATTTACCAATTGGATTCGGTTTTTTTTGGGAGATGTCAACAAGAATGAGCCATGTCGTCTTGTAGTGCTTATATCGTTATGGCTTGAGAGATTTCTCTTCTGTGATTTTTCCCAAAATTGTTTGCATGAGCGGGTGTTTCCTTTGGCCTTAATGATAGCATGTGGCAGCATGCTTCCTCTAGCCCCCATGTTCTTAGGGCACCTATACCGTTCGCTTGACCAAGTTTAGTTTCTTGAGAAAAGGGCGATATGAACCAAGGTTGTAGAAACCAAATTCCAACACTCGCGTGGAGGAGCCGAATGCCTCAGGCATGCCTCTCGAATTTGTTAGTGACCATGAGCGGCATGTTGACATTGAACCGGTATCAAATAACCTTCTTGCTTGTTTTACTTGGTATATACGCGTTGCGTGCTGCATGTTGTGACTTGCAACTCATACCCCGTATTTCTCCCGCAGGTTGTGCCCACCTTTGAGGACACGGCGGGTTGCTCATCGGAGGCTGGCCTTGGCCCTCCTTTTATAGCTATTGACACTGCGCAGACTGTTGGCAAGGTATTTATCGCTTACTTTTCATCTTCCATACTTTAATTTGCTTCCCTTTTCTAATGCCTCCTGTCATTTTGGTTTATTTTCCTTTGCTTATTTTCCCTTCTTCTTTTTTCTCAGGTCGAGAAAATATCACAAGGTGCGGAGAATACACTTCCTACTCCTCCTCTTGGGACGTCCAGCGTAGCTGCTGACACTTCTCTGTACCTTCCAGCAGCTCAGCCGCCTGCTCCTCCTTCCCCAGGAACATCCGACATGGCTGCCAGCACCTCTTCGCAGCTTCCAGCGGTGCTACCCCCTATTCCTCCTTGCTTGGGCACATTCGACACAGTTGTCGGCACCTCTTCACAGCTTCCAGTAGTGCTGCCTCATACTCCTCCTATCCTAGGCACATCCAGCACAGCTGCCGGCACCTCTCCACAACTTCCAGCAGTGCTGCCTCATGGTGAGATCTTTGATGATAGCCATAAGGATGGTGATGCTCCTATCATAGGTACCTTTGAGGGGCATTTATCGGAGAAAAGCATGTCTTGGTAGAATTGGGAGAATTCCTTCATGGCGTTCAAAGCCTTCTTTGATGGTGGTACTAAGTTCCTCCGATCTATCGATGAGCTTCTCCCGCTTTGTCAAAAGTTTGATGGTTATGCACCCTTTCAAGGCGCCTTTTTGTATCCAGAGACAGTTGCGGTTTTGAGAAAATTTATGGATCGCTATGGGAGTTTCATGGAGGTCACCTATATCACATCCTCTTTCTTGAGAGGTGCCGCCTTCCGAGTTCTTGGCTTGGTGATCGATTAGCTTGGCGCGTGGTTCCATTCCCTTGGAGACCATAGGCTGCATGGGTCTTTAGCATGTGTAGTTTTATCTTGCTTTGACGGTAGTTTTTGTTTGGATACTCTAACGACTATGTCGTTATGACTTTGTAATGTAGTGTTGAATCACTGGAGCTTGTATTAATTTTTGAATGCCTGAGTCATGTTGTAATTTGCATGTCCTATATATATATATATTGCTTGGTTGGAAAAATTTATTTTTTGTGAACTGCCTGAGATTTTCTGACAGGTCGAGTATCCTTAAAAACAAGGTACATGCTGCCAATTTTTTTACAGGATTACAAAAGTGTTTGCCCCATTGCCTCTGCATTTTTTTTTCTTCCACAAAGCCCTTCTTATGTGATCTGATTTTTTTTCTTTTCACAGCACCCCAACACATACACTCTCTTCAAATATTGCAAGGACTGGAATGATTTTCCTTGACAGCATGACTTTCTTTTTTTCTTTTCATGATTGGCATATGATATTGCTTGTGCATGGTGCTTGTTAACAGCTTGGGGTTCCATCTAAGTGACTTTGCTTGGTATAATTGCTGCTAAGAGGCTTAGTTTTGTAAAGAAAAGTTTGATTGTCTATTTTTATTTTTTCAGAGAACATGTTTTGTAAAACAGAAGAATGTAAAAGTAAGGAAAGAACTCTTTTTCCTTTTTCGAAAATACTCCATTCTCTTTGCAAATGTCCTCTTACACCTTGGCATGCCATAATGGTGGTGCATTCTACAAAAGTTGTGAAAGCATATGGTGAAAACACAAAGAAGTTCCTCTTTGATATAAATTTGAAATTCCAAAAACAAAAGGATAGGTGCAAAAGCAACTCAGCAGTAGTAAGGCTTTGGGCAACTTTGCATTGATAAATACTCCAATCAAATCACGCCCCCAAGTATGAAAGGGCCAAGGAGTGTGCATGATTTGCAATAGCATGAAAGCTTGTGGCTTAGGTTGGCATGTATTTAGCCTGTGTTGTACAAGGCTGCCATGCTCTGTAGAAATATTTAACAGAGCCACAGCTGCTGCTTTACCTTCATGTGGCTCATAACCCAATTAATTAGAGTGTGATTTGCGGCTCTTATGAGAGGTTACGGCAGCTGTCTCTCGATAATCTTGTGGACCAAATGAAACCCCCAAGTGGTGTTCTTCCAGCATGTCCAATGTGAATACTTCGCTGCTAGAACCATCCTCACATCCATTAGCAAGTGGCCACGGGGTGTTATAACTTGAAGGTTTTGAATATTTACACCAGCAAGCTTCCTCCATATTTCCACAAGTTTTCCAAATATCCTCCAATGGCTTTGGATCATTCTTCCACTGGTGACACAATACGTCGTCATCGAGCAAGTCATCATAGCATGTAATGACAACAACCATCTCCTTTCCCCTTCGTTTTGGCAAGGGGTCTTCGTCAAAAGCTTGGTTCCTAGAGGGTAGCTCAAGAGTTCCGTCATGTATCTCGGCGTGCAAGATTTTCCTCAAAGTTAGACAAGCAGTGGTTAGATGACCCAGAAACTGATGATAACGGCAATACCTAGGATCACACTTTTCTTTTTGGTTGGAACTTTGTAGGGCCTGAGGGGTTCGATTGTACCATGGACAAACATTGTATCAAGAATGGTATGGAATTCTCCATCTTTTCACGCCAGTGGCAAGTACGTCTCCTTGCCTTTTCTTTTGCATGAATTGCAGTCACTGGATGATTTAGCATCCTCATCCAATGTTTGGTGTGCTTCTGTCTCTTCACTCCTCCAAGCTTCTTACCCAGTTAATTTGACTGAAATGCTTGTTTTCCTCACTTCTTCCAGCAGCCGAGAAAATTAATTGATGCCAACATTCTCCACATAAACTCCATAATCTGCCACAATATTGCTAATGTAAATTTCGACAAGCGCCTCCTCATCTTTCTCGTCATAGCAATCCAACGCTAGGTCCCGGAACCTGTGCACAAAGTCCACGGGATCCTCTCCATGTTTTTTGCAAGTGTTGTTGAGTTGAGTGACAGTAACTCTTTCTTCATGCTGGAAATACTTCTTAAAGAACCTGCTTGCCAAATCTTCATAAGAACGAACAGTGCCTGGTGCCAATGTCATATACCATGTGTAAGCACGATCGGTAAGGCTCTTCGAGAATTCTCAAAGCTGGAGATTATAATCTCTAGCATGTGGTCCTAAGGCATCAATGAAATGGTTGACGTCCTCCTTCGGGCTCCATTTCCTTCCGTCAAAAAGGACAAAGCTTGGTGCTTCGTAGCCTTTAGGATATGGCTATTAAAGTAAGCTTGATGGATACAGCGGCTGAGGAAGATACTTCCAATCCTCCTGGCTTTGACTTAGTTCTTTTTCCAGTATTGTAATGACGTCTTCTTGGGTGACAAAGGATGGCCCCCTTCTGTTCAGACCCCTTTCCGGCGACATCAGACTCATCTTGTGGAAGTCTCTTATTTTCTTCGCTTGGCTTAGCAGCTGAACTTTTCAGCTCTTTGATTGTCTCTGCCATCTCCCTTTGATTCTCTCCCATTGCATGGATGGCTGCAAAAAGGTCTGTGAGAGTGAAAGTTCCCTCACTTGTACGTTCTTCTTCTCTAGATGAGGCATGTTGCCTTGATTCTGAGTCACCATGGCTTGGCCTATCTTCGGAAGTCATGTTGTTGCTTTTGGTCTTCTTCTTTGGAGGCATTGATGAAGATAATGGCCTAATCCCCAGCAGAGTCGCTAATTTATGTAGGGAACTTTTTCTTCCGACAGCTGTAAGTGGGTTGGGCTGCTATAAAGGGTAGATTGATGGAATTGTCCCCTTTGTCTGAGTTCGAAAATTAAGCCCCAAAAATGCTTCGAAAGGGCAGTATGTATTTTGGTTACCTTCACCAGCCAAAACGATAGAAGCTTACAGGTAATTTCTTCATGCTTACAGATAAACTCTTAAGCTCAGTGTGAGTGGCATGTGGCATGGAAGCAAAATCAACATGAGTTTAGCACAAAGAGAAAATTTAGGCGTGCTTTGAGGGAAAATGAAGTGTTAGGGTAAGAAAGGAGAAGTTTCGTGAGAGATTTGGCTAAGAAAGAGGAAATAGAGAACAAAGTTCTTCCAGCAGCTTGACAGATGCTCTGTCTGCCAAAAGAGAAGAATGGAGAAGAAAGGTGAATAGTGCACGAGGTTGCTGGCTTTTTGCAAGTCAGAGAGAAAGCTTACTCTCCGAATATGAGTTGGTTTAGTTGGGTAGAAGAGGCCCCATTTTATAGTTGCTGGAAATCATACTTTCCCACGAAACCCTAATGGTTTCTACCCATTTTGGCCAAGCTTTTCCTTCCCTTTCTCCTCTCCTCCCTTGACTTTTCCTATCTTAGTGAAATTTCTTCTGTCTATTTGCACAAAACCAAGAATTTTGGGAGCTCAAAGCCCCCTTTCCCGCAGCTGCTCAGTGGGAGCCTCAAATCTTAGCTATTTTTCTTCTTCTTTCCTTCCTCCTTCCCTGGCCAAATCTGATGAAGGAAAGCAAATGGATATACATGCTAGTTTGAAGAGTGCTTCTCCTCTTGGCAGCTTACGTGCTAACATCCCTTGGTCCCTTGGATGTTTTGTGCTTGGAACTTGTTCCTTCCCAGCAGCTCTGCATATGTGGCCATCTTGCTTCTTTCGTGGCTTCTATTTTTTTAGCAAAGGGCTGAGGCTTTGTGGCTTATTTTGGAGTTTTGTACGGGCCAAGGTGGTTCCTTAAGCAAGTGGGCTATTTTTGTTAAACATTGGGCTTTTTTAGTTGTGTCAATATGCTATTTTGCTTGGGCTATTGGGCTATTTCTTTCTTGTGCTTACCCACATGTTTGAGCCTAAGAAATGGGCTTGAGTCTCGAGGCTCTCAAGCAACCTGAGACTTTCCATTTCTCGGCCCATCAATGGGCCTCATGTTTATTTATTACCGTCCGTACCACAACCCACTCAAGCAAGCCCCAGGTATTTGGGTGGCTTGGGCCCACTTAGGCTTGTAGTGTGGTTGGATGTGAGGTAACAATTTCGTGCTTGGCATGGCATGTCGCTTGGCATGTTTTAATTTTATCATCCTTGGTAAGGATTTAATTTCGGCATGGGCTTGTAGAGCCGGTATATTTTATCTCCACTCCTAGCATGAAGGATTATTTACTTAGCATGGCACGTGAACTGCACCTCGCATGTGGCGGGTTTTCGTATACTCCGCTTTATGCCTTTTCTTAATAGAGTGTCATTTTCGGCCGATAATTTATTCATGCCCAACCATGGATTTTTTGGGCCTCAACACCCTTCAACATTAATTAGACCTAACCCCTCTCCCACCGTCTTCCCTGTGCTTTCCCTCCCTCTCATTCTTAGTAAAAAAGTTAAACACATTAAGAAAAAGCCAAAAATCTTGAATGTATATAAGTGCAAATCAGAAATTTTCAAAAGCATCTCCTATGATGATAAGTTAACAACCCACTGCTGAAAGAAAGGTAATGATGGATGTTATTGGCAACCAAGTAAATCAGTTTTTTTTTTCATTTTTCTGTTAATTTTATCAACCACTTTTTGGGTGGTGTTGTTTGATGTTGGTATTCATAGAGGGGGATTGCAGCCAAGGGGCGCAGTGCGTGGGAGGCAGATTGCCAACGGGATCTGGGTGGGACACTGCTACAATCTTGTTTTCTTTTCATGTTTTTTATATAAAAAAATTAAATAAAATTTATTCAGGGTAAAGTTGGAAGACAAAGTACAACTATGAAAAAGATATAATTATTTTTTTAAATTTGACACTTGTTAGAGTTTGAATGGGAGTATCGCCTGCTGACGTGGTGATACTGTATCACTCTATAGTTTCTCCGAGAGCAGGGTCTTAAGCTTATAGAAGGCTAGGTCAAGTCGTCTCTACTCATCACCAAAGGCCGGCTTGATTAATCTTCCAAGCCCACCAAAACGGTTCACGCAAAAAAAGGAAATAAATAGGACCACTTAATAGGCGTCAAAACCTTTCCTTATTTCACAAGATTTTGGGCCTCAAGGTATAACTTAATTTAAACTCCTATTAAAACCTGATATAACTTAATATTTAGTGCACCGATTTAAATAGGAAACATAACAATATATTCTACATTTTATGATTTTTTTAGTTTCGTTGTTGACCAAAATATATTGTACATTTTGATTAAAAAAATTATTTGATAGAGATCTTAGTAGCTTTTCTATGTGTACATCGAATGCGGAAAGCATGATTTGTTTTTAGCTTTTTTCTAGGGAAATAGCTTAAAATACCACACATTTTATAATTTTTTGTGAAAATACCACCCCTCCCCAAAAATTTTAAAACTATCACCTATAAATACATCTTTATTGTCGACTGATTGCACCCGTATCACATTTTCAGAAATTTGGTTTTCTCTCAGCTCGCTCAGCCCCCTTTTCTCTCTGTCTGTCTCTATGCCTCTCTCTTTGCTCTCTCTCTAGCGCAGCTCTTTGTCTCTCTCTCTCTTTGCTCTAGTGCAGATCTCTGTCTCTCTCTTTGCTCTCTCTCTCTCTCTCTCTCTCTGTCTCTCTCACACAGCTCTGTCTCGCTCTCTGTTCTGAATCACGAACCCCTCCCTCGACCCCATATTTTAGGTATGTCTTCTGAATAGCTGCTTGCAACCTTGAAGCTCTACTAGATCGCCCACTAAAAAAGGTAGGGTTGATGGTTATTTTCTTAATATCTGTGGGATTATGTGAAATTGGTTTTGTTTTGATTTCTTGGGTTTTTGTTAAATTAGTTTTAGTTTTAATTGCTTTCGGTTAGGTTTTTTGAATCTTCATGCTCATCCATCTGGGTTTTTACCAATTGCATTTAGGTTGATCTAGATATGTGAATCTTGAAACTTGAAATTTTCGATTTGATGTAGTGGATGTTGTTGTGTTCCTATTATTTTGTTGTCGTATTGTTGTTATGTTGCTGTTATATTGCTATTATATTGTGGTTATATTGCGTTTATATTGCTATTGTATTGCTTGCTTATTGCCTGGTTATTGTGGTTGTACTGTGGTAATAAAATATTATTTTTCCATGGTAAAAAATGGAGACAATTGTTATTTTGGTTTGCTACAATGGAAAATGGGTAACCTCAAAGAAGATGTGCAAATATGAAGGGGGTGACTCAAAAGGCTTAATAGTTCCACGGACCATCACATTTGCTGAATTATTGGATCGGGTGCATTAGATTGCTAATACAAACTGCAAGGAAGACAATGTTTGCTTAAAATTCTCAGTTTTAGTGGCCTCAAATGAGTGGAAGAACATAAAGATTGAGCACGATGATGATGTCAAATTTTTTATGAAGCGATCTGAAAGTGTAGCCTTGGTTTTCCCTTCATGGGATAGTATTGTTAGGGTTCGGTGGCGATTTATTTTGCATATCTAAAATATGGATGTTGTTCGGCTTAATCTTCATATATGTAATTCTTGTATTAATAATTGACACAAATTAATCTCGTAATCATCCAATTATTAACTAGTAATGAGTCAAGATAAGTAAATGAAATGAAACAAAACAAGAAACCCAAAATAAACACAAACAACAATTTCTAGCACCCTTTTATCGCCACTATTTCGCCACTGTATCACCAATGTATCGCTATTTTATTGCGTTTTAGGCGTAAACGAATTATGCACTTCCTCTATTTTTCAGTTTTGCCATATGTCCATTTTTTGACCTTTAAGTTTTCTACCCATTATGCAAATTTTGTGTTATGTATATAATTGGATTGAGCACAGAAAAATGAAGAAAACTACATGGACCAAATGTAAAAAATGGATACAAAAAAGAGTAGAAGTCAGTGGAAACGAACAAGTCGTTTGAAACAAGTAAACTGTTATACCTCCATAAAGAGCAAGTATGTTTATATATCAAGCAGTATAAAATAGTTGAACTTCACAATCTAAAGAATAAGTATGCTAACCACGATTTCAACTCGAGAACAAAACCCGAAAATGGAAACAGTTTATGTGCCATGTAAGGCAATTAGCCACCACCACCGACTGTACAATATTACATTTCACCATGTACAACATGACCGAAGACCCTGGAAATTATTTCACCTTGCTACACAATACCTAAACCAAATAGCTCTATCAAAATGGATGGATGACCATATAAAGTACCTCCAGCATAATTTCAATGTTTGCATCTTCATATAAAAGATTTCCTAACATAATTAAGGAGCACAGTGAATTCTCAAGTGATAAGTGAAGACTGGACTCAATTCACTGACATTATCATATTTACCTCATATATATGCCTCCCTCCTTAAAGCCTCAATTGCAAGCTTGAGTCGGTAATATGTGATCTTCGAAGGGTGCCTAATGTAGAGACTATAATGAACACCTACAATTTCCCTTCTTTGGATGAAACAAAACAACAAACAAACACAGAATCCAATTGCATAAATCGCCAAAAGCATTAAAACCACAATGGCATGAGAATAAAACCATAATAAACTAGCAATAAAACAGAACTACGATGCCAATATAATACCACTAACATGGCAATCCAAAAGCAATAAAACGACAGTACGATACCAATAACAACAGCAAAACAATAGTAGTTTGAAACAAATAACAAAGAACACACTCCTTCACTGTTTCAAACAAGGAATCATCACAATCAGACAATTTTAGAGTAACCCCTAAACCCTAAACCAAATTCAGAGAAACCCCTAAACCAATTTCATAGAAACCCATAAACTCTAAACCAATTTCAGAGAAACCCCAAAACCCTAAACCAATTTTGAAGAAACCTCTAAACCAATTTCATAGAAACCATACACCCTAAACCAACTTCAAAAAAACCCCTAAACCCAAAGAAAATGATGATGAACCGTACCTTTTGGATGTGAACGGTGGAGTTAAGCTTCGATGAACAGACACCGCTGAGGGAGGAAGACCATTGCGTCAGAGAGAGAGAGAGAGAGAGAGAGCTGCGCAAGAGAGACTGAGAAAGATCGAAGAGAGAGTGAGAGCTGAGCGAAGACAGACTGAGAGTTGAGCGACAAAGAGACAAAGCGAAGAGAGAGTAAGAGCTGAGCGACAGAGAGAGATAGAGCCTAGAGAGGTGAGAGAGAACAAAATTTCTGAAAAAATGATATGTGTACAATCAGTGGACAATAAAAATGTATTTATAGGTGATAGTTGCAAAAAAAAATAGGGAGAGGTGGTATTTTCACAAAAAATTATAAAATAGGTGGCATTTTGAGCTATTTCCCTTTTTTCTATACATAATTTAAGTCTCCATTGTATTCAAGCTTTCTGTCAAGTCACAATGTTGACCCGATATGAATTTTAATTCCACACGCTTTCATATTGAATGATGGCCTCTCAAAAAAATAATATCTGATAGAACAAAATTAGCTTTTCTAAATTTGATCTGCTTGGTGAAAAGAACAAACATATTAGAAAAACACTTGGGGACAACAAGACTAACAACTCTACATAGACTAACTTCATTTATTTTCTTTTCCTTTTTTGTCGGATATATATACGTGTGTGTCAAGTCAAAACTCAAAAACATTTTTTTTTCCAATTAAAAATTTCCTTTTATTACGTCAATTTTCCACCCACCAACTGAGTGCTATAGCTAGCCAGATCAATTTTTGCCACTCTCAGCCTTGTCCAAAAACCCCTCTTGCTTCACCTTGTATAGAAAGCCTCCCAATTTCTGTTATTATCCCATACCTATAATTTCTGTTATTAATATACATTGTATCCACAGAAGTTAGAGTTATGCCGAACCCCGATGTAACTGTGGTGGTGGATAAGTCGGAAGAGAAAGATGAACGGTTTGGTCTTTTAACTTTGAAGTCAATACATAGTAACTCTTCTTTGATTCTTTCTATCTGATAGGGTGAAATTTTATACTCATGTTTCTTGTGTATTGTCCAGTGATTCAGATTCAGACTCAGATTCAAAATCATGCTCATATTCAGATACTACAAGTAGTGGAGAATCTCCCGTCGAAGAATGGCAGATATCAAAAGAAAAATGGTCAAATATGAAGGTGAAAATTCTTGAGTGGAAGAAGAAGATGTTTGCAAAGTGGAAGCAGATTTTTGCAACATCATGTGTGTTTGCTGTTTCACTGGATCCTTTGTTCCTCTACATTCCTGCCATCAATCAGGACATGAATTGTCTGAGATTGGACCAAAACTTGAAGATAGCAGCTCTTACATTAAGATCTGTGACAGATATCTTTTATATTATGGACATCATTATTGAGATTTATACATCTAAGATCTGTTCAAGTTTAACCATTGAACTTCATCACATCTCCAAATCAGAATTCTTAGGGAACACTTTTTTGCCGACGCTAGCTAAGAAGATTTGGAAGTCATACATCTTAATTGACATTTTAGCTATTCTTCCCCTTCCACAGGTAAGACAAGTCCTTCTTGGAGGTAATTATTGCTTTCTTATGTCTTTATTAATGATATTATTCGTAACACATTTATTGACTAGTGAAGTTATATATTAACCACCTTTCTAACAGAGGGAATCTCTATCATGTATGTGGGACATATCTGTATTAGAGTCAATAATGGGAAGTATGATATAAAAAGCATCAAGTCCTGTTTCAATATTTTCTCTCACCATATATAATATTCAATTTAATTATTGGCATAAAATTGTATTGTGTTCAGGTTCTACTCCTCAATTTCTTTTCAAGAATGGGGGCTTCGAGATCCTCGGAGACAAGCAAGTTTATTATGAACTTTTTTGTTCTGATGCAATATATACCGCGGGTTATTCGCATCTACCTATCATGTGAGGCACCAAAAAAGTCTCCCAGGAGGGAGACTCCAGTATGGGTTAAAGGTGTACTTAATTTCTTTATGTACATCCTTGCTAGTCATGTAAGTTTCAATCTTATTATGATTCATTATAACATCATGAAGTTAGCATTAAACAAATTAAATATTACAAGCAAGTTCATTCTAATTAACTAAATTATTGATTATTGTTCAGATACTTGGAGCCGTATGGTACTTTTTTGCTATTCAACGAATGACAGCCTGTTGGCAATATGCATCTCAAAATGAAAATGGGTGTGACCCTAATACTTTTGGTTGTCATTACCATACATTCAAAGATGATTTGTGTCCTATAAGTTCACCAAATGCAACGATCTTCAATTTTGGGATATTTCTTAGTATCCTTCAGTCTGGTGTGCCGTCATCAACAAATTTTCTACAAAAGTTCTTGAACTGCTTTTGTTGGGGCCTACGAAATTTGAGGTTTGTACATTTAGGACCTTTTATCTTACATATCAAATATTACTTACAATTATGAACAAAAACATATTCAAAATTCAGGATGGACGAGGTTTAATAATAAATAGATGTAGATTGTATGCCCTTAGAACATTAATCACGGTGCATATGAAGACATCATCCATACTATTTTTTAACATAACTTTCTTTGTCAACTAAAAAGGATGAAATGTTATTTGCCCTTCTAAAGTTGACTAAGTTTCATAATATAGAGAACTTAATGATATTACAGTAATTTAGTCATTGACCTATTTCACTATAACTTTTAGTAAGGGGTCGTTTGGTATGGCGGACTGTTATGGACCAGATTAAATCCTAGGACTATATTGAATTAGCTCGGATTGGACTAAGCTGGATTAAATATTGATCTACGTTTGGTGTTACATCAGACTAAGAAACTGGATTATAAAATAGCAAAGACTTATGTTTGGTGTTGTGTCGGACTAAATTTTTTTTTAATATTTAATTTTAATTAAGGATTTTAGCCTAAAAATAAATAAAATTATAATATTTTTGAAAGACTAAAACTATCCCATTTCTTTTTATTTTTCTTCTTCCTCACTCTTCTCTCCTTTGTCTTTTCTTCTCTCCTTTTTTTTTTTTTTTTTTTTTTTTTTTTTCCTTCCTTTTCTTCCTCCTTCTCCTTTTCCTCCTTCCTTTTCTTCCCTTGCCGTTTCTTTTTCTTCTTTTTTTTCTTCCTTTCTCCTTTCTTCTTCTTTCCATTCCCAGGCCGTTTATGTTTTTCTTCATTTCCTTCTTCCTATTCTTTCCTTATCTTTTCTTCTTCCTTCCCTCCTTTTCACTTTCTCTTAATGGCACTACAGATGCAACCATCAACTCACTCTCTCTCTCTCTCTCTCTCTCTCTCTCTCTCTCTCTCTCTCTCTCTCTCTCTCTCTCTCTATGTGGTTCCTCTAATTAATGGTTGTGGTGGTTCGATTGGGTGGTGCTGGTGGTTTAGCTAGGTATGTGGTGGCTGGTGATTATGGTGATGGTTCGATTAGGTATGTGGTGGCTGGTTATGGGTTTGAAGGTGGTGGTCTGATGGTTGTGGCATCGGGGTGATGGTGGTATGTTTGATGTTTCGCGCTTGTGTGTTTGATGGTGGTGGTGGTATCCAGAGGGACTCCGTGTACAAAACAGCACCCTAGCTATTTAGTGAACCAAGTTTTGGGCTCGCTATATTAGACAACCGAGTCCAATGTTTTTTTTACCCATTGGACTATATAATCTCATTTAACTTAATCCCCTACCTTACCAAACATAGGTTTTTAGGACTATTTAACTCAATCCAATCCAGTGAGGCTTAGTGAAGCATGCCAAACAGGGCCTAAAGAGTTTAAATGAGACACATAGAGTAAAAGCATGGGGCAAAATGATAGAATTGACAAAATGGGGCAAATGAGACGGAGTGAAACATAGAGTTTAGAAGCACAACATAAAATACAAGGATAAAGTGAGATTTAAATTAAATAAACATGAATAGTAAAACAACAATTAAAATATCTTGTTTTAAGTTGATAATTATATTTATAAGTTAAGTGCAAAAATCATAAGCCACAAGGGCCAATACAAATACCCACAAAAAGTTCATACAAAGATGGAAGCATAGTAACCATATAGGGTTAATCTAGATTCATAGAAACACACCGGAAATATCAAGCACGCAAAGTGTATCTCCACTAATAGCCATATAAGACCAAAGAACTTTCGACAGAAAAGTCCCAAGCCTGAAAAAGCCATACATGAACTGCAGTGCCTAAAACTACTAATACAACTACAACTTTTAAACTCTCACAAGTAGAGACTAGACTACAAAAGAACACCTAACTCACAAAGCATTGATTACAACTCAAGAAACTGTAAACACACAACAAGTGAGTAAAAGTCTCTCATCTACCTCGTCTGTCTCCAAAATCGCCAACAAAACCACTAGTGCACTGCTACTTCGTCGTCACCAAAGATTCCAAGAATAACAAACCACAAGTGCTGTCAACGAAATAACCAATGGAACCAAGCAGAAAATCTAGCCAAAAAAATAGTAAACATCCCGAAGAAAGAGGGGAGGGACGGGGAGGAGCGGGATGGGGAAGGAGGGCACCACCCCAAAGGGGGCGGTGAATGGAGCTGGGTTTTTAAGGTCTCGCTTTTTATAGAAAATTGAATAATCAGGATGTAAAACCGCTTATGCCAAAAAGCCTGAGAAATTCAAAGGCAATGACTTCAAACGTTGGCAATAGAAGATGTTGTTCTATCTGACAACATTAAATCTATCCCACATTCTCAGACAGGATGCCCCTGTGTCAATTGAGAATCCTACAACCGGAGAGACTGTTGCTGCAATTGATGCATGGACACAATTTGACTTTCTATGCAATAACTATATCTTGAATGGACTCAATGACAAACTGTATGATGTTTATGCAACATTCAAGACGGCTAGAAAAGTTTGGGAATCTCTTGAGAAAAAATATAAAACTGAAGATGCAGGATCCAAGAAATTTGTTGTAGGCAGATTTCTAGATTTCAAGATGGTAGATTCCAAACTTGTTGTTAAACAAGTTGAAGACCTCCAGAAAATTATCCATGAGATTCTTGTTGAAGGCATGAAGATCAATGAATCTTTCCAAAAGGTGTCTTTGATTAAAAACTTCCACCAAATTGGAAAGAATTCAAAAGTTATCTGAAACATAAGAGAAAGGAGATAAGTATGGAGGATCGCATTGTAAGGCTTTGCATTAAGCAGGATAACATAATAAGTGAGAACAAAATGTGGTTTCAAACATGGAAGCCAAGGCAAACATAGTTGAAAGAACCTCATCAAAACCAAAATTCAATCCCAAAAGAACAAGAAGAGCTTTGTTCCTGAAGCAAAAGAAAAAGACTTCAAAAAGATTAAAGGAGCATGCTGGGTTTGTGGGAAAGCATGCCACAAGGCTCAAGACTGCAGGCAAAGAAGGGATTAGAATCCTGCCAATCCTGCAAATGCAAACAACAACAGACTAAGGTACAATCAGGCCAATGTGACTGAAGAAAACCTGGTTGCAGTGGTATCGGAAACCAACATGGTTTTAAATGACAATGAGTGGCTGATTGATAATGGAGCCACCTGCCATATCTATGGTGATAAGAATGCATTTCTTACTTACCAAGAGATACATGGTGGTGAGCAACTATTTATGGAAAACACCTCTGCATCTGCTGTTGTTGGAAAGGGAAAAGTGCTTATGAAAATCACCTCTGGAAGGAACTAACCCTCCTAGATGTGCTATATGTGCCAGATATACGAAGGAACTTGGTATCTGGACTTATTCTAAGCAACAAAGGATTCAAACTAGTTTTCAAATCCAACAAAGTTGTACTAACTAAGGGGGGAATGTTTGTAGGAAATGTTACCTTGCTGATGGGTTGTTCAAACTTAATGTATCTGCCAATTCTATCAATGATAATATAAATAAGGATTCCGCTTATATGGTTGACTCTTCTTCTACATTATGGCATGCTAGATTAGGACATGTTGATTTTCGTTCCTTACATAGAATGTATAATTTAAGATTGTTGTCTAAGTTAGATTCTAGTGAAAATGTTAAATGTGAAACTTGTAAAGAATCTAAATTTGCTAGACAGAGTTTTAAATTTGTACATAATAGGTCCAATGAATTGCTCGGCTTAATTCGTAGTGATTTTGTGTGATTTTAGATCAACACAAGTCGTGGAGGAAAGCAATATTATGTGACTTTCATTGATAATTGTATCAAGTACTGCTATGTATGTTTATTACATAGCAAAGATGTGACTTTGGATATGTTTAAGACATATAAGGCTGAAGTTGAGAATCAACTCAACAGAAAATTAAAGTCCTAAGATCAGATAGAGGAGGGAAATATGAATCTACTGCATTTGCTGAATTTTGTGCCACAAATGGTATAATTCATCAAATGACAGCTTCTTATACAGCACAACAAAACGGTGTTGCTGAAAGGAAAAATAGGACATTTAAAGACATGATAAATTCTATAATAATAGCTATGGGCTTCAACATAATATGTGGGGTGAAGCCTTACTTACTGCAAATACAATCTTGAATTGAATTCCACATAAAACGAGTAACAAGTGACCATATGAAGTATGGAAAGGAAGGTTACCTTATAAGACACTCAAAGTGTGGAGTTGCCTAGCAAAAGTTCAAGTTCCTTTGCTAAAGAGAACGAAACTTGGACCCAAACTATAGATTGTGTCTTCATTGGATTTGCATCCAATAGTGCTGCTTATAAATTTTTAGTATTACATTATGAAATTTCTGATATACATGTGAATACAATACTAGAATCTATGGATGCAATATTTTTTTAGGACATTTTTCCTTATAAACAAGGAAGGTCCAATGTCAATCACATCTCTTTACATGAAATTGGGCCATTTGTGAATTTTTAAGTAAATTTTTTTTTATTTTAGTCGTGTTTTATAAAAAAATAAATTCAAAATTCAAACAAAAGATTCAGGTACAAACCGAAAACAGAACCGGCTTATGAGAAAACTGGACCACATCAGAACATATAATTTTTTCATCAACCAAACAAAACCGAACCAGATGAATAATATCATTTTCGATTCCGATTTGGGGTGAGAACCGGACCATGCCCACTCCTACTTTGAACATAAGAAAGTGTGGATTGTATTTTATTACATTTTCTTTAATACCAGAGATAGTCTAAACTATGGTTTCATACACACACACACACACAGACACACACACAATAACAAGGTGTCATAGGACTTCGAACCTGAGACCACTGGTTCACAAGTCAAGACCCTTTTCCATTGGACCAGACCATATTGGCTGTATTTTTTTACTTAAGCAAATTGAATTTGTAACTTCATACTTGCATCTTATATTGCTCCATTTATTTTTGCAGTTCTCTTGGATCTAACCTCCAACCCAGTACTAGCACTTGGGAAAACCTCTTTGTGGTTTTTATTTCTATAACTGGCTTGCTGCTATTTATATATCTCATTGGCAATCTGCAGGTTTGTGCCCCATTTAATTATTATATATATAAATTTTTGATGCTTAGAGTTCCTCATTTAATTATAAAATGGCCATTTTGATCCTGTAGCTTTGGTTATTTATTTAAATTATGTCCATGTTGTTTTAACTTTATTCATCAGTTTGTTTTTTACAATACAAAACAATAATTCACTCAAGAAACTACTAAACACACCCAACCAACATCACTCCCAACATTCTCTCGATGCACCCACACACCTCCAAGGACAGCTTGCCTTGACCATGGATACGGCCAAGGAATATTTACTGTGTATTCTTCTATTCTTTTCGAAAACCAGAGTAATGACCTAGGTATAAAATTTTTTTTTTTTTTTTTTTTTTTTTTTTTTTTTGTTTGTTTATAAACCATTCTTTTACAATTGTGTATTCGTGTAAGAGTGCGTTTTTCTTGAAACAATAGTGTTCATAACAGTGCCTTTTACCCTCATCTTGTTAAAAACTTTCCTCTTTAGCAAACCTTTACAATACAGACCTAGCTTATATTGAAAAAGCACCTAAACTATAGAGCCCCAATTGTTTCTTCTTCTTTTTTTATTTTTTATTTTTTATTTTTTTGGGTCAAATTACTTACGTAACAATTTTTTATTTTTGAGAAAAAGTGATAGTATTTATTAAGAAACAGAACATGTATAAAGCCACAAAAGTGCCGAAATGGGTATGATATCTCCAGTGACCAAATACAACAACATGTTGATTTGATCTGGAGAGAATTAAGCATAAACCAACAAATACTCAAACTCTTGATTTAGCAGCCTGACGCTCTTGTAACGATTTTTTATTGTCTCATTTGATACCAGTGCCTATATATATAATGTATATTTTAGCTGATTTTTTTATTTGAATATGTTTCGTACATATCAATGCAGTGCATATGGTATGATTGATTTCAATCATATGCATTGATCATTGTAATATACTTTAATTAGAATATAACTCTTTCACTTGCTTGTTGTGGAATAGACATATTTATCCTTGGACACTACAAGAATACAAGTGCATAGACACAAGATGAAAATAAAATGGAAAATGGAAGCGAAAGGTCAAGAGCTAGAATTATGGTTGCCTAAAAATGGCATCCCTCAGAGGTCGCAGAAGGATATAAAGTTGCAGATCATGGAAAAGGTAGAACAAGAATTTGAAGAAAACAGGAATGTTGACTTGGATAATTTCCTCCCTACTCTTCCCATGGATCTTGAAAACCAGATCAAAAGTTGTATGCCGTTGACTAGGTTGAAGAAGGTAAGTTTGTCCAAACCCTTGACTATAGTTGTAGCATGATCATATATAACAAGAGCACTTCAATTCTTCAAAGCAATTAATTAATCACATTCACATTCATTAATCGTAGGTGCGAGTACTTCAAAACATGGATGAACAAGTGTTAAAAGCAATTTGTCAGCATCTCAAGCCCATGAAGTATTCTAAAAACAATCTCATTCTTCGAGAGGGCGAACCCCTTAAAATGATGATCTTCATTGTAGAAGGACATGTAGCCATTGAAAAGAAAGGCGGTTCCATTTTGCTGCAAGGTGCAAGAGAATTATGTGGAGAAAATCTTCTAGCTTGGCCGTTCTCGACCTCTTTTCCTCAGACGTTACCCACAGCAACAGAGTCTGCTAGGGTAATTGGTGATGTTGAAGCACTTATTCTAATGGCCAGTGATATGAAGAGTGTTGTCTTTAAATTCGGGGTGCATTTCATCAAAAAGTACGGAAAACTCAAAGAAAAATTGGTCGATCTTCATCTAGGACCTGTTGATACAACACCAACATTTGTTGAGACAACACCAACATTTGTTGAGGGATCGCCCACAATCTTTACTGCACGAGAGCTTAAAAAGGCCACGAAAAATTACCATGAAAGTACAAGGGTTGGTGAAGGAGCCTGTGGAATAGTTTACAAAGGGTTACTACCAGATAAAAAAGTTGTTGCCATAAAAAAGTCCATGATTATGCATGCGACATCCACGAGTGTTAACTCCGTTAAAGAGGCTCTTATTCTTTCTCAGATCAACCACAGAAACATCGTCAAGCTTTTAGGTTGTTGTTTAGAGGCAAAAGCGAGTTTAATGGTTTATGAGTTCGTGGACAAAGGGTCTCTCTATCAGCAAATTCACAAAGAAGGCATAGGATCCGGACTCTCATTTGAATTAAGAATGAAGATAGCAGCAGAAACTGCAGGAGCATTAGCATACTTGCACGCCATGTCAATCATACACCGAGATTTGAAGACAATAAATATATTATTGGATAAAAATTACACAGCAAAAGTTGCAGACTTCAGCGGTTCACGATTGGTTGACGAAGATCACGATCAAATATCAACTTCAGTGCAAGGGACACTCGGATACTTAGATCCTGAATACATTCAATCAGCAACGCTAACAGAAAAGAGCGATGTCTACAGCTTTGGAGTTGTCCTATTGGAGCTTCTAACAAGTCAAAAGGCAGTGTCTTTTGAAAGGTCTGCCGTAGACAGAAACCTAGCAAACTTCTTTCTTCGCTCAATGGAACGAGGTCACTTAGTTCAAATTCTTGATGGTGAAATAATCAACGTGGGGAATTTTGAGACAGCAGAAAAAGTAAGCTATCTGGCGAAAAGATGTTTGAAGGTTAGAGGGGAGGAAAGGCCTTGTATGAAAGAAGTAGCCGCCGAGCTCGAGGGGATAATGCGAAGCATGGAAAAGCATCCAGGAGGAAAGGCTAATTTTTCTCCATCTCCCAAAGAAACTGACTGCTCGCTTGGTTCACCTTCAAACGCTTATGTTGTGGATGTTAGAGGTGAAGGTGATGATGCTGGTTCTAGTCGTATTATTATCAGTGCAGAGGATGACAAGAGCATGCAAAATCCAAATGATTGAGCCTTATGATGGTGGACGATAATTGGTCTTTCGCTATTCAAGTTATTTTTATATTACAATTTTTATGATTTTTTAATTATCAATAGGAGATAGATTGAAATTAAGATTCTCTATAATGATAAATTTTGTAAAAGAAGAAAGTTGCAGAACTTGAAAGTATGTATTGTAACAGCTGCAGTGCTGATGCTGAGGTCCATGCATCATGCATGGGTGCCTTGAGAGGTTGTGGAAGATTCATGGGTGTGCTGATCATTCCTAGCAGTGCATAAAGAATGGGTGTGCTGGAGAGCATTTGTGATTTGTGATCAAAAGCAAAAAAAAATTGAAGAAAGATTTACCTTTTGTTTTATTTTATTTTCATTATAAAAAATATTGGTTTTTATTTTGATGCTGAACTTTGACGTTTGTACCCAAACTTTTATTTGTGGCAATTTAGTACTTCAATCAAATTTTGTACCTAAACTGTTAAAACTTAAAATATATATAAAACATAGCCTTCCATCGATCTCCACTGAAACCCATTACCATAACATTACATGATCCAAGAAAACCCAACAACAATTCCAAGGAATAAGGAACCACTAAGCAAATCCAAGAAAACCTGAAAAAAATATGTTCACCTCATGTCCTTTTATTTTATTCTCAAGCGCCATAGGCGTTCTAGGCCAAAAGTCTGGATACCGAGCACCTGGGTTAGGAATCCTGGTCTCAGATGCTGAGATCCTAAGTGTTGTGAGTCGAATTTTGTGACTAGGTTATCGAATCTGGGCTTGTCAAAGTCCATGTCCATTGTTTGGGTCCCAAAGTACGGGGTTGGTTCCTAACGCTAGCCCTTGAGTCTCTACACTAGTTAGGGCCATGGCGCTGGGTTCCCCAAATTACAACCTTAGCGCCAACTCTTTGGTTTGTGACCATATATAAGGTCAAAGTAGTTGAATTATCCCATATTTTTTTTTGTAAGGATTAGTTTAGCTACAAAAAAATGCACTTGATAGGATTATGGTGGGATAAATTCTTGTCCAATCGTTGTGCAGATTTGATTACCAAGCAATACGATTTGATTAAACTAATATTGATTGAAAATTCTATTCTCTATACTTTATACTTTTGAGGTCCAATTAGTGAATCCCATTAGTGAATCCCATTAGTGCATCGCCACATTGAATGGCCTATACTCTATACTTTAACTAAAGTCTATAGTAACCTTGAGATCACATGGACTTAGAAAAGTATAAGATACGGTTTATATAATTTTCACTTTCTCATGAACTTTATGCCAATTTTATAAAGTTGTGCTGTTGATACTTCTCTGAGTTGGAAACTTGCTTCTTTTCTGAGGTGGGAATAAATTACAGTGAACTGAGCATAACATTGCCACTAGCTAAGAGATATGCATTCGAATTTCTCAAGCTTTTTGTATAATGATATATCACATGAACCAAATAAATAGTCTTTTGTGGCAGAATATATATCTATATATATAAATATATTTTTTTTTAACAAAACAAATTATGGAAATTAGAAAGAAAAAAAAAGTTCTCATACAATATTCCCTCCCCTCTCTCTCTCTCTCTCTCTCTCTCTCTCTCTCTCTCTCTCTCTCAATCAATTTGCTTTATGTAGCCTCTATATATATACTTATATACAACGTGTAACTTAAAATCATATCCCACACAATTCATTCACATGCAATTCTCCAAATCCATCAATTAATCTATACAAATACCTCCAATAGCAATTAAACCCATTAAACCCAACCCATGGCTGATCATCCTCTTGTTCTGCAGATACATCCACCACAACCGCAGCTTCAGCGCTCCTCAAGCACGGAGCTGGGTTCAGAACTAGCAAATTCATCATCAACACCGCCACCAGCAAACCCCATGGCAACAAATCTTGAACAGTTGGTGTTGCAAATTGGACAATCATCAACAGCGCCACCACAGCATGAAGGTATTTTAAACCTCAAGGTAGGTAAGCCAATTTTGCTACACATAAACTCCTTAACACCACCACCAAACCCACCACCACCACCAAAGCCAGAAAACCAAAACCATGATCTCCCTGCACCATCTGATGATCAGAAACAGCAACTGAATGCCATTGTTACACAGTCAAACCCAGCTGTTGATAAAATGAGGATTAATAAGAACCAAAAACTAAGCACTGCAGGAAGCCTTGCAAACCTTTTACCCACTGGCACAGTTCTTGCCTTCCAAGCCCTCACACCTTCTATTTCCTACAACGGCCGATGCCACACGTTCAACAAGTACCTTGTGGCAATTGTCATACTAGTTTGTTCTGTCATATGTTTTGTGTCATCCTTCACTGATAGCCTGCCATGGGAAGGCAAAGTATACTACGGCGTCGCCACATACAGTCGTCTTTCTGTTTTGAACGATGACAATCACGAGACTGATAAAAACGACGACATTCAGCAGGAGTTGAAGAAGTTGCGCGTCAGACCTAAAGACTTTATTCATGCGTTTGTGTCGGTGTTTGTGTTCTTGATCTTTGCTTTTAGCAGCTCAGAAGTGCAAGGCTGCTACTTTCCTAAATCAAGAGAGTTGGAGTATTCACTCGTCATATATTTGCCTTTAGTGGTTGGCCTTTTCTCAAGTTTCTTGTTCTCCATTTTTTCCGACTAAACGCAGAGGGATTGGCTGTGTATGAACAATCATGTAGTACACCAAAATATATATATATATATATATATATATATATATATATATAAAGTGCGGGCGTCCGCATAGGATGTATATTCTACCTTTTATTTTAGGGATGTAACAATTTGATCCCTATCTATTTACCCGAAATCTGCTAGCACTCAAAAGAGATAAATAAAAATGGAACTTGCACCTCAAGTAACCAGATTCATTATTTTTATGCCTTCATTGGTAAGCACTTTAATATTTTCTGGCAAAAAAAAGAGATAAGAACTTTAATATTTATCTAACGCAAACAAAATCAATGGAGTCAGGCTGAATCTGGAATGAAACAACATGATCAAAACTATAAGCAAATTATCAAATTTCAAATGGTTATAACAATGAAAATAGCAATACTATTGGAAAACAAAATAAAGTAAATTAAATGACTGGGATCGGGCCGAAGGGTTGTCTATTCGGACATTCTGGAATCACCAAAACTATCAAGAATCACGATTGGGATTAATCATCACCCAGAAATTATACACATGCAAAGTTGCATAAAGATCTTCAGGAAAGATGGATGAAACTTGCAGGAGTTGTCAACTTAAAATCTCAAGAACAAAAGCAAAACATTGTTTGGAAATTGTGTGATCGATGGGATTTGTTGAAATTTGTTTGAAATCAGTTGTGTATGTAGAGATCCTCAGCTATTCTTCTCACTTGCTTACATACTTGAACATGAATCTAACTTTCCTTGGAAACTAGGACTACTTAGCGTGCAAGACTTCTATCTTCACAAGAATCCCTATTTAAATCAGATGAAACATATCATAATTTTATATATTTCATCCCCAAGGAGAAAAAGCCTTATCATAATTTTATCATATATATTTTTGTATTTGACCAACTAGTTACTAAATTTATTGATTTAATAATATTGAAAAGTTATTGAAGTGAGGCCTACAGCTAGAGTACCTAAATGAGTCGTTAAGTCATTGTATCTGTGATATTGGTCATAGCTAGCTAGTAATATTATTTTCAGTTTTTAGTTCGCAATTTTCAATTTTCAGTTTTCATTTTTATAAAACTTCAAACATAAACTTTGTTTGGTAACTATTCAAGTTTTCAAAATAAAAGAAAAACTGAAAACTATTTAAAAGTTATTTGGTAATTAATTTATGTTTTCAATTTTATGTGGAACTTGGAAGTGAAACTTTTCTTGGGGTCAAATTGTGCATTTGAGGTTATAGAATGAAAGTTCATGTTACAAAGATTTTATATCATTTTTCGTTGAATTATTTGAATTAGGATGAATTTTTGTGAATTTTGAATTTGGAGGTCCCGAGACTAGGAATTGGTCCATTGCCAAGCACAATAGTGGAGCGGCCGGGTCCAAGTAGGGAGGTCCCAAATACCGAGTTTTGGAACTAGAGTGCAATGCATATGTGGTTATATAAAATTGATGAATGAAAAATTAGTGTAAAAAAATGAAAACTTAAAAAAAAATTAAAGTTGTTTTTTATTATAAAAAATGGTAATTTGAAAGCTAGTTTTCATTTTTTCAAATACAGAAAATGAAAATATTGTTATCAAACACATGTTTTCAACAGAAAACGAAATGATTATCAAATGCGCATAAGATAATATTTAGGGTTTAATACGTCTTCTTTTTTTCTTTGAACAAGAACAAGATTTATTAATATTCTCAACTCCATGTGCTGGCTGATGGAGTACACGCACATGCACATCACGTCTCTACTGTTCCTAATTTTCTCTTACCGGCTGAGTACTAATTAATTATTCTCATTCCAAGACAAGGGGAAGAAGAATAATATGTTTTATTTTATTTTTCTAATGGATTAATGAATCAGATGCTATATGTACCTACATAGTACTCAAATGCCTGGTGTTTTAACTATGTGTTGTTCTTTAGAAAAAAAGAGAGAAAAGTGTGCAAATAATTTTATTACTTTTTTTTTTGGGAGATTCATAATTATACCCAATATAGGGGCCCAAATTATATAAAAAAAACTATATGAAATGGATTTTAAAAACACACCCAAAGCCCATTTATAATATAACAAAAAGACTTTTAACTTCTTATAAATTATAAAACTACTATCAATTTCTTAAAACAAGCCTAATCCCAAAACCTCATAAAAATACCCAAAACACTCAATAGGGTATCAAAGTAATTTAATAATCAAAATTAAATTCAATAAGCCCAGCTGTCATTTTTTGGGATTTGTTTATAGAAATTAAATGAAAAAGGGTTTATCTATATTATTAGTGCTAAGAATGGGTATATGACTAAATATCTTTTCTTTTTTTTCTTTTTTTGCTAAATGTGGAAGATTTTACTAAAATACGAAAAGTAACGTTTGCATCAATGGCTAACAAATTAAACAGCCACACTGGAAAAAATAAGAGACTTCCACAAGATGAGTCTGATGCCGCTGGAAAGGGGTCTGAACAGAAGGGGCCCATCCTTTGTCACCCAAGAAGACGTCATTACAATATTGGAAAAAGAACTAAGTCAAAGCCAGGAGGATTGGAAGTATCTTCCTCAACCGTCGTATCCATCAAGCTTATTTTAACAGCCATATCCTAAAGGCTACGAAGCACCAAGCTTTGTCCTTTTTGACGGAAGGAAATGGAGCCCGAAGGAGCACGTCAACCGTTTCATTGATGCCTTAGGACCACATGCTAGAGATTATAATCTCCAGCTTTGAGAATTCTCGAAGAGCCTTACTGATCGTGCTTACACATGGTATATGACATTGGCACCAGGCGCTGTTCGTTCTTATGAAGATTTGGCAAGCAGGTTCTTTAAGAAGTATTTCCAGCATGAAGAAAGAGTTACTATCATTCAACTCAACAACACTTGCCAAAAACATGGAGAGGATCCCGTGGACTTTGTGCACAGGTTCCGGGACCTAGCGTTAGATTGCTATGATGAGAAAGATGAGGAGGCGCTTGTCGAAATTTACATTAGCAATATTGTGGCAGATTATGGAGTTTATTTGGAGAATATTGGCATCAATTAATTTTCTCGGCTGCTGGAAGAAGTGAGGAAAACAAGCATTTCAGTCAAATTAACTGGCCAAGAAGCTTGGAGGAGTGAAGAGACAGAAGCACACCAAACATTGGATGAGGATGCTAAATCATCCAGTGACTGCAATTCATGCAAAAGAAAAGGCAAGGAGACGTACTTGCCACTGGCGTGCAAAGATGGAGAATTCCATGCCATTCTTGATACAATGTTTGTCCATGGTACAATCGAACCCCTTAGGCCCTACAAAGTTCCTACCAAAGAAGAAAAGTGTGATCTTAGGTACTGCCGTTATCATCAGTTTGTGGGTCATCTAACCACTGATTGTCTAACTTTGAGGAAAATCTTGCACGCCGAGATACATGACAGAACTATTGAGCTGCCCTCTAGGAAGCAAGCTTTTGACGAAAACCCCTTGCCAAAACGAAGGGGAAAGGAGATGGCTGTTGTCATTACATGCTATGATGACTTGCTCGATGACGACGTATTGTGTCACCAGTGGAAGAATGATCCAAAGCCATTGGAGGATATTTGGAAAACTTGTGGAAATATGGAGGAAGCTTGCTGGTGTAAATATTCAAAACCTTCAAGTTATAACACCCTGTGGCCACTTGCTGATGGATGGGAGGATGGTTCTAGCAGCGAAGTATTCACATTGGACATGCTGGAAGAACGCCACTTCGGGGCTTCATTTGGTCAACAAGATTATCTAGAGACAGCTGCCGTAACCTCTCATAAGAGTCGCAAATCACTCTCTAATTAATTGGGTTATGAGCCACATGAAAGTAAAGCAGCAGCTGTGGCTCTGTTAAATATTTCTACAGAGCATGGCAACCTTGTACAACACATGCTAAATACATGCCAACCTAAGCCACGAGCTTTCATGCTATTGCAAATCATGCACACTCCTTGGCCCTTTCATACTTGGGGGTGTGATTTGATTGGAGTATTTATCAATGCAAAGTTGCCCAAAGCCTTACTACTGCTGAGTCGCTTTTGCACCTATCCTTTTGTTTTTGGAATTTCAAATTTATATCAAAGAGGAACTTCTTTTGTGTTTTCACCATATGCTTTCACAACTTTTGTCGAATGCACCACCATTATGGCATGCCAAGGTGTAAGAGGACATTTGCAATGAGAATGGAGTATTTTCGAAAAAGGAAAAAGAGTTCTTTCCTTACTTTTACATTCTTCTGTTTTACAAAACATGTTCTCTGAAAAAATAAAAATAGACAGTCAAACTTTTCTTTACAAAATTAAGCCTCTTAGCAGCAATTATACCAAGCAAAGTCACTTAGATGGAACCCCAAGCTATTAACAAGCACCATGCACAAGCAATATCATATGCCAATCATGAAAAGAAAAAAAGAAAGTCATGCTATCAAGGAAAATCATTCCAGTCCCTGCAATATTTGAAGAGAGTGTATGTGTTGGGGTGCTGTGAAAAGAAAAAAAATCAGATCACATAAGAAGGGCTTTGTGGAAGAAAAAAAAATGTAGAGGCAATGGGGCAAACACTTTTGTGATCCTGTAAAAAAATTGGCAGCATGTACCTTGTTTTTAAGGATACCCGACCTATCAGAAAATCTCAGGCAGTTCACAAAAAATAAATTTTGCCAACCAAGCAATATATATATAACATGACTCAGGCATTCAAAAATTAATACAAGCTCCAGTGATTCAACACTACATTACAAAGTCATAACGACATAGTCGTTAGAGTATCCACAAAAAAAACTACCGTCAAAGCAAGATAAAACTACAAATGCTAAAGACCCATGTAGCCTATGGTCTCCAAGGGAACGGAACCATGCGCCAAGCTAATTGATCACCAAGCCAAGAACTTGGAAGGCGGCACCTCTCAAGAAAGAGGATGTGATATCGGTGACCTCCATGAAACTCCCATAGCGATCCATAAATTTCCTCATAACCGCGACTGTCTCTGGATACAAAAAGGCGCCTTGAAAGGGTGCATAACCATCAAACTTCTGACAAAGCGGGAGAAGCGCATCTATAGATCGGAGGATCTTAGTACCACCATCAAAGAAGGCTTTGAACGCCATGAAGGAATTCTCCCAATTCTACCAAGACATGCTTTTCTCCGATAAATGCCTCTCGAAGGTACCTATGATAGGAGCATCACCATCCTTATGGCTGTCATCAACGATCTCACCACGAGGCAGCACTGCTGGAAGCTGTGGAGAGGTGCCGGCAGCTGTGCCAGATGTGCCTAGGATAGGAGGAGTATGAGGCAGCACTACTGGAAGCTATGAAGAGGTGCCGGCAGCTGTGTCAAATGTCCCCAAGCAAGGAGGAATAGGAGGTAGCACCGTTGGAAGCTGCGAAGAGGTGCCGGCAGCCATGTCGGATGTTCCTGGGGAATGAGGAGCAGACGGCTAAGCTGCTGGAAGGTATAGAGCAGTGTCGGCAGCTACACTGGACGTCTCAAGAGGAGGAGTAGGAAGTGTATTCTCCACACCTTGTGATATTCTCTCAACCTGAGAAAAAAGAAGAAGGGAAAAGACGCAAAGGAAAATAAACCAAAATGATAGGAGGCATGAGAAAAGGGAAGCAAATTAAAGCATGGAAGATGAAAAGTGAGCGATAAATACCTTGCCAACAATATGCGCAGTGTCAATAACTGTAAAAGGAGGGCCAAGGCCAGCCTCCGGTGAGCAACCCACCGTGTCCTCGAAGGTGGGCACAACCTGCGGGAGAAATATGGGGTATGAGTTGCAAGTCACAACATGCAGCACGCAACGCGTATATACCAAGTAAAACAAGCAAGAAGGTTATTTGATACCGGTTCAATGTCAACATGCCGCTCATGGTCACTAACAAATTCAGGAGGCATGCCTGAGGCATTCGGCTCCTCCACACGAGTGTTGGAATTTGGTTTCTACAGCCATGGTTCATATCACCCTTTTCTCAAGAAGCTGAACTTGGTCAAGCAAACAGTATATAGGTGCCCTAAGAACATGGGGGCTAGAGGAAGCACGCTGCCACATGCTATCATTAAGGCCAAAGGAAACACCCGCTCATGCAAACAATTTTAGGAAAAATCACAGAAGATAAATCTCTCAAGCCATAACGATATAAACACTGCAAGACGACATGGCTCATTCTTGTTAACATCTCCCAAAAAAACCGAATCCAATTGCTAAATCGCAGGGAAGTGCTAGGAGAAGATGGGGACCCTTCCGTAAGGCCTCAAGCTTTAGTTCATCATCCGGAGTAAGCACGATGTGGAAAGGATCTTGGCTGCCACAAAGTGGGGGATGGAAAATGTTGGCTACGTCCTCAAGTGTGGGAGCAAACTCCCACCATGAACAAATGAAGATGTGTGTCTCGGTACTCCATCGCCTAACCACATGCCAGAGCATATTGGCTTCAATATGGATGTCACAAGCTTTAGAAATAAAGATGGCGTCTAGTACCTCTACCCGGTTTAGGATGTCACAGGTAGAAGGGTCCTTCAACTCGCGGTCAACCCATTCTGACCAACCCTTGCTGGTGCCACATGGATATTGAAAGAATAAGGAGACTGCCGGAAATAAGCCTCTCTCTATACAGCACCTCGATATGGATGTAGGATAAATTACTAGAGTAAATTCCGGCACTGGCTCTCCATCAAGGATTATGTCTTCATCAGCACTCTTGAGCAAAGGAGGCGGCCTCACCGGGGTCGAGGTTCCCTCTGTCGGGCATTCCCCATCCCTCTACAATATGTTCCCGGCCTCCTCCCGAGAGTCTGATCCAACGTCTCCGTCAAGATCTGAAATCCAGCATCCTGTGGAGGATCCACAGACTCGATCGGAGTCTCGGGAGGAAGTTGGGAGGTAGACTCCTGAAGAACCAAATAGTTCCTCTTCCCCATCGTCGTCTGTTTAACATAACATAAAATATAAATTAAAACATGTATATAAATTGAATGCGTAACGTAAAAAAAAATAATAATACTTACATGAAGGGACTCGGCCAACTCATTCCCAGGTCGAACATAAACGTCATCAAAGACGTCGATCTCTGGGAATTTCGACCCCCCCCCCCCCCCCCTAAATTGAATAAGAGAAGAAAAATATTTGTATGAACAAAATAAATTAATAATAATGACATATTAAAAATTAAATAGAAATCATATTATTATTACCCGCCGCCGTGCATCCATCCTATATGAGAAGGGCCTCGAGCAGGAATGGTGGAGAAGAGTCTTCTTCTTCCTATTGCCCTTATTCACTTGGGTTTTATTTTGTTATACAAAAAATAAAACATATTAGTTTAAATACAAAAAATTAAATAATAATGAAATATAAAAAATGAAATAAACATTAATAAAAAATATGAAATAATTAAACAAATACCACATAATCGGGCGCCTGAAAATGAGTGCAGAGCCATGCCCAACTATCCTCCCGCCCCTCAAGCTCCTCCGGGCAACCCTCCCGAAGAGCGACTTCCAAATCATCAAACGCCTGAAAATGGTGGTGCAAGTCACTCTTCCACTGCTTGTACCTCTCACCGAAGAGTCTGTTGACGTACGCCAAAGACTCCTCGTTGAGGTCCTCTAAGTTATAGTTCGTCTGCAATAAATTACTTATATACATTAAGTAATAGAAATATATAAAATTAGAAAGAAAAATAATTACAAGGTAGGATACATACCGACAACTGGCCGCGAACCTCCATCTTGATCTCGTCAGGCAAGACCTTCCAAGACTTCCAGTGCATTGGGCAATGGGTCCGAACGATGTGCCCAATGTCGTGGGCCAAGGAGCTATGCAACTCCGCTGTCGGTGCAGCCCAATGGCGCTCGTCGTATCTGATGCTGATACGACTGTTGGTCACTCGGGTGACCTTCGTCGTCTTCAGCTGCCGACACGGCCCTCGGGTGTTCTTCTTGGCTGCAATGAGATATGACAATAATGTTCAATAAATAACAAATTTAACTATAAAATTCAGAATATAAAAAATTAAAAAAAGAACTACAGTTGAGGGGATATCTATACCTGGCTGTGACGCCAAGGCAACGTCATGTCGGTGGTGCTTGCGGGCCGATGCCACCACCTACCGCTAATAGGTTGCGCCACTGATGAAGCTGATGACGCAGGCGCCTGGGACACCCCTGGCAGTTGGTCCATCAGTGCTGGAGCAGTGGCAGCAGATGCCGACTGAGCCGGGGGCTCCGAACTCGGTGTAGTCGTCACCGACCTACGACATCTAATCAGATCTGACATCTGCACAATTTCCAAAGGGTACACACACAAATTAATAGAATTTAGAATATATAAGTTATAAAATTTTATTAACAATTTTAAATAATTAATTACAAGAATAACCTAGGGTTTGCGATTTCGGACTATCCGGGACTCCGATCCACAATCCGTCGAATCCTACACGATCCTAGAAATACAAGGTACAACATACGTGAGTTTGAGTTCGATCCAACGGTCCAAACATATCAAACCTGGAAATTGCACAATAGGCGAAATCCGTTCGAGACTGAAACGGTAACCAAATTAAAATCCGAGCACACCTACGTGCTCGTGACAAATAGGGGATTGCTCTGGGACCCAATGCCCCACTGCCATAGTCCCCAAGCGCCACCACACGCGCCGGCAGCACGTGGGTGTCCAAAGCGATAACAATTGTCGGAAATTTCTAAAAACTAAGGGCCAATATTCCTACCCTAGGTTCAAAACATCATTTAGAGGGACTTTTGTTCTCGGACCTACCCCAAAAAATGGCCGGAAGTAGCTGGAATTTAAATTCAAAAACCAGCCAAAACCTAGGGTTTAAATTCGAGACACCTATTCACACAATTATCCATATCCTAATCAACCATCAGCTAGAGCACAAGAAGTGGTCCAGAAACCGTACCTCAGGCGTCGGAATTGGTGGCCGGAGGAGAGAGAAAACAGTCGACACAGAATCTGCCAAACGAAGCTTTTTCCGGCGGAATCTTTGACGGTGACGGTGGGGGAACCTCTGGGTTTCGACGGTGGTGGTGGCCCGGTCCTTTTTCCGGCGGAGCACTAGGCTGGGGTGACGGCGGAGAGAGAGGGTGTTTAGGGCAGAGAGAGGAAGTGAGGAAGAAAGGAGGATGTCACGATTTTTCTGAAAATTTCTCGGATCTTACGCAACGAAGAACACAATGTGTCGCCCGTACTCTGTTTTAATGAACCTTGCGCGACGGAAAAAGCAAAAAACCGTCGCGCAAGGTTGTTTTCCGCCCAAATTTTCATTACATTCCGCCCAAATTTTGAAGACCTTGAGCGACGAGGTGCAAAACCGTCGCCCAAGCTTGTTATGCCGCCAGAAATTTTAGGGTTTATTGAAAGGTATGACCACTTTGCGCAACGGATAAATAACATATTCGTTGCGCAACTTTGTTATGCCACCAGAAATTTTAGGGTTTAGGGTTTATTGAAAGATATGACCACTTTGCGCGACGGATAAATAACATATTCGTCACGCAAGGTTAGGGTCTGTGCACTTTGCGCGACAGATGAATCACATATTCATCGCGCAAGCTTTTTATTACGCCAGAAATTTGTAATATATCGCTTAGGAATAGTGAAATTACGGTTTTGCCCTACTTGTGTTCTTTGTTCTTTTCTGTCCTATTAGGCAGCACAGTAAAATGACCATATTGCCCCTCTCTCTTTTCAATTAATTTTTTCCCTTTTGAACTTTTTTATAACACATTTAAAGAAGTACTGCAACTCACAATGAGTACTTTGTTTAATTCACACATCGCTAAGTAAGTAGTCGGTTGAGAAAAAAGGTACCTCTATATCTCACTTGATCACCGAAGGCTGAGAAAAAACAGAGAAAAGAAAAGGGTTGGAGACTTGGAAATTTAATGTGAAAGGTTGAATTAACTTTCAAGTTAGGCTTGGGTGGGGCTAAACAAAATCACAATTTATAAACATGATAAAACATTGAAGTCTTCGTGTTCGTCTATGTTTTGGCATTAATGGATAATAAAATATATTTGATCACTTTATACACATTTTACACAATTTTAAAAGAATTGAATGACATTGCGTGACGAAGAGGTAGTAGATTCGTCGCGCAAAGATAATAAATTTCAACCAAGTGTACCGTGGGGTTTAGGGTTAGGGTTTAGAATGCACGACTGCAAATCTTTGTTCTGTGCAAACCTCTCGCAAAAATTTATGCTAAGTGTTCCGTATTTGTAAAAGGCCTGAATGAGATTGCGCGACAAATATACCACTTTTTCGTCGTGCAAGTTCTGTGCACTTTGCGCGACGAATAAGTTTTTATTTCGTCGCGCAAGATTGTAATTCCGCCAAAATTTCTGAAAATTCCGAAAATTTAATTATAATTACATTGTTTTTTGTTTATAGGTGTTATATATGTTTTATGTCAGTATTCATATATTCATATGCTAAACATAGGAGTATATTAATTTAAGACTATTGGAAAAAGAAAAATAAAATGTTAACATGTTAACATGTTATTCTCTACAAAAATCTCAAATTTTTCCAATAGATTAATTTTAACAGAGGAGTATATTAATTTAAGACTATTGGCAAAAAATATATACTCTTCTTTGGGTGAAAGGTGTAAGTTAGATTAAAATGTTAACATCAATTATGATAAAATAAATTTAACATAATTTATGTGATTAAATTATATGTATATATATATATATACATGATTCTATAATAAATTTATAACAATAGGGTTTAATATTATAATATCCTTCAAACAAAACCAAAAATGAAAAAATCATCTACATGTGGTATTCATTCAATTTGAAGATTTTAAACACAAAAAAGAGAAAACCGTAATTCTTATACTCATAAATGGCAATTGAAAATCAAATAGATATATTCAAATATAGGTATATATGTGTTATATTCAAATATGTTTTCAAATTTAGGTATATATCTAAATTTTAATTTATATATTATATGTTGTAATTTAATTTGTGATTGCAAATTTTGTGTGCAACTTCATTTTAATTTGTGATTGCCATATTTACACTACCATAATTAAATTACAACAAATTTCATTTACTATGTTTTACATGGGTAGTCGCTAATGAATTGCATTATTCATCATCTGAACTATAATAACTTTTGTTATCCTCGCTATCATCAGTTTCGGTCTCCCAATCCTCCTCCTAATCACTTTCGTTGTTCGGGCCCACTAGAACTTTGTAGCACGGAAGATCACCGAGGTCAATTGTAATTGACTGAATCGGTATTTCGATTGAAGACACTCCTTGAAGCTGAAACGGTTTTTGTATAACATCTGTATCTCGAAGTGTTTCTGCATCAGTTTCCATGGAAGATTCCAACCGTTGGTCAGTGACGTTGTCGACGTCGTTGTCAGTTGGGTCTAGTTCTGGTATAGCATACACGTTCCTCTGATCCATCCGCTGAGCAACTTTCCAACCGCTTCCGGCTTTAGGGTCATCTAGATACACAATCTGTCTTGCCATGTTTGCCAAAATGTAAGGGTCGTCATCATACCAAGTTCTGTTAGTATTCACTGATAGTAAGCCATGGTCTATTTTAACACTTCCCTGCCTATTTGGGTTTGTATCAAACCATCGACACTTAAACATGATCACTTGGTATCGGTCTTTGTAAAGCAATTGCACGACAGTTGTGAGTTTGCCATAGAAATCAATGTCAGTACTTTCGCCACCACCTGGGACATGGACACCGCTGTTTTGCGTACACAACTTGTCATCTCGTGCAGTCCCCAAAAACTTGACGCCATTAACATGGCAACCCGAGAATAATTCAGTGCGAATCGGGCCGAACGCCAAGTTATATAACTCTTCACTGTAAGAGGGTGAATTCGATGATTTCAACTTATTCACCTAATATTATACAAATGAATTCACATGTTAGTTTGATAACATTAAATAATACACAATATATATATATATATATAACAAATACAAAACACTTATAACTTACATATTCCAAAAACCATTTTGGAAACAAATCACGGTGTTTCTTGGCATACAAATGTGATGGATGTTCTCACTTCATCATCTCTTCATGCTCATCTAAGTATGACATTATCTCATCACAATTGTTAAGTATGAACCAATGCGCTACCTCCATGTCATTTCTAGAAAACGAATCTCCTCGTACCGGATCTCCAAAGGGTCGTGCGCTTTGGGCGAAAACAGAAAGTTTCTCATTTCTCAGACCTCCGTCACTATTGCGTTGAGGACGATTGAAATCCGTGTCCACATCTTTTAAATACATTCCACAGAAAGTAAGCGACTCATATTGAACCCAAGCCTCTATAATTGATCCTTCAGGTTTCGCCCTGTTGCGTACAGTTTTTTTCAACTCTCCCAGAAGCCTGGCAAAATAAAAACAAACGATACAAATTAGTGACCGTGAGATAAGGATGCAGAAACAAATGATGAGGATTATATACCTTTCTATTAGATACATCCAACGATAGTTTATAGGACCAATGAGCAATGCCTCTTCTGGCAAATGAACCATCACGTGGATCATACTTGTGAAGAAAGCTGGAGGGAATATCATCTCGAACTTGCATAGGACTTGGACAATGTCATGGCGCAACTGATTAATGTCTGTCTTTCGCAATGTTTTTGCCGTCAGTTGGGAAAAAAATCTGGACAACAACATGATTGGTTTCACTACATCTTCTCGCAAAAGGTGTCTAATACCCACAGGAAGTAGGCATTGCATAAACACATGGCAGTCATGGCTCTTCAGTCCAGTAAATTTACCCCCGTCAACATTCACGCAACGCGTGATATTAGAAGCATACCCATCGGGAAACTTTACCGACGATACAAACTGTAGAAAATCTTTTTTGTCATTCGGTTTCATGGCAAAAAATACCAGATCCCTTCTAGTTTTATCAACGTCCCTGTTCATCCATAAACCTCTTCGTATGCCCATTCTTTCCAAATCAAGACGAGCTTTGATCGTGTCCTTTGTCTTACCCTCGATATCTAGAATCGTGCCCAGCAATGTGTCAAAGACATTTTTCTCAACATGCATAACGTCAAGATTGTGCCTCAATTTTAGTTTCGACCAATATGGGAGCTCAAAAAACATAGACTTGTGCGTCCAGTTCAAATGTGTAGAAGGTCTGGTCCGAGTAACTGTTTTCCCGAACGGAGAAAAATTCAAACGGTTTAGCTGTTCCAAGATCTCATCACCGGACCATTCTCTAGGTCTGAGGCGATGCTCTATGTTCCCGTCAAACTCTTTATCCTTTTCCTGCCACTCATGGTCCCATGGCAACTATCTTCGATGACCAAGATAACAAACTTTTCCCGTGTGCCAACCAGAAGTTACATTTTTCTTACATACAGGGCATGCCATATAACCCTTTGTGCTCCACCCAGAAACCATTGCATATGCGGGAAAATCATTTACAGTCCACATCACTGCTGCACGCAAAGTGAACATCTTCCCAGTGGCTTTATCGTACGTGTGCACACCGTTTGTCCATAAATCCTTGAGCTCATCAACCAACGGCCATAAGTAAACATCGATTGACCTGCCAGGATCCTCAGTTATCAAAACAGTCATCATCATGTACTCTTTTTTCATGCATTTCCAAGGCGGCAAATTATATAGAAATACGAAAATCGGCCAAGTGCTGTGGTGTTGGTTTAGAACCCCGTACAGATTGAATCCGTCAGTGCCAAGTCCCAATCTAACATTTCGAGGATCAGCAGCAAAGTCGAGGAACGTTCGATCGAACTCTTTCCATGCTTCCCCGTCTGCAGGATGCCGCATCACATCGTCGTCTACCCGTTTCTCCTTATGCCATCTCATGTCTGTGGTAGTATGAGTCGACATATACAATCGCTGTAGCCTAGGTTTCAAGGGCAAATAACGCATGACTTTCTGTGGGATCTTAGTCATCCTATTCTGAGATGTCATCTTGAACCTCGACTCTTTGCATATAGGGCATGTATCCAATGTTTCATACTCTTTGTAGAATAACATGCAATTGTTTTTGCAAGCATGAATTTTTTTATAACCCAATCCAAGACCATTCAACACCTTTTGCGCTTGTCTATGGTCTTTGGGTAAACAATTGTCCGTCGGAAGCATTCTCTTGAAAACGCCCAAAAAGTAATCAAAACACAGGTTCGACATACGATACTTTATTTTTCCGTGCATTAGCTCCACAATGGCCGTAAGAACGGAAAAGCTCTCGCACCCTGGGTATAACTCATGGTTGGCACTTTTAACAGTTGTTCATATTGTTCGAACTCTGCACTGTCCATTGGAGTAGGCACGTCATCTTCCCCTTCCTGATTGATGTTGGTTGATGCAAATGGAAAAGCATCATTTATAATATCCATGACTTGTTCATTAGGATCCACAATAGGTTCAATATTGTCTACCCCTGTGGCATTTGAAGATGAAGCATTGTCTAATTGTTCCCCGTGAAGGTTCCAAATGCTATATGTCTCAATCATTCCATTCCTTACTAAATGAAAACCAACATTTTCAATTGTCTCCCACAACGTGTTATTACACCTTCTACAAGGACAATGGATTCTAGTTGCACCCGGGTTGTGTCTACGTGCAATCTCAATAAAATCCTCGATTCCATCCAAGTATTCGTCTGCGCATTTATTTGGGTTCTGTATCCACCTTCTGCTCATGATTCCTGAAACCACAATCACAACAGTGTATCACAACAACTTCATACGAAGTAATAATGTCACATTATGCCTCCGGTAAGGGCCCTATCCCATTCGGGAATGCATAGTCCTGTCACATAACCTACGGCTACATGAGATTAGATTTCGACGTGGATAAATTTCGGCAGCATCTCGATACAGTTCTTGAGGTGGGCATAGGTATAAATACCTACGTACCACCCGAAGAACATACCGAGATAACACCGAAATCTCCACAATCGAAATCTAATCCTGTAGCCAAAGATTACGTGACAACACTATGCATTACCAAACTGTCCAAATAATGTGACAATTCAAGAATTAATTGGACCGCAATCATGCTTTACGCATCCATGCACGAAATCCAACTAATCTCAAACGGGAAACTAAGTGTTACTAAAAAATTATAATAAAAGTACGAAGTTAATTTCAATTAACTTCGTACATCACAACACATTGTGCTACGTCACGCACAATTTAACAACATAATATAAATATAATTCAACAACAAAATATATAAATATAACAAACTAAGTTCAACATAATGTAATGAATTTAATATAAAATGAATGAAATACCTTCTCAATCGTTCTCCACAATCGCAATTTACAAATATCTATAATAATAAAAAAATTAATACCGTTAGTACGAATTTACATTAATACTTTTAAACAAATGACAAATAATACTTACCCAATGAGCGTATTGAATTCTCAGCATAGGCAGCAGCACAGACAGAGGAAAAATCGAAATGGCAGAAAAATGGAGCAATCTGCCTCTGCAATGGCAGATTGCAGATATGTAGAAGAAGGATTTTGCGCGACAAATAACGTTTTCGTCGTGCAAGAAATTGGGTTTTTGCGCGACAGAACATATTTGTCTTCGCGCAAACTCGTGAAGGTGTCGCGCAAGCGAAACTTTCCGTCGCACAAGAGTGTCGACATCAAACCTTACGCGGCGAAACAAACGTCCGTCACGCAAGTATTTGGCGCCATTTTCTCTCCTTCGCGCAACGAAAGTAAAATCGTTGCGCAATCATTGCGCAAATATTTGGCGAAAAAAAAACCACCTTGTTTTCCGTTCCATACTTTGAGGGACGAAGAAATTAATTTGTCGCACAAAGGTTCTTAGCGCGACCAACTCTGTCGTCGCGCAAAGGTTTGGCGCCAAAAAAAAACCCCCGCGTTTTTCTTCCCCACTTTGTGCGACGACTCATTTTTTTGTCGCGCGAACGATCTTTGTACGACTGAAATGTTCGTCGCGCAAGTTTCCAGTTTTTTGCTCGACGAATAATTTTTTCCGTCGCTGTAGTGCCTTTTGCGCGACGAATTTTCCTTCATCGCGCAAACTTTCGTCGCACAAATAGTAAAATGTAGTAGTGACAATGGTCTCAACTACATGTTTTTTTTCTTCTCATAACTACAATGTAATTTTTCTACAACTGAAAGTAATGTTGTCCCAAGATGAAAAAGAGTTGAACCAAATTGCAAACGATCCTCAATGACAACCAAAAAGAATGGATCTTTTTGGTTCAACTGTCATAAAAAAGAAAAATGGTCATAAAAATGGATATAGAAGATATAAAAGGGCAAATTACCATTGGGGAAGAACATCAAGTTGTTTAACAGAGAGATAAAAGGCCAAATTACCATTGGGGAAGAACATCTTATTTATGGCTGGGAAGCCAAAAAATATAAAACATAATACAACATTGTTAACATTAAAGTGAGAAGACAAACAAAATTAATGTTTGATGTCTAAGAAGTGACCATGGTGAGGAAAATAAAAGGATGAAAAACAGAATCCATCAAAGGATTAAATGTCAAGAAGCATGAAAAAATAAAAATCACACTCCTAAAAATAAAGGTGTACATACAAAGCATAAAAAGCTACAAAAGAATCTTTCCTGTGGTAATATAGGCAGAAAATATGGCCTCATATAACAAAAAGATGAATCACCTCTTTGTATGAAGAGGATCTTTCTTCCTTCCCACTTCTTTGTATTCTCAGCCATGTCTTTCAACATTCCATAAGCAGCTTTGCCACTAAAAAAGGAATGACATCATAAATCAATGATCCCATTATTCGGCAGAAGAGAAAAGCCACAGAGAGAGAGAGAGAGAGAGAGAGAGGAGAGAGAGAGAGAGAGATGCAGATCATACTTCAGAATTAACTATGAATAATTTAACCATTTATCCTCCTCAAGGGAAGTGATGGCACAAAGACGGAAACATAAACAAAGAGTTGTGGAAATAAAACAGAACCTGTAAACTGGATCTAGAACAATCCCAGTGGTCGCAGCAATCTCCGTGACAAACTTAAGCTCCTGAGACGTGTTTATTGCATAGCCCAGACCTTTGTCCTGTCAAACCACAATACATTTACTTCCTTTTTTGGTGTTTACAATATATAATTACTTACAATTGGTTAGCATATACATTGTGTGTAAAACTATATGCACATCATCTCATAATGGTAACATATGAATAGTTACAATTTACAACCCATGATTTTCCAATCTAGGATTTCATTTTTCTGTAGAGGATGCACATGTAAGACTTGTATAGTGTAGGCAAACTACTGTAAGATCAACCTTAAAAGAACATGTAGTACGAAGCAACAGAAATCATGTGTTCAATGCTAACAATATAGTGTCTAATCTGCTTTGACCATCACATTTTGAATGTTAACAATATCACGTGAATCAACGCCTGCCTCAAGTCCATCAAGTAGGCCTTGAACATAGTCGTAGAAGTAATCAGGGTCATCACAGACAGAAAATAGGAAATACTTCTCATTTCCACTGTGAAGCAAAGAAATTGCATCAAATTCTAGGAACCCAAAATGAATACTTAAAAAATATATGGCAGATAGAAAGGAGATAAAGGGAAAAATACAGCAGTTAAAGTGTACAGAAACAAATTATTATTAAATATACAGTTTATGCACATTTCAATAGAAGGCAAACCCAATCTCACCAGGTTCCTAGGGAGTTTGATCCACCAACAGGAATAACATATGGCCTTCTTCCTTCTTTAGCCCTTCCAAATTGAATTTCTTGGCATTCTGCTACTTCTCTCCTTTAAAGTACCTCTCTTCTATATAATTTCAGGATTGAAGTGCTGCCGGACGATTAGTAAGGATCAAGTCATCCATGGATTATTCTATGATCTTCTCACCGGTGGAGAAAAGATTCCAGACAACAGTTCCAAACAGATAAAGGCCTACTGAGACGTTGAATACGTCATCCCAAGAACCTGAGAAATGTCAATGTGGAAAGAGAGGAATATCAGAATCAGCTTGTTTGCTTAAACATTACAGCTTGATGTGATGCCCACAAGGCCAAAAAAATGAGGACAATTTGATCTCCACTTATGCCTGAAAATGAAAATAGCTAGCTAGCTAGGACAATTTAAGTCAAAAGTTTCTACAACCAGCTACAAGTTTTTGGCTAGTCAACAGAATTTATATTCTAATGAGTGCTATGCTCTGATGTTTATGTATACATATAAAATGTGATTGTCCAATGTAAGGCAATGCATGAAAATAGTGTCACAAATGTAAACCAGGTTAATTCAATTTTTATGCTACAGAAGAATAAAAGTGGATTCAAACTTCAGTTAGTTCACCATATAGTTCAGTAATTAGCTTACTAGCAACTAAGAATTGCAGTAGATGGTTACTAACCATGTTGCAAGATGTAGCCAGTCGATGCCGTTCCAAAGACGCCGGCGAGCACTCCTGCAGTGTTGGACAGACCAAGCAAGACACCCTGAGAAACAATTTGAACAAGAAAATTAGACCCATCTGTTCAGCATCTAGAATTCCTCTACAATCAGAAAGCATGCATTGGCACGTGATTGATGGGCTTATGTACTTGGAACTCAGTAAGATGTCTAATTACACAGAAGAAATTTCCATATATGCAAGCCAAATCAGAAACTAAAGCCAATACTCACAGAATATCGTGGAGCAATATCTTGATGGTTTGAATATAGACCAGATTGTGAGAATGCATCAGTTCCCTATTTAAGCAAGAGAAACAAAAACCAGTTAGCTAAAAGATAGAAAATAATAAAATGAACAAAAGAACTGTTAAGCAATTGTATAAAGCTTCCAAAAGAAGGAAGAGGAACATATATTTATTTTTCTCATTCCATGTATTGCAAGAATCATACCTGACTGCATGCCATACATAGAACAGCCATTGCAGGAGAATTAATATGGCTCAACTGAGTGAGGAAGAAAGCAAGTCCAAGAAAACCCCCTCCTTTTAGTCTCAACACATTAGCTCCAGCTTCAGCAAAACTCAGTAGCAATTCATGTATCACCTCCTGAAGGGGGGGAAAAAACGATTCAGCTCTTTCCCAAGACCCCAAAGTAAAGCCCCAATTCACTTCTCTAACCCAGATAAAAATTAACACAAACCCAAATACCCAATTCACCAAATTGCCTAAAGATTTCAAATTTCTAGTAAGAGAGAACCCATATCAGAAACTCAATTGAAAATCAAAATAAAATTTGAAGGTTGTTTCAGCTAATACAAGAAAGAGCAAGAGAGAGAGAGAGGAAGACCAGTGGTCATCGTCGCCGGTGGTTTGTGGATGAGAGCGCAGCTAGTGTAGATGAAGCGTTGGGTTTTGTTCTTGGGCTAGTGTTGATGACGATGAAGCATTTGACTTACGTTGAATGAAGTGCTAGGTTTTGTTTTTATTTTTTTATTTTTTTATATTTTGGGCCATAAGTGACGGTGTCAATCTTCACCCAATAAAATTTTCAATCCTCACTTTCATGCTTTGTGATGAATGTGCATTATTCGTCACATTCAGTAAAAAATTGGGCACCAAGATTTCCCGCTATGTAATTTGTGACGACAACGAAATTATAATGTGACGAAGATGGAGTGAAACTTTTGTTTGGTCCTTTCAAGACGTTTAGGTGATGACTTGCAAAATTTTCTCACTTATACAAGCCAAAGGTGACGAAATTTTCAGCGTCATGTAAAATTTGGTCACATAAGACCTGTTTTCTTGTAGTATAACAATACCTTCTAATCAACCAACACATTTTCCTTCCACCTTGATGTGCTCCACATATTCCTTCATGGACCTCTCCCATGACCTTCATGCACTCTTCTTTCCCTAAACATCTAAAGAGTAATTCATCTTTGCTTTTTCGGACCAAATCTCCATCCCACATAAGGTAGTTCAAGGCCACGATTCTTATCTTCTTTTCAAAAGGAAGGGTTGGATATCACAGATAATTGATTATAGGCAATCTCCAATCTTCTTCAGTCATTATGGTAGTATTGACATCTATCTCCATTCTTCTGGTCAAAACAGATGGATGGAAATTGAAACAAGAACGTTTGCAATTTCATCAAATTGAATCATATAATCAAGAAATATCATATTAAGGATTTTGACACAAGTTTACCATATCCCAAAAATATGACATAGAGTATTGAATTAGAGAAGGATCGAATGACATTGTAATCACAAACTGACTAGGTTCTCTAAATGAATTCTTTTTAGCTTAGGTAGCCATAACATACTGCTAGGAGTCACTCATGGCTTGTGGAAGCCCTGTAAGGACTAATTATAATTAGTCTTCGCTAATAGGGAGAATTGTATGGAGAGATACAATTCACACTTGATTCAAAGTGAATCATTCATACCCACTGCCTTACTAATTAGAACCTATAAGATCGCACACTGAAAAGGAATCGATTGGGAAATTATGAAGATAATGAATGATTTTGTTACTTGGTCAAAGTCAATGTAAAAGTCAAAAGCCAAAGGTCAAATGGTTGACCCAACACTTGGCACGGTCAACTAAGGATGCCGGGACCAACACTCGTTAGACAAGTGAGTGATTGAATTAGTCAAGTCACTAGAGTAATTAAATTGATTAGATTAATTTAATTATTCAATTAAAGTTATGAAACTATAATTAAAAGTCCCATATGACTTGGAAATTCAAAAGGGATTTGACCATATAGACTTAGGCACATATGTGACACATGATAGGATTAATGTGTTGGACCAAGATAGCAAAAGATGACACACAAAGGGGGGTGTGGCTACATTAGGGTTTGGGGGCATTTTTGTCACTCTTGTGACATTTTTGATCCTATAAGTGTGTAGCTATGGAATCCTATAATCCTAGGGTTTTAAAGTAGGTGAAATTGGAAGAGAGAAAACATCAAGCTCTCTCTCCCTAACCCTTCAATCTATCAAATCAAGTGAGGGTGCTAGCACCACTCTTCACTTGTTGTCTGCTCATTCTCTCATCCCATTTAATCCTTGGTGAAGAGCTTTGGGAAGGTGCATATCTTTGTACCTATTTGGAGAGCTACGAGGTGGAGAATCAACATCAAATGGAGAGACAAAAACAAAGAGACCACTCCCTCTACTTGAACACCATTCTTGGTTTTGAAGATTCGCTCTAAGGGTATGAACATATTATCTTTCTCTCAAATAGGATTTAGAGAGTCTTTGGTTCACACTTTCATAGACTTATAAAGATTGGGACTAAATGAGACTTGCATGAATCCCTAGTTTATTTAATGCTTCCGCTCTTACTTTGATTCCATATTAGATATGGCATGGTGGGTGATTTATACTCTCAAAGTTTGGTTGTAGAGTTTTTAGAAATCTCTACACAACATTCCCTTCAGGAGCTTCGTAGGTAATACGTCTAGAGGTGATGGACATTCCACTATCTTAGAACTTCCTTGCTCTTTACGGTATCTAGCGTATAGCTTCCTCTACCGCCAGTTCGGCTGATCATGTAAGGACCTTCCCAACTGGGCTTCATCTTCTTTGACCCTTACCTTTATGCTGTAATGAAGACTTTTCTAAGCACAAGGTCTCCAGGTTGGAATTGTCTAACTTTGGCTCTTTTGTTGTAATAGGACATCAATGACCTTTGTCTTTCTTCCTTGAGCAGGTCGAGGTGGACCTTCCTCTGCTCACAATTTTGATCCAGGATGCCCATCTTAATGCTCATGGATGGAATAGTGATATGAAGGGGATGATTGCTTCAGTTCCGTAGGAGAAGGAAAATGGGGTTTCGCCAGTTGTTCTTCTATTGGTGGTGCGATAAGCCTATAGGACTCTAGGTAGCTCAATGCCTTCTAGCCTCTTCTTTAGGCAATCCAACACGACCTTGTTAGATCTCTTCCCTTGGCCATTGCCTTGTGGATATCTAGGAGTTGACAGGTGTTTTTTGATGCCATACTTTGTCAAGAATGCGGTGTTTTTTGATGCCATAATATCCTTCCAGACAAATCGCTCCACATCGGCTTTTTTTGGTAAATGATAGAGCTTCGGCTTGGATCCATTTAGTAAAGTATTTGGTGGCGACGATCATCATGTCTTTCTTTGGAGATGTCGGCAGCATGGGGCCCACTAAGTCAATGGCCCATTGCACAAATGGTTACGAGCTTTTCTGTGAATGGTACACTTTAGAAGGAAGGCTAGGTACCGACTTGTATCATTGGCATCAGAATGAGTGATATGAGTGAGTGATCTGGCCCCAGAATGGTTGTCGCACTCGCCGTCGTGGATTTTGCAGAGCACTTCGAGAGTTTGCGGATACTTGATGCAGGTGAGATGAGGGTCATAATATGACCTTTGAACAAGCTTGTTGTCTTTCATGTAATATCTTCAGACTTCTTCCTTAGCAAATTTTCATTTATCAAGTAGTCATGAGGTCTTGCCAGCTGGGATCCTCATCGATCTGCATCAGGTCCAGCGGCTCAAGGTGCTCAACCAAAATTGACTGTCTGAACTCAATATCCAGCGCTGATCCTAGACTTGCTAGCGCATATGCATGTGTGTTTTCTACCCGGGGAATTTATTGGATAGTGCAGTTTGGAAATGCCTTCAAAAGCTTTTAGGTACTGGATCATCCTTAGGTGTTTCACCATGTATTCACCTAATGCTTGATTGGTGATAAGTTGGGAATCTGAGTAGGCCAGATAACAATGCATCGTATTCTGCTTTGTTGTTTGAGCTTGAAAAGTCTAGTGTGATGGCTTGCTCCAACAAGGTTCCATCTGGGGTAATTATAACGGCGCCAGCTCCAGCCCCCTTAGGATTTGAGGCAACAACTGCCACATAACTTTCTTGCAGAAACTACTAGTGACAAAATGAGCCTCTCCATTTTTGGATAACAAGTCTCTGCACCGAGGAGAGCTTTTAAGGCGTAGAATACCTGATGTTGTGCTTCTAGCTCTTCTCGGATGAGAGCTGAGCTAACTGCTGAGTTGGACACTACTATTTGGATGAATAAATCTTTGCCTGGTACGGGTTTTGAGAGCAAGGGAGGTGAAGTGAGGTAGGTCTTCAAGTTTTGGAAAGCTACTTCTCACTCTTCATCCCACTTGTCTCTTTGTCCTTACTTCCAAGCTTTAAAGAATGGCATGCACTTGTCGATGGATTTTGAAAGGAATATGTTGAAAGCTACTGCTCTACCCTTTAGAATTTGTATCTACTTCGTTGTCGCAAGCTACTTCATGTTGAGGATGGCCTCGATTTGATTCGGATGTGCTTCGATGCCTCTTTGGGTGACTAAGTATCCCAAAAAATGGCTGGATGAGACTCCAAATGTGCACTAGCTCGGGTTCAACTTCATTTGGTACTTTTAGAGTAGGCTAAATGCTTCAGCAAGATTCTTGATGTGATCTGCTTGTCAGGGAGCTTTGACTAGCATGTTATCTACGTAGACCTCCATAAACTTTCCAATCTGCTCTTTGAAAATCTTGTTCATGAGCTTTTGGTACGTTGCTCCGGCGTTCTTCAACCCAAAGGGAAAGACTATGTAGCAGTATGTGCCTCGTTCAATTATGAAAAAGTCTTTGCTTTATCGTCTTCATGCATCATGATTTGATTGTAGTCGGAGTAAGCATTCATGAAGCTTAGCAATTGATTGTCAGAAGTTGAATCTATGAGTTGATCAATTCTTGGCAAGAGAAAGCTGTCTTTTGGGGATGCCTTGTTAAGGTCAATGTAGTCTACACACTCTCTCCACTTGAACAACATTGCTCAGCCACTCTAAGTAAGAGACCTCTTCAATGAAGCCGACAGCTATGAGCTTGTCAATCTCAGATTCAATGATGGCAACTCGCTAGGAGCGAAGTTGCATCTCTTCTGCACTACTGGTCTGCTAGCCGAGTTAACATGAAGGCGATAGAAGATGATTTGTGGATCGATGCCTGGCATGTCAAATGGTAAGCATGCGAACACGACTTTGTTGTTCTGGAGGAAGGCTGTAAGCTCCACCTTCTCTTCTGGGCTTAGGTGTGAGCCGATTTGCACTTTTCTTTTTAGTTTATCAAGATCAAGAGGTACTAATTCGACATTCTGTTCGGGTTTTCATCCTTCTTTGGGGGTGACCTCCGGGCATATTCCCTCGCATTGATCTTGCTTCTTTAATTGCTATTAGGAATGGTTATTCCCCTTTAGTTATGGTCTACTTGAATGTCAGGAACGAGATCTGTTTCCTCTCTCCTTGTTCTTCTCCCTTCAGATCTGCTTGATTTATAAAGAGAAACTACGCTTGCTTTTCTTCAGCCGTTGAGTTGAGCACTTTGTCTCCATCATTTGATCGTGTTGATCTGACCGACACCTCTCCTAGGGATTGGGTAACAGATTTTCTAGTGCTTGGTGGATATGATGGGGTTGATCTTGCCAATCCATGGTTTACCCAAGATGCCATTGTATGGGGAGACTTCGTCGATGATCATGAATGTCTGAGCGCTGATCACTAGTAGGGGGTAGACATCGAGCTCTACAATTCCCACAGTGATCGTGGTTGCTCTTTTGAAGCTGGTCAGCGACTTGGTTGACCCATTGATCTTGGCCTCTATTCCCATCTATTGGACCACCGAAAGTTGTAGGATATTGGTTGCGTTACCCTTATCTACATGAAATCGGTCGTTCGTCATTGTGCAACGGATTAAGCCCATTGAAATCTTTCTTCTAGAAGCCAATCACAAGATCATCTTCAATTGCTGGGCAGCTAGTTAAGACTTTGAAGATAAGAGTGGCATGTTTAATCTTCTTCTTCTTTTCCTTGCAGGTCAGCCTGGATTCCCTTAATCTGTTGGATAGCCTTCTTTGCCACAAATTCCATGCAGTGGCCTTCTCTTACAAGCACTTCAAGGTACATCTTCCAAGACTGGCAGTTGGCCGTGTCGTGCCCATATGTTCCATGGAAGGCACAGTACTTGTTGGTATTTCTTTTGCAAAGAACTCCCTTCAAATGCGGTGGTCTCCTTAGTCAGGGTTTGTCTTTCACTTGGGCCAAGATTTGATATATCAGGATAGTGAACTTCATATAGCCTTCATCTGTTGATGCTCCACCTTGGATGGTGCTTTGTGCCTTCCTCTATAGTTCATACTGGTAGGCTTACCATCTCTCTAACTTGCCTTCTTCAGTGATGGGTCAACTTGTTTAGGAGACTTCTTTGCCGCGATTTGATCGTCGTCTAAGAGCACATAGTGTTCCTCAGTCGCAAAGACCTCTACCAGAGTCTGGCTAGGAGCGATAGTCAACTCTCGATATAGGTCGTGCTCAGCTATAAATCCTTCTTGAAGTGTAACATCCCACATCGACCAACGGAGAGGGGGTGATGTGCCTTATATGTACATGCCCACCTCATCTAGCACGAGGCCTTTTGGGAGCTCACTGACTTCGAAGTTAGGGGAACTCCGAAGTTAAGTGAGTTGGGACTAGAGCAATCCCAGGGTGGGTGACCCACTGGGAAGTTGCTCATGAGTTCCCAGAAACAAAACCTTTAGGGCAGAGAGGGGGGACCCGAAGCGGACAATATCGTGCTATGGCAGAGCCGATTCCGGGATGTAACAATTTTGTATCAGAGCCACTCTGCCGTGTGGTGCGAATGCGCCGACAAGGACGTCGGGCCCCTAAGGGGGTGGATTGTAACATCCCACATCGACCAACAGAGAAGGGGGTGATATGGCTTATATGTACATGACCACCTCCATCTAGCACGATGCCTTTTGGGAGCTCACTGGCTTCGGAGTCAGGGGAACTCTGAAGTTAAGTGAGTTGGGGCAAGAGCAATCTCAGGGTGGGTGACCCACTGGGAAGTTGCTCGTGAGTTCCCAGAAAAAAAATCTTGAGGGCAAAGAGCCGATCCAAAACTGACAATATCATGCTACGGCGGAGCCGATCCCGAGATGTGACATGAAGGTAGAAAATGTGATTCTTTCATTGCATCCTAAAATGTTGGCTTTCTCCACCTTGAAAGTAGTCTCGGAGGGACTAATCATGCTTTTAGCATTGACTGAATAGGTGGTCAATATCCTTTTTCATCGTTCGATAGGAGGTGTACTCCTTGGTGAAGACAACAACTAGCTCCTTAAAACTGTTGATTGACCCGGAAGGCAGGGTATGAAACCGATCTTGGGTTGCTTCTCGTAAGGTCATTGCAAACACCTTGCACATTAGCATATCTTTGGCCTTGTAGAGAATCATAACACTTTTGAAGTGCTGCAGATGGCTCTGGGGATCAGAATCCCCTATGAAGTGTGTGAAAGAAGACGTTAAGAATCGCTTTGGTGGAGCCGCCTACTCGATCTCAGGGGTGAATGGTGAGGAGTTCACTTGGTCCACTTCCTTGTGCAGTGCATCTTCGAAATCTACTCCAATAATCAAGTCTAAAAGTCAGTCATTTACGAGCTTCTCAACATCTTTTGAGCATATGGCCTACAGTTCATGTTAGTGTTGACAGGACCCAACCCAAATTCCACTTTCGAATATGAGCCGACCATTGTGCGTGTCCGACACCTGACAGGTGTCAGGCACACTTGACAGGTTTGACTTCTGCCGAAAATTTTGCAAAGTCCCCCCTGTAAATACTCGTTTCCCAAAAAATTTACACCTGTACAAAAAGCATTTTATAACCACAACTGTTCAACATGCACCAAGTTTGAATTCAAGCAATCAAATCTCAAATCTTTACGGCCTCAAGCCTTTTTAAAACAAATAAATCATTTTGCCAACTGAAACAGATCCTAACTTTTCGAACAACAAAAATATGTTAACAGATTTCAACATAACTTAACTGAACAGCTTTTCAATCACTTGGTCTCGCGACTGCACCTAGTAACTCTAGGTTGCCTACGTACCCTTAACAAGGGATCAAGCCACACGTAGTTCTTCTAATATGATTGCAAAACAATTCTAATTCTCATGTTAGTGATATGCTCACCGTCATTCGCAAGCTTGAAGTATATACTTTTCAACTTTCCCAATTCTAAGAACAGTTCATACTCAGAACATAAGTAGGCCACTCAGTGAACTTACTCTAATTCATAAATCAATTTGTATATTATTGGCTTAAATTATATATATACAATAATAATAAAAATTTAAAATTAAAATAAAATTAAAAATAAAACCAACAAGCTCCGAAGACACTTTATCCTTTCCTTCGAAACTCACATAAGGCTCATTATATATATATATATATATATATGTCAACAACTTAACTGGAATATATATATTCTCCTCTTTATTGTAAAACAAACTCATCACTTAAGAAAATAATGGTGAACTGTATAAAAATCCTTAAAATTTAGGAAATTCTCCATCCTTGTCTCTTAATCATAAAATAGGTATTAAAATTTTGCTCCAAAAATACCAAGATAATATTATTTCAACATCTTATACCCAAATACTCTTCACCTAGGCGTATCCCCATTTATATTATGTCAATTCCATGATTTTCTATTTAATTCCCACAATATACTGCCAATTTCGATAATATTCCGTCAATTACAAGTATCATGTCAGCTCCATCCCGCAAGCCTCAGAAACACAAAGTTAACCGAGCCGCATTCCTCATAGGCCTTGGGAACACAAAGTCAACCCGAGACGCAATCCCCACAATCCTTAGAGACACATAGTCAACCTGAGCCGCACTCCTCGCACCACACGATTCAGGCGTCCCCGAAACTCGTGGGGCATTATCAAAAATAACAAAACTGTTTCAAGGCAATTGGGGGGGTGCTCCTGTAGTGGGTTTGAAAATCATATCCAAAACTTATCACAAACTTTCCTTTATTCCACAAATCCATTTTTTAACTCTTTTCTCAACTTTACAAAAATTAGTTCTCAACTACCTATGAATTTACACCACATACTATTGAGAATATATATATATATAGACATGTAATTAGATATTTAGTTAATTTTATTAATCATGTCGAAATCCAATTAACAAACCATTCCATTTCGATACTTAAAAATAATCTTAATAGTAATAGATAACTAAATAGATAATTAAATAATTAAATAATTAAATAAATAATGGCTAAATAATTAAATAACTATTATCCCTAGAGATTTCGTCACCTCCAATAATGCATATAAATCCATAGTAGATTGTATGGTAATTTAATCAATGAAAAGTATTAACCTTTAAAGAAAATCCCTTATCGAATCACTTCCCAATCTAAACTCATTAAGCAAGAAATTTCATACTAAATGAACCACATACTCTTAATAAAAAATGTCCACTGACTTACTAATAATCATAACTGAGCCCAAGGCTCACTTTTACAACCCACCAATTCGATATTCCAAACTTGTCCATTCCATAACTTCAATTATCAATATAATATCCAGGAATTTCCATAAAACACTATAAAACAATTTCCTAATCTCAACATAATCAGAATAACTCGACTACCGGTCAAGACTCATTCACAGAGTCATATTAGTACTTCTCGAAAGGTAAAACTACCTAGGAAGACTCACGGTCATCTGAGGGGTCAAACTGCCCAAACTTGGTCAGCTGGGCCTGCGGGGCCCAAGACCTCCGATTCCAGATCCGGAAGTTCCTATAGGTTCAACAAGATTTAGGATACACATATGGCCAGTTTGGGCCGCGAATTCCTACCCGATCCTAGGAATGCATAGACCAACATATATTAAAATAGAGTCGATCCGAAGGTCCGAACATGTCGAACCCGGAAATGCCTAATATGCGATATCTGATCTACAATCAAATGATATCCAAATTCATATCCGAGTATAACATTGTGCTCTGGACAACATGAGGATGATTTTAGGACTCAAGGACAAGCCAAAAGTGGCCCACACGTCACCACAAGCGTCTGCAGCACGTGGGTATCCAAAGTTATTCTGGCCATCGGAAAATCTCTAAACAGCCAATCGAGGCTTATACCTACATGATGACCACATAGAGTGGAGCAACTTTTGTTCTTGGACCTACCCCAAAAAGTTAACGGAAGTGGTCGGAATCGGAGGCTGAAAATTGGCCAAATTCTTATCGCTTATTTACCCACCAAAACATAGAAATTTATCCTAAATATCACAACTAGCAACTAGAACACCTCAGGAGGATGAGAAAGCATACATGGATCGCAAGATTTGGTGCCCGAAATCGTTCGAATGAACGATGGAAAAACTATCAAAACCCGGTGTCATTTCCTATAAATTCCGGCCAATACCGACGACGGTGATGGTTGGGACTAGTCAGGAAGGAACGAGGGGAGTGGACCCGTTCGTTTGGGACTAGTATCGTCGATCGGGGTGGCCGTAGATGGCTGTGGCTTGGGTAATACTATTTAGATGAATAGTAACAAGGGAGGGGGAGGTCGCGCAGAGGTGAGAGAGAGAGAGAGAGAGAGAGAGAAATTCTGGTTTTAAAAACCAGCTTCAAAAAATTACGATTTTGCCCCTACTTGAATTTTGATCCTATCTCTCTCGTTACAACTCAAATTTGAGCCCACTACGTGTCTACGTACTCATCTTGATGTGCTCTATGCAACAGTACAATTGAAATCCCCAAATTCCTTCACGAAAAAAAAGTCAACTTTTAAACCATTAAAATATTTCTTGATAAAATTGTCTTTTAATTGAATAAATTAATAATTAAATATTAATTTAGGTTCGGGTTATTATAGGTGTCCTCCATGATTCAGGTGTCATTGGTTTACCTCCTCATTGTCTGTACGGAGTAGATATCCTCGATTGTCATGCTTGCTTGGCATGCTAGTGGACTTGATCTTCCGAAGGAACCTCTATAGCCTTTTGTTTGAGTTAGCTCCACCAGACCAAGCTGGTGAGCTTCTTTCTTCTCGTACTTCATGGGGATGATCGTCACGCTGATCTCCTCTGGGGACTAGTCTTGCATGAATGCTTCTTTGCAGGCCCAGGCGAACTTGAACATCGAATCGTGGGCTCATCCTTTCATGCACATTGATCCTTTGACTTAATTTTGACCGAAGACTCGATCTACTTTGAGTGAGGCTTGCGAAAGCTTGCGACATGCTGACATGCTGAGCAGCACGCTCTTATCCTTCTCCTTGTTTAGTTGCTCCTGCTCGACTTGCATGGGACCTCTCAAAACTGCCTATGGTTGGGTTCGTCCATCCTTCTCTCTTTGCCTTGTGGTCCAAGGCCAAGGTCTTTGCACCAAGTCAATCTGGTTGAGGAGCTATCCAACCAAGTTGTTTTGCTCGTCCACTCTTTAAGTTAGTTGGTCAACTCTAAGATTAAGGTCTGCTTGACTTCATGGATCAGGACGAGAGAATTGTGTGAAGCCCAATTGCACACAGGCTAGGGTTTCGTTGAAGGTGTGTGCAGGAGCACACGTGAAGTGTGGAGGAAAAGGGGGAAATGAAAGCACTTGCTCCGAAATTGAGCCATGACTCATGGCGAAGACAGAACAACTGTGGCGGGAGGTTCCACCGTGGATCACGGTGGCACTGCAATGAAAGTCTTCAAATCCGGTCGTGAGGCTGTGAGGCTACAAGGTTATCGTGGCCATGGGGCCGTGAGCTTAAGCTATAGTTTCGTCTATGGAGCCTTGCGGCAACATAAGGCCTATGGTGACAGCAGCTTGCAGTTGTACAGTGGTACGGGCTGTATTGGCTTTCGTGACCACAGGGACAGGTGGTGGAGCAACTGGCACGATACTCTCACCCACGGTGCTGGGAGGCGGAGCATCCATCTCAACCGTGGGGCCGTGGGGCTGTGGGATGGATAGCTTTGGCCCGTCGTGCTGCCTTGCTTCTCATGTGCTTGCTTCCAACTGTGGTTGTTTAGAAGACTTCGGTTGAGCGATGAAAAAGACGAAATAGATTCCTTTGATCAAGAGCACACGTTGAGTGTAACTCGTGCTCTTAATGAAAGCACTAATTTGTTTGTGCAAATTTCTCAAGGAGAATATTCGCGTGTAGATTCTTCACCCTTCGAGCTTCCGTCTCTCTCTTCCTCAATTCGTGGGATGTTGGCTAAAGGCTCTTCGATGCCTAAGTTAGTTAAATTGGATCTTTGAGAAAAGATACGACAATAGCTAAAATGGATGAAGTTTTCTCTCACAGGGAGTGCCAAGTGGCCTTAGCCGTGTGTGGTGCCACTTAGCCATATGGGAGAGAGGGGAGAGAGAGTGGCGACGGCAAGGAGATAGAGAAAGATTTTTCGGTTAAGAAAGCGTTACCTCAAATGTCTTGTGTGGCTATGTATTTATAGCCTCTTTGTGTGCTAAGGTTTTGGGAGAATAATCCTTATTTGGTTAGGATTACTCTTCCCCAAAAAATGATAGGAATTACTCTAAGAGATTTGGTGGAGATTGATTTCTTGATTTAGGAAGATATTCCTATCTTAAAACAAAGATAATTTTCTTAATTAAATATGAATTAATTAGGATAATTAGTTTGACTAAGGAATATTCCTTTTTCACGTGTCGTCTTCTTATTGGCCGGTGAAATATATGCTCCCACAGGGTATACTCATTTTATTTTAGGGTTCGTTTACTAACACCCTTTTTTTATTTATTGAGAATAAGAATTTGAACTTAAACAAGCATATGCATTTCATATCATTCCTTTTCCTTCAATAATCAATATGTCAATAATTAAAAAGAACACTTTCTGCATTTCCTTATCTTGAAGAATATAAAGTCCCACATCAGATACTTAACAAAATAAATACACACTACTACAAAAAGTGAAAAAGAAGGCCAAAAAAAAACGACGGTTCAACAGAAAACCGTCGTTGTGTTTGAAAAGACTTCGGTTTTATAAAACCGCCGTGTATGATTAACTTAAACAACTAAAAAATAAAGATTCCCAAGACTGTTATGAAAAAACGACATACCTAATTTAAAAACCGACGTCTTATTGAAAAAGGTTTTCCTCAGAGTAAACTCTGAGCCAAAAAACAACTGCAGAAGGTATGAATCCACCGACGTAGAAAGTAAAGATGATGGTGTAAATAAATAGCCGCCGTTTTTACTCCGTAATAAACACGACCAAGTTTTCGTATCTGGCATCGTATAATTTCAAAAGAATCCACGGCAGTAAATTACAAAAAACCGCCGTATTAAATAAATGTACAACGACAGTAAAGATAAATTTATTGACTTATTTCTTGTAGCATACTACGACGATATCTTTAACTCCAACCACGTTGGTTTGTTCAATTAACGCCATATAATAAAATTTACCGTCGTATTTATTCACCTTATACGTCAACCTTGACATATAAACCGTCATCTTATATAGAAAACCGCCGACAGTAGACCAACTTATATAGAAAACCACGGCGGTTTATATAGAAAACCGCTGACAGAATCAGATTTTTCTGAGATCCCAAGAGATACGCCGTGAAGTTAAAATTACTGTCGTATTTATTGACTTTATACGTCTCACGTTATATCTAAACCGTCGTCTTAATAGTTTTTTTTTCAATTTATTTATATTATTTTGGTTTCCTACGTCGGTAGATCATATTAATGACAAGAATTAAGAATAACCATGACGGTTTATACAAAAAAGGGCCGACAGAATCATATTTTTCTGAGATCCCAAGAGTTACGAAATCTTACCAAATGGAACTCTGTTCCTCATCATAATCGGACCACAGAAAGACAATATTTTAGACATTGAGGATGTGTGTGTGTTTGTGTCTTTCAGATACACAAATGCACACACACATCAACATCCAAAAATTTACCTCTAAGATTTGACGAAGGCAGCCACAGATTTGCATTCAGATAGACAATTTTTTGGAAGTTGATGATGTGTGTGTGTGTTTGTGTCCTCCAGATACACAAACGCACACACATATCAACATCCAAATAATAGCCTCTAAAATTTGACGATGGCATAAACAGATTTTCATTCAGAGAGACAATTTTTTGGAAGTTGATGATGTGTGTATGTGTGTGTCCTCCAGATACACAAACACACACACATATACATCAACATCCAAACAATCGCCTCCTAAGAGGTGAGACAGAAGAAGTTGGAACCTTAATTGAAAACTGAAAATGAAAGAACTCGTGAAAAAAACCTCAATTTATAAATAAAAAAATCATATACACGTTGGTTAACGGAGGAATCTACGTCAGTTCTTGAAACACGAAAGACGTATTAAATAACAAACAACGTCAGTTATTAAACTAAAGGCAACGAGGTTTAGACAAACAACGTCGGTTACCTATAAAAAAGCGACGTGGTAACTTATTATAATACTTCTTTAAAAGTTAACTTTTGACGTGTAGCGCCCAACTAACCACGTCATTTTCGGAATACAAAAAGTCAAAAGGCTTTTTTACTATCCACGTCGGTTGATGTTATTTTAATATCGTGGTAAGTACATACTAGGGCGGTTTTTATGATTACCGTCGTTGTAGTTATCTTTGGGACACTATATAAACTTTTTGGTCACCTGAAAAGCTGAAAAGCTACATTTCTGATTCTCAGTGTCCCTCTCTTTTACGTTCTTCCTCGTCTTCGTCTCCAAAATTTTATTTCGAAGAAAACTTTCTTTGCAAGCCAAATGTATTTTCTCACTCCCTTTTTTTTTCTTCACTTTCCCTATCATTAGAAGTTTTTTTTTAAAGAACGAGTCGCACTGATGTTTGAAACAATACTAGGGTATGAAAAGGCCAAATCTTTCACTCTTCCCACTCATAGGTCATGTGAGGACGACGGGTTTTATCGAATTTGACGTTTTTGTTGATACACCACGACAGTAATTAAATTTGTGCTAGCGGAAGTTCATGATGTTGACCTTATTGATTTCTGGTCCTAAACAGCCTGGAAATGATATAGACATCTACTTAGAGCCTTTGATTGATGATTTAAAATCTCTGTGGGATGGGATTAGAGGAGTGTATGATGCACATATAGGAGAATACTTTACACTCAGAGGTGTATTACTGTGGACAATTAATGATTTTCCTGCCTATGACAACTTATCTGGTTGTGTCGTTAAAGGATATAAAGCTTGTCCAATATGCGGCGATGATACACCTAGTCACAGGATGAAAAATGACCACAAAATTTGTTACATTGGGCATAGAAAATGGTTACCAATCAATCATCCATATCGAAGGCAGCGTGCAGCTTTTAATGGGAAACATGAATATGGCACGCCTCCCAAGCCATTAACCGGAGAAGAAGTGTTGCACATGGTTGAAGATATTAATTACATATGAGGCTCGAAAAATGGGGGAAGTGTTAGTGAGAATGATGGTGACAGAGTTTGTTGGAAGAAGAAATCAAAATCCTTTGATCTCGAGTATTGGAAATACCTTCATGTGAGGCATGTCCTAGATGTGATGCATATTGAGAAGAATGTTTGCGATAGTATCATTGGTACATTGCTGGAGATCCCTGGAAAAAATAAAGATGGGATTGCTGCTCGGTTAGATTTATTGAACATGGGGGTCAAAACTGATTTGCAACCCGAGTATGGACAAAGACATACTCACTTGCCTCCAGGGCCTTGGAATTTGTCAAGAGCAGAGAAGAGAGCGGTTTGCAATTCTTTCTATGGTATGAAGGTCCCTGAAGGTTATTGTTCAAATATAAAAAATCTTGTATCTTTAAAAGATTCAAGACTTCTTGGACTTAAATCTCATGATTGTCATACCTTGATGCAACAATTGCTTCCTGTGGCAATTCATTCTGTTTTGGAGAAGCCTGCAAGGTATGCAATAACTCGATTGTGCTTCTTCTTCAATTCTATATGTGCAAAGACGGTAGATGTTTCCAAGCTAGATAAGTTGGATGAACATGTAGTAGTTACTTTGTGTTTGCTTGAAAAGTACTTTCCCCCTTCATTCTTTGATATCATGGTTCATCTAGTAGTACATCTTGTCAGAGAAGTTCGTCTATGTGGCCCAATATATTTTAGATGGATGTATCCATTTGAAAGGTATATGAAAGTACTAAAAGGGTATGTTCAGAACCATAATCGTCCGAAGGTTGCATTGCTGAGCGGTATATAGCTGAAGAAGCTGTAGAGTTTTGCACTGAGCATTTATCTGATGTTAGTATAGTTGGAGTGCCTTCAAGCCAGAAGATGGGAGTTTCGAAGCCATTATCAGGTTGCACAGTAAGCTTAGTTGATCGGGACTTGTTGAACCCAGCACATCTATATGTCTTGGAGAATACGGAGGAAGTCCGACCTTATATCGAGTACGTATGACTTTTATTTTTCATATGGAGCCATTCTAAATATTATTATTCCTTATGTTTATCTTATATACAAGGGACCGTAAGGGTTGATATTTTCGTGTCAATGTAGGGAACATATGATCCACATCAAGACCACTTATCCAAAATTTAGAAAGATAACAAAGTGGTTGCAAGATAAGCACAATAGCACTTTCATTCAATGGCTCCACTTTAAGGTATATATATGTTATTGAATGACATGCATATTCAACTTTTAATTTTCTTCCATTCTATATGTTAGATTGAATTCAAATATATATGATTAATTTGCAGGTTCAAAGTGAAGTTAATGGGGAAGAGCATAATAGCGTATCAGAAAATTTAAGGTGGCTAGCAGCTGGTCCAAGCATGGCAGTGCCATCATATAGGAGCTATCTTATTAATGGTGTTAAATTTAACACCAAGGCACAAGATGATGTGCGAACTATCCAAAATAGTGGAGTTTATTTACTTGCACATACTATGCAAGTTGCTAGTGCCAAGGATAAAAACCCTATTGTCTCCAATATGGGTTTTTATGGTGTTATTCAAGAAATTTGGGACCTTGGCTTCTAAAAGTTTAGAATCCCAATCTTGAGGTGTGATTGGATAGATACACTTCGGGCCTTGTAGTCGACGAACTTGGATTTACCCTTGTAAATCTGAGTAAAATTGGACATAGGAATGACCAATTTGTTATGGCCTCTCAAGTCAAACAAGTATTTTATGTTGATGACCTAATGCATCGTGGTTGGTCGGTAGTGTTATCAATGCCTGATAGAGAATATAATGATGTTATTGGTGATGATGTGCTAGGTGATACTAGAATTGAGTGTGAGCCATTTACTAGAGGGATACCAAATGTTGACACATTTGATGACCTAGTGGGTGAGTTAGGGAATGAAAATATTAGAGATGGGTGTGAAGATATATGGATTGATTGATTGTTGTAATGTATGACATTACTTATTCAGTTAATTGTATGACACTAATTAATAATTTTGTACATCATTTTAATTCTGATCACATATTCATTATATGCAGGCTTTGGGCACGACAAATCAAAAATTAAAAAAGCCGGGTTAAAGCTGTAAAGTATGACGGTCCGGTAAAAAAACTGGAAACACAGACGTCTAAAATAAAAACAATGTCGGGTTTTAAAAGGCAAAAAACTGTCAAGCAAAAAAACAGACATCTGAAAAAGAAATCAAGTCAGTTTGGTTAAAATAAACCGTCGTCTAAATGTTGAAATAAAGGCCGTTCAGTTCCATTAACTGTCGTGACAGATGTTCTGCACGTCGGATATAGTCTAAAATAATTGACGTCTCCAAGCATACATACGTCAAGGCAGGTTAAACAAGCGACTTTTAAAAGGACAACCATGTCATTATGTAATCAAAACTGACGTGGTAAGAAATTACAATGTCAACCAGATTGATCTCTAGACGTAGTGATATAATTAACCAAGTCCATTATTTTAACGCCATGGACGTTGAATACATAATCCACGTCGGTTATTTTTCTATCCACGCCTTCAATACTATTTATAATGTCATCCTTTAACAAAAAACCGACGTGGAGTATAGTTTTGTAAGTCAATATTGAGTAATATTATGTCATTTTAAATCTTTTAGACGTCTGTTATTTAGAAAAAGTGACGTCTAATTGTGTCAAAGGGCCTTCTTTGTTAAATTTAAACGATGAGTCTCGCAAATAACAGACGTGGAATATATTTACCACGTAGGTTCTTATTAAAGTTCTCGATGTGGATAATTACATAAGCGTCGGTGATGCTAGGTGCAAGACGTGGTTATATCATGTTACGACGGTTATTGGGAGCCAAATGACATGCAGTATTCTTTAAACGTCTGTTGGTTTGTATAAACGTTGTAGTTTATGTTCTAGACGTCGGTTTTTTTGTTTGTTTAACGTAGTACAAATTAACCACAACGATTTCTAGCTTATCCAAGTCGTTTTTCCTTCTTTTAAGGACATGGATAATTATCTGTACGCCGGTTCTTCTATTGATCTTGACATGTAAAACTCTTTAGACGGCTTAGTTTTCATAAAACCTTTGTTTAATGTTGTCGAAGATTTCATTTTACGCTAATTATATAGTAATTACATGTCGGTTCGTAATAAATCTGGACGTTGAATTACTTAATGACGTCGGTTATTAACCGTCGTTGTTGGTTGTACAAAAGATGGCGGTCAATTTCACGATGGTTGGAAAACCTTCTAGACGACGGTGGTTTCCCGTCGTCTATTTCGATTTTTGTAGTAGTGACAATATATAATAAGTGGTGCATTTTGTGATAAAATTATACACCTATTAGGCTTTGTATGTGGTTAATTTAAAGATAATATCGGTCTTGCTAATAGTAGTCTGTCTCGCTGAAATTTAACACCCTCTTACGCATACATGAAATGGACAATCAATCAATATGTCCTCAATTTCCTCTCCTTTCCCCAGCAAGAAATATATAGAACTCAGTCTCTCAATTTCTTCCCTTCTCAACTATCATATACACCTCTTCATAAAAACCACCATGAAAAAACACATTTAGCAAATCAAATTACACTAGTAAAAAATCACCCTTGCGCGACCAAATTTTGCACCGCGAAAAATTATTTGTCGCTCAAAGTCACTTTGCGCGACGAAACTCATACCTTCATCGCTCAAAGTCTTGCGTGACCAAATTTCGTGCGACGAAAAACAATTCGTCGCGCAAAGTGACTTTGAGTGACAAAACAATAAACTTCGTCGCGCGCAGTCCTTATAAAAATAAATAACATAAAAAAAAATTTAAAATCTTTGCATGGCGTAATTCAAACATTTCGTCGCCTAAACCAATTTATTTTTGTTTTTTATTTTGTATGCATAAAACTTAAGAAATTAAATGGTGTATATATTTTTATTAAGTAGCTTTAAATTTATTATTTTAGATCGGATTGGATTTTTGTTAGAAAAATATATTATTGTTGTTCGAATTGGGTTTTTGTTAGAAAATATATTTTTTAAATTGACGATCGAATTAGTTCATTGTATTCATATAGGGTCAAGGAGTGTAGCTGTAAAAAAACATCAAAATCGGAGTTAAAATAACCGTTAAATCGTGATTTTTCATTTATAACCGTCGAAATTTTTGTCCCGTTACTTGATCTCTGAATGTTAATTTTTTTCGATTTTGGCGTATATGATCTCGAAGTATAAACAAATAAGTTTGACGGTTGGATCGTTGAAATTAGTTTTGTTGAATGCGTATGCCATCAAAACAATATATTCACTAACAATTAAGAGTTTATTTATAATTTTGTTAAATATAACATAAGATTTTGTGGTATCCACTAGTGTAAATATTTTAAATTGACGATCGAATTAGTTCAATGTATTCATATAGGGTCAAGGAGTGTAGCTGTAAAAAACATCAAAATCGGAGTTAAAATAACCGTTAAATTGTGATTTTTCATTTATAACCGTTTAAATTTTTTGTCCTGTTACTTGGTCTCTGAATGTTTTTTTTTGCGATTTTTGGGGTATACGATCTTGAAGTATATACAAACAAGTCTGACGGTTGGATCGTTGAATGGTGTATGTATATATATATGTATTTACTTATTAAGTAGCTTTAAATTGATTTATTTTGTAAGTATAACAATTAAGAAATTGGTATATACATTTATTAAGTAGCTTTAACGTTATTTATATTTTAAATCGTAAAATAAATTATTTTATTTTATATTATTCATAGCAATTATTTTTATAAATATCATGCTACGAACCAATTTTTCGTCTCTCAAAAGTTTGCGCGACCAACATTTCGTCGCGCAAAACTCTAAAAACTTTGGGCGGGTACCAAAAATGGGACGTGGGTTTATTTTTTTTAAAAAAATTTATACTTTCCGCAACCAATATTTTGTGTCGCTCAAAACTTTGCGCGACCGATATATATTTTTCGTCCCGCAAAAATTTGGGCAGGTACAAAAAATGGGACGCGGGAATTTGTTTAGACTTTGCGCGACCAATATGTATTTTTCGTCATGCAAAAATTTCAAAATTTGGGTGGGTACCAAAAATGGGACGCGAGATTTTTAATTTTTTTTTCCTTTGCGAGACCAATATATTTCGTCGCGCAAAATTTTGCGCGACCAATACTACAATATTTTTCGTCGCGCAAAGTGATATGGTTTTTAAAATGAAAATAACTCCTCCACCATTTTCTCAATGTCTTTCTCTACTCTTACCTCTCTTCTCTCTTTCCCTCTCCCCAAATCCCACCATTTCTCTCACACTCACTCCTCTCACTTAATCTCTCATCATCTCTCTCTTCACTATCTCTCACTCTCACTCACTCTCTCTCTTTTCACTATCTCTCACTCTTACTCACTCTCTCATCTCTCTATCACTATCTTCTCTAATTCTCTCACACTCACTTCTCTCTCTCATTCTCACTCACTCTCAATCTTGCCAAAAGGTATATTCTCTCCAAATTTTAAATTTTTTTCATTAATGTGTTTTTGGAGTTAGTTTTGAGTTTGTGTGGGGTTTGGGGTTGAGTAAAGGGGAGGGATTGGAGTTTGGGTTGGATTTGTGGTATAACAATTTTAGGGGAGATTATCCTTTTTTTTTGGTAGGAAATCATCGAGACTTTGACACTAAAGTTGAGGATTAGGAAGCTATTAAAACATATCATCCACCACTACCACCACAATACGCTTGTATTAGGATTTTATTATTATACTTTGTTAATTTATGTGTACATTTTGAATATTATATATATTTATTGGATAATTTGATCACTATTTTTCATATGTAATTTTATTTTAAATATGTCAATTTAAATTAAAGTAATTAAAAAATATCATACAATTAAATTAAATTTAAAAAGTAAAAATTTGAATAAATTAATATAATTAAATTAATATCAATTTAAATTAAAGTAACGAAAAAAATCATACAATTAAATTAAATTTAAAAAGTAAAAATTCGAAATCATCAATATAATTAAATTAATATTAAAGGAATAATAAAACAAAAAGTCAAAAACCAAAATATTTCGTCGCGCAAATATTTGCGTGACATTATAATTCGTCGCGCAAAACTCTAAAAATTTGGGTGGGTACCAAAAATGGGATGCGGGAATTTTTATAAAAAAATTTTTTGAAAATTTTTTTCGTTGCGCAAAACTTTGCACAACCAATGTTTTTCGTCGCGCAAAGTCACTTTGAGCGACCAATATTTTTCATCGCGCGAAGTGACTTTGCGCGACAAATATTTTGTCGTCGCGCAAAGTCTTTCTTCACGATCTTAGCGCGACGAAGTTTCTGTTGCGCTGAAATTTGTGCGACTACAATGTATTTTGCGCAACGAAATTCTCTTCGTCGCACAAAGTGTAAAATGTAATAGTGTTAATGTAAGGACCAGCTGAATAAAGTGCCAAAGCTTCAAAAGGTGCTCTCGGGCTGGGAGTTAGTCAAGTAAGCGTGAATGGTTGACCTGGAGAACGTGGACAATTACGGGTGGCCCAGGACAATACACCAAGACGCAATATAGCAAAAGTCAACAGACACAATTTTACCTCCTACTTCTGGTTCTTATATTCTCTTTTCACATGCCAACATGAGACTTGGTTGTTTGTTTGGGTCAACCATGCGACTTGGTTAGATATCCGCCACGATCATGAACTCTTTTTCATGCATGCAAAAGTGCCTTGATGGACTGGTTACAAACAATAACTCTGATACATATATATATATATATATATATATATATAAGCATGAAATTCAACGCAGTGATATTATATGATTAATTTTTCTTAAGTTTTTTGGAAGAAGACAGTGGCCATAAATATTCTAGCATATATTTATGTATGTATATAAAATGAGTGCTGCTGTTTTCACTGATCATGTCCTATTTTTCCACCTATTTTATCTTCTCACCTGCTTTATAAATTTGAACAAAACACAATACTATCTTTTCAACCACCTTTATTCATAAAATACCCTTTAATTATTAATTCAAGCAAATTCAATTTTTTCTTTTCCTTTTTATCCTTCTTTCTTATCTTCCTTCTTCCCTCCCCTCCCCTCACTCTTCTTTGTTCATTCAATCTTACACCATGAAGCAAGCATCTTCAGACAATCTTGAGACATCTTTCTTTTTATTTTTTTATTTTTTCTTTTTTTCCAGATTGAAAAGTCTCTTTCTGTGCTTTAAAATGTCAGCGTTGTAGTTAGGTGGGTGGCTGCTGGGTTTTTGCTTCTTTTTCTTTTTTCCATACAAACTTAAACAACTCGCCCAGTAATCCACCATGAAAGCAACATGTTTGAAGCCAAAAGCCCACTCATATGGAAGTATCGTTAAAAAAAAACTGCAAAACACAGTTTAGATAAATGTATATGTAATATAATCGGAATATAGACTGCCAATTACTTTTATGAAGATTCATAATGTACACAAGAGAGAATTTACCTTCCAACTGATGGAGTGGATGAGATTGAGAAGGCAACGGAGATGGTCGTGGCGGCTGCCTCAAGGGTGCAAAACAAAAATAAATGGGCTTGTGACGTGCCGTGCGTGTGTTCGAGTTTTTTTATTTTCTATTTTATTTGTTTAAATTTTAACAGGTGAATCTTGTCATTCGCAAATTATAACAGGTTTTTTTTCCTAAATTCTTAGCAGTCATTTCACAAAGGGTAAATTTATTTTTAAAATTTTGAAGATAAGGTGCGAAAATAAGACACAGGGTGGAAATCGAGGCACTCTACAAAATAAGTGGATGTTAAAAAATGGTTGACCAATTAGTCTTTCTCTTCTTTCTTTCGTTTTCTTCGTCCCTTTTTTGTGTGCAAGAGTGGCGTAATTTGAACTTCAAATTTCTACTACTTTTCTTCGTGTATCCTAATTAGTCAATACTCACAATATTCCTGTTGAGATTAATTTTGAAAATTTCATTACTAGTTTTATAATTTCTATAAAAGTCTGCTATGTTAATGTGTGTTTAAGAGTTCGATAGCAGTTGGTGGTTGGCATTTAATTCTTGTTCTAGGAAGTTCTATATCTTGTTTAAATATGAGCCCTTGTATCTAAACTTTAAGTACAGAAAAACAAAACAAAGCTGCAGCCTAAAATAGCATTGTAATCAGCCTCTCTTATCAATCAAACAAGAATATTCAGCAATCTAAACCCATACTTATCCCACCTTGTTTCAATATGAGGCTTTTTACGTACTTAATTCTTTTTCTTCTTATTTTTGTTTGTCTAACCAAATTAGATAGTTCCTAATTTAATAAATTATAATATCAATCACTCTAGGCCTGTAAAATGGGTCAGGCCAGGCAAGCTGAAGGGATTAGCCCCCAACCTAATCAATCACGTTCTTTTTTAGTGTTAGAGCAACTCCATCCATTTACCCCTTGCCATGGCAAGGGGGAGGGGCTAGGGCAGCCACTATTCATGTGAATAGTAGTTTCCCTTGCAAATAGTGTTGTGTGTTTCCACTCGTTGCTATGGCAAAGGGCAATTACTATTCATTTTTTTGTTTTTTTCACAAATTTTTTTACCTCAATAATTAATTTGGATAATATTTTCGGGTTCCTACGTGTCAAGACTATTCATAATCGGATAAGATTTTTGAGTTCAAATTTCGGATGAATTTAAAAATTCAAATTTCAGATAAATTTTTGGGTTCAAATTTCGGATGAATTTCAAAATTCAAATTTCAGATAAATTCAAATTTCAAATTTCAATTTCAAATTTCAGATAAGATTTTCATCCAATCAAATCAAGCCACGTGGCATCTCTATTTGGCCAAATTTTTTGATGTATTACTGCTCGAATTACCCCTTTCTTTGCCTTCACAGCCTCTCAGCCCCTTTTTGATGGGTGAGTCTTGACTCATAGGGGAATCAAGAGGTGAATCCGATGTCATTGAATCACGGAGTGGCGTCTCGTTTAACATAACGGTAGGACCCGTGAGAATAATTCTAAAGCGTTTGCAATTTTTTCACCACCTCCCAACATTCATGATGGTTGAAACATTTTCTGGCCTTGCCCAATTGCACCAAACCACATCTGTGCTTGAATCATCTATTAAAAAATAAATAATGGAAATGCAAGAAATATTTAAAATATATTGGATATGCAAGTAACAAAACAAAAAAATGGAAATTCAATTAACCTTACAAATATATTGGAAGTGCAAGAAATATTAAGAAACAATTGGAAATGTAAGAAATATTAACAAAATATTGAAAATGCAAGAAATATTAACAAAATATTGAAAATGCAAGAAATATTAACAAAATATTGAAAATGCAATAAACATTAAAAATATATATATATTAGGACATTAAACTTAATAAAACAAAAATTACAAAATTCTTACCTCGTTACTAAGATTTTCCCTGCTTCTATGGTTGTCCATCGCTTTTGCCAAGGCATCTCTCCATTTTGCCAACTCTTTATTGAGAATTTTCCACCTACTTGACAATGCCATTTCCGTACAAGTCGACTTCGAAATTTTTTCACAAAATTCAGCATGAATTTTTTTCCTGATGTGAAAAAATTTCATCTCATTGCCTGACACGGGATAATGACAAACTTGGAGCCAAGCCTCAGACAAGGAAACATCTTCCATGGTGCTCCACGCCCCTCTGGTTTCGATAGAAGAAACCATAAAGATAAGAAATAAAAATACAATTTGAAGAGAGGAAAATGTTGAGTAAAGAGTGAATAATAGTAGAAGTAGAAGAAAATGTATGAGGATTGATGTTGAAAGTGAAAGGTATTGAGAGGTATTTATAGAAAAAAAAATCAGAATTTTTTGGTATTTTTTAAAAAAAATTTCAAATTTTTTTTTCATAGTTTTATTGCCAAAAAAATGTCAGCCGTTGGATTGGAGGAGGAGAAGCAGATCGGGGTGCCCAGGCCTTGACACTTGTCTTCTACTGTTGGAGCTTGCGCAGGGCTAACGTCAGCGCACGCGAGTTTAAATTTTTTTTACCGACGAGAAGAAGATCGGAGCACCCAGGCCTTGACAACTGTCTTCTACCCGTTGGAGCTTGCGCAGGGCTAACGTCACCGCAAGCAAGTTTAAATTTTTTTTACCATTGGCGCATGCAATGCACTCGCCAACGGTAAAAACATTTAAAAATGCGCGATGACGTCGCCTGATGTCATCAGCTCGAGGCTTGGGCTCCTTGCTGGAATGGCTCTTAAAGGTTGAACGGGTCAAGCCGATCCTACCCTATCTTCAATAAGCTAAGTACAAACTCTACCAAGAACCAAAAAAATTTCCACAATTTCATAATTGAATTCGTGGCCACTACTGATGAACACTTCGACTCGGCCTTGTCCTCCATCGCTGCTTTATTTAACTCAAGTTCTACCACCAAATCAGACCCGTCGCTGTGCGTAATTTGGTCGAGTAGCAAGCCAGAACTCGGAGTCATGGCAAGGAGAGTTCTGAGGGCCCAAGCCAAAGTCCCAAGTTAGAGCTCTAGTTGTGAACTCAGTCCGGGAATCGATTGAAAATGTATGACAAATAGAGAATTCGAGTTGGAGTGTTGAGTAGTAGAATTATTGGAAACAATAATTGATAGAGAGTAAAGAGAATCAAGGAGAGGAAGAGAGCAATGAGGGGAGTGAAACTTAGAAAACGGCAAACTAACACCAGTTAAAAAAAAACAAAGTGCCCGTTCGTTTACGTTTCCAAGTGCCTTTTTCGTTTTTGGCTCTCATTGGCTTCTTGTTCTAATAAAAACCTAGTTTTGTTTTCTGAAAAGAGTTTTAAATTTAAATACAAAATTTGAAAACATCAAACTACCGTTCTTATCATTTCCTGAAACAAATCAAAATCCATCTCTACTTACTCTCATGCTTTTCTCATCTTTCTCTTTAATTCTCTTCCAGTAGCCCACAACCCTATCGTAGTCTCGAATCTTAAAAATGAAAAGGATTGTATACCCTGTCTATTACTCATTGGTTGTAGCCCTTATAGTCAGCCCCAATTCAGTACCACAAATATTTGTGCCCATTATTGATTTTTCTTCCAGCGATAAAAAAAAATAAATTAAAAAAACTTAATCACTCCGGGGTGATTATCACTCAGCTCACCCGAGATAAGTGTACGTTTTCTGACTCCACTACAATTATGCTGTTTGACACCACTTTAGCCGATTTGATGTTTTGATTATGTCACTGCCTCATTAAGATTCTTACCGTTAAATATATGGAGGTTGATCTACCAATTTGCGAAGGAGCCTACAATGTATGACTTTTTTTTTCCTTCATGTTTTTGAGTTAATAGTTCACACGTTATTCTTTCTATTTGAGCCTGAGAAGCCTTAACGGAGGATCAATTGTCCTACATCCAAGGCCAAAGTCAAAAGTCAACCCTCAGACCAGTCAGCCGACCCTCTCCTTCTAGAAGAATTAAAAGTAAATCCACTTTGAAACCCAACTCATAAAATTCAAACCCAAAACCAACTACACATGTGGCCTACCCACATTATTATTCATATTCTCCACTATAAATAATAATCAACTCTACCTTCATTCTCCACACTCATTCCCTGCCTTAGAAACCAAAATGGCTCAGATCATTGTACCCAGCAACATATTTCTAACCCTTGTTATTGTAGCTGCAGCTGCAGCTGCAGCTGGGTATGTGGAGGCACAAAGCCCGAGCACTAGCGACGTGTCGGTGGCGGATATCGTCACGCCCGAATTCTTCAACGGCATAATTGACCAGGCCGATGCAAGCTGTGTCGGCAAGAACTTTTATTCCCGAGCTACCTTTCTTGAGGCTCTCAAGTCTTATGATCAGTTCGGTAAGATTGGTTCCATTGATGACTCTAAGCGTGAGATTGCTGCCTTCTTTGCCCATGTCACCCATGAGACTTTTCGTAAGTTCTTTATTCTCTCATCAATTATTTCTTCCACTTTATTCATTTTTTACATATATTTGTAATTTGTAGTGTGCATATGTTTGTACAAGTTGGTCTCATCACCGTAGGAGAAGTCGATGTCGATGTCGATGTATTGTCGATGTGTGTGGTCCAGAAAGATAATTTGTCGATGTCGTATGATAAAATAGCGCTATCATTTTTATACTTCCACATGCAACTTTTAAAGCCGTTGTATGATTGTTGTAGTAGTGCCCACGGTCAAACACGTAGACGCGAGTTTAATTTATTTGTATCAAGTTAACTGACGGTACTCTCTCTCCAATAATAGAAGTAGAAAATAGATATTTTGTTTTCTTTCTTGTTCAAAAATTTCAATTTTTTTCATTGTTTATTTTTTATTTTTTTAATGGGGGCGACGAGGATGAGGAATCCACAATTTGAATATTATGGATACGGAGGCAGGAATGGGGAAGAACTTAACGGGAAATGGATATAATAATGGTGTACCCCGGCCTAATTTGCTCCATTAATTGTCATCCCTAGTAGAAACTACAAAAGTTACATCCCTTGTAGATGAGTCTTATTTTTATTGGAGAGATTGAACACTATGTGACCAATTAAAAACTTAAGATAATACAAATAGGGTTGTTCTATAAATAGATATTTAAGCCATTAATATGAGGTTGATTAAATTGTGCTATTTTACATATAACCCAAAAAAGCAATTAGCAAAATATATCCCAAAAATTGAAGACAAAATGATGTTCGATTGTGCAGATTTCTGCTACATAGAAGAGATAGATGGACCCTCAAAGGACTACTGTGATGAGAGCAACACACAATATCCATGCAAGCCAAACAAGGGCTACTACGGGCGTGGACCCATCCAACTATCATGGAACTTCAACTATGGCCCAGCAGGAGAGAGCATTGGCTTTGACGGATTAAACTCTCCTGAAACCGTTGCCAATGACCCCATCATCGCCTTCAAGACGGCGTTGTGGTATTGGATGACCCACGTCCGACCGGTCATCGGAGAAGGTTTCGGTGCAACAATACGAGCCATTAATGGTGCCCTTGAATGTGATGGTGGAAACCCTGATACTGTTCAGAAACGTGTTGAGTATTTCATTGAATATTGCAACCAACTTGGTATTGCTCCCGGGGACAATCTCACTTGCTAGGAGACATCTCAATTTACTCGCTAAGCTAGAAACGTTCATTTCCTTCGATTGTTGTTATATTGTTTAATAAAAATTATGTATCAGACATATAAAATAAAATAAATACTACGAATTCTATTAAAAATGACCAATGTCCTCTTGGTTTAGTACGTAATCTTTTTAAAACTACTACAAAAATGAAAAAAGACGACCGTAAAACAACAATAGAATAAATAAATACCATCGTTGTGTTTAAAAAGATGACGGTAATAAAAAACCACTGTGGATAAGTAACTTAAACACTTCAAAAATTGAGATCCGCTGGGGTATTTGTAAAACACGACGCCTCAAACTTACAAAGTGTCATCTTATTAAACATGTTTTCTTCTGACGTAAACTCTTAACTCAAAAAACAACGACAGTAGGTATGAAGCTACCGACGTAGAAATTAAAAACGACGTTTTACCTAGACTATTGCCGTGTTAACAGGTAGTTAACCACGTCAAATTCTTCTTAATCAGCATCGTATAATTTTATAGGAATCCACGTTGGTAGTTTCGTAATCAGCACTTTATTAATGTCATATACCACAACCGTAAAATAAATTTCTCAACGTATGACGTCGATCATGTACTACAATGGTATTTATAACATTATTGTCATATAGAGTTATAGCGAACCATGGCACTAGTAATGTAGATAATGTCTAAATGTAAAAATATCCAATTTCAAGACTTATTAAGTTAGTACACCACGACGGTCTATATAAATAAACGGTTGTTGTAAATGTAATTTACCACTTCATTATTGTAGAATACAGCGTTGGATTGTTTGTACCTAACCACGTCAGTTTCTTCAGAATGAGCGTCGTATAATATTATAGGAATCCACCTCGTTAATTGTAAAATACCGTCATCTCTATTTCCTTTATACAACTGTCGTTATGTGACTACCATCGTATGAAATTTGTATTTCTTTTTAAGATTTATTTTCTAGGTTTTGGTAGTCTACTATGGTAGATCAACAAAATGACAAGTATGGAGTAAAAACACGACGATTTATATAGAAAACTTTCGTATGCGATATAATTTTTAGGCTTATTTACTAAATGAAATCGTCAGAGAAAAGAAAATGAGATCCCAACAGATATGAATTCTTATCAGTGGGAGCTATGTTCCTCATCACAATTGAACCACCAATTTGAGAAAGACAGTATTTTGGAAGTTGGTGATGTATGTGTCATCAATATTTTGGACATTCAGAGAGGTTTGAGAGACACCAACATACCAACTTCCAAATTATTGCCTTCCACCCAAATCCGGACCTTTAGAGAGGTAGAGAGAGCCAAGGCCGTATGCGACAAGGTTAGAGTTGGAACACTAATAGAAAAGTAAAAGTGAAGAACGCATGAATAGCCCCTATTTATCTTTACATCCATATGGATCTAGGAAAAGCAAAGCCCACCTAATCATTTTATTTTGTAAGACGTCAGTGGTTTTTTACTTACGCCGTAATAAAGTGTTGCAACGTCACTAGAAATATAACTACCGTAGTCTAAGTGATATACCACTTCGCAATTTTACTACTACACAATGTATTAAGTAAGTACACTACTTGGTCTGTACACATAAACGTCGCTATTGTAGAATATAGCGTCACAATTGTTCTAAGTAACCACGGCGGTTTATTGATAATGAGCGCCCTATTAACTTAATATACCACGTCCTCCAAAATACACTTTTGTCGTATAAAATTGTAATTAACCACAATGGTTTCGGAATACTAAAAGTCGTTTGACATTATTATCCACCATGTCGGTTTCTACATGTATCGCATCATATTAACTTTCATACTAGGGCCGTTTTATAAAAAGTGTCGGGTTATGAAACTTTGCTTTTCTATATTAACTTTTGCCCCACCTGACCTAAAATTTTACGTTTTCTCAACCTGATAAAATATTTCACTCCCCTCTCACTTTTCCTTCCCAAAGCGGCATGTTTGAATCTTGTCATTTTCCTCTCCTCCTCGTCTTCATCTCTAATTCACCCAACATCTCAAGCAAACTTTCATGGCATCTCTAATTCACCCAACATCTCGAGCAAACTTTCATTGCATGCTGAAGGTTACGTTTTTTCTCACTCCTTCCCCCTCCCCCCTTTCTCTCTTTTTTGTGAAAATCATTTTAAGTATTTCTAAGTTTAATACCATGAAAGAAAGTGTTTGCAAAACAAGACTCCGTTTTCAAAATACCATCATCTTTCATTGTTTTGAATAATATCAGTACGATAGTGCTCTCACTCTCACGACGGTTTTTTCTGTATTTTATTCTTAATAAGACAACGATTTTTTTTGTTTAGGTCATTTTAATTATCACACCACGACAATAATTAACTACCATCGTGCTATTTGCTTTAGCACGGAATCACACCACGACAGTAATTAACTACCACTGTGAGTGTGGGAGACGGTTTTTTCTGTATTTATTCTTAACGATTTTTTCTTGTTTACATCGTTTTAATTATCATACCACGATGGTAATTAACTACCACAATGCTAAAGTAAATAGCACGATGGTAGTTCATATCTAGCGACGTGTGAAATGTAAAATTACGTCGTTGTTTTCAAATAACCGTCATTTTTATTCTTTGAAATCTAAAATATATTCATTGCAGGTTATATTTCTCTATAACCATGGTTTCTAAAGCTCAAAGTAAGGAGGCTAGTTTGAATAAAAATCAAACTAAGGAGCTTCAAGTTTCAAATGCTAAAAGTAAGGAGCTTACAATTTCAAAGGCTCAAATTAATGAAGACAAAGCAGGTCAAACCAAGTTCTTGAAGAAGCTGAGAAAGAACCAAATAGCACAACGACATTTGATTAGGAGACAAAGTCAAGTCGTGGTCTCAACACAATGAGCTGTGTTGTGAGGAGAAAAATCCAAAAAACTAATGTTGTTGAGTACAATAAAAGAGGCAGACTACATGACAAGGCATCTATTGAGATGCAATCCTATATTGGGGTTTTGGCACGCACCTAAGTCCCTCTTGTGGACAAGAAATGGATTGAATTGTCCAAGGATACAAAGGAGCAGATTTGGGAAGTTGTTCATATGACTTATGTTGTTGAGCAAGGGTGCAAGAAGTGGGTCTTATTATCTGTAGCAAAAAAAAAGAAGGATTTCAAGTCTATCTTAACGAGGCAGTTTATTATTCTATTCACAAATGACAAGGAGAAGTTAAAAGAACCCTTTCAACTATATAAATTCATAGAGAAACCGGAGTGGGATGCCTTTGTAGCTTCAAGGTTATCTCCAAAATTTGTGGCTGTGCATACTGAATAATCACATAGAAGGGAAAAATGTCAATACAGTCATAGGTTGTCTCGAAAAAAGTATGTTGGTTTGGAGGACCAATTGGAGGAACCATGCCCAGGGAAGAAAGTGATCGTTCTCTATTATGGAGGAAGGCTAGAGAAGGCAAACAAGAAAACATCCCCAATCCAAAGACTGCAGAGAAAGCAAGATTAATTGTAAGCCTCACTTGCTCTATTTTAAATTTGAATTACAGAGTATTTTGAATTTGCATTAGACTTTGTTTTTTTCAACATCATTAGAAATCTCACACAACTACGATTTCAGATATGGGTGCATGTGGACTGGTGGTGGGTAGACTGTGGGCGCACTCAGCCGGTGGGGACAGTTGCAAAGTTGGACCTGGCTCATTAGGCTCGGTGGTGGTGTCGGAAGGGGACGAAGGCATCGGATGTGGACTGGTGGGGGTCGACTCAAGTAGAGTAGCGGCTGGAGAAGACCCAATTTGGGTCCATGTCAGAAGGAAAAGGAGGAGCTGGAAAATAAGAGGGAATCGAAATTGAAGAGAGAGAAGGGAAAGTGTGATAGGGAAAAATATTTTCATGGAATTTAACATCAGAACTTGAGAAAATTTTGTGAGAGTCAAGATCATAAAGCTTGAAGGCTTTTTGACCAAGGGGATAACCAAGGAAAATAGATGGAATAGCACGAGGTGCGAATTTATGTGACACATGAACATTAGTGGATATGCAAGATAACCAAAAAGCGAAGGTGAGAGAAAGAGAAAACACATTCCCCCCAAAATTTGGAAGGAAGATTAGCCTGAGTTTTTAAAGCACGACCTATTTCAAGGATGTGGCAATGCTTACGTTCTACAACCCAATTTTGTTGAGGTATAAACGCAAGAGTGTTGAAAAATGACACCCTATTCATGAAAGAAAGTTTGAAGAGAAAGAAATTACCCTTCATTGTCGACACGAAGTTGTTTAATTTGGGAATCAAATTGAGTGCCAAGAAAAGAAAAAAAAGGTTTTTAAAAGATGTTGAGTCTCATGTTTATGGCACATTAAAAATACCCAAGTAAAGCGAGAATAATCATCAACTATTGTAAGAAAATAATGGACACCAAAAATTGACGAATGCTTATAAGGGCCCCGAATATAATGGACATCAACTATTGACAAATGTTTTGACAGAGGAAATTGAACTTGTTCCAAAAGGGAGAAGACTCTGCTTTGCTAAGGGACAACCATGGCAAGCATTATTAGAGACAAAAGGGAAATCTATTAAATGCTTAGACATAAAATTTAATCTGGAGGAAGAAACATGACCAAGACGAAGACGCCAAAGGTCGGTGGTGGTGACAGTGTGATTGCAGGATGGACGGTGAGAGGGATATTGGTGGGTTGTGTTGGGGGGTTTCTCCGCCAATAGTGCCACCAAATAATAAAGCCTCCCATGTTGCATACCCAAACCAATCATCTTTCTTGTAACAAGGTCATGCAAAATACACCAATATGGGAAAAAAGTCACTGAACAATTCAAACTTTTGTAACCCTACTCACAGACATCAAATCTACTGTGAAAGTAGGTACACATAGCACATCACGCAAAGTATAAATAGAATTGAGAGGGAATGATATGTGGTAGTAATTGAAGCCTTCTCCCCACTAGGCATGCGAACTAGTTGCATAGAATGATCAATATTACGATGAACTAACAATTTTGGAGAAGAAACAATGTGGTCAGTCGCGCCACTGTCAATAATCCATCGCTGAAATTTTAATTTTGACAAACCTTTATTGGTGGCAGCGGCATTGACCTGGGATTTCTTGTCAGGTGCTGGTTTGTCATGCATGATAGCCAACATTTGCTGAATTTGAAGGTCTGAAAGGCTAGACATAATAGACTGCATCCCATCCTTGGTTTGGCCTTCCGAAACATGATTGGAAGATGGACCACCATGATTTTTCTTATGTTTGTGGGCTCAATGACCTTCTGGATACCTGTGAAACTTGCAGTAGGTATTGATGTGATGACCATCGTCATCACAATGGGTGCAATGGGGTCAGTTTCTTGAAGATCCAGCGCAACGGTCATCACAGTTGGAGGTTTGGGAAAGGTTTTGGTTTGACACGTCAGTGCTACGATCCTCGCAGTTGGTGGATCGATTCTGATTAGGGCGTCCAATTCTAACAGCCATGGCAGCAGTATTGGAGGTTCCAGCAGCTGCTCGTGAGGCTCCAAGGGTGCATTGCTTTTCTTCTTGGCTGATGGAGGCATATGCTTGCATAACATACAACAAGGGATTCATCAAGAGAATTTGGCCACGAACAACACTGTAAGACTCATTCAATCCCATAAGGAATTGCATGAGTTTGTTGCGATCACCGTGGGCTGCACAGGTACAGGTAGAAGAATATGTGTAGGAAGCAAGTTCATCCCAAAGACCTTTCAACTTGGTGTAATAGGCAGAAACTGAGGATTGGTCTTGTGTCAATTATGAAGTCTCCCGTTGAAGTTGGAAGATACGAGGAGCATTGCTTTGAGAGAATCGTACACGGAGATCCTCCCAAATTTCGCGGGCTATGATGCAATATATGACACTATCGCTGATTTTGAGATCAAGCGTGTTGACAATCCAGGAGAAAACCATGTCGTTACAGGGCATCCATACTGCGTGTTCATCAGGATTGGATTTCGATGACGGCTTTTTGAGAGTTCCATCAACGAAACCCAATTTATTCTTTGCATTCAATGAAATAGTCATGAATCTGAGCCATGTCGCATAATTATCTCCATTCAAGGGCTTTCGAACAATTACCGAACTTGGATGATTTGAATTATTGATGTAGTAAGGGCTTGAAGGTTCAACCTTGAATGTGCCAAAGGAATCACCTATGGTTTTCGGCGGCGAAAGATCTGTGGCATGAGAAGGTAAGGTGCGGCAGGAAAAGAAATATGAAGAGCTGGGGTTTGATGTCCTGCTCTGATACCATATGAATATGATATTGGAAGGGAATAATTTTAATTGATAAGTACAATTGGTTTATACAAGAGTACCTTAGTGTACAAGGAAACAAGTCCTCCAATCTAGGAAACCTACTAGGAAAGTAAATCCTAATTATAACAGTATTGATATTAATTGATATTATACAAACTTATTTCCTAACACCCTCGGGCTCTAAGCTAGTCAAGTAAGCGTGAATGGTTGACCTGGTGAACGTGGACAATTACAGGTGGCCCAGGGCAATACACCAAGACGCAATATCGCAAAAGTCAACAGGCACAATTTTACCTCCTACTTTTGGTTCTTATATTCTCTTTTCACATGCCGACATGCGACTTGGTTTTATTTTTTTGGGTCAACCATGCAGCTTGGTTAGATAGCCGCCAAGATCATGAACTCTTTTTCATGCACCCAAAGCTGCCTTCACGGACTGGTTACAAACAATAACTTTGATACATATATATAAGCATGAAATTCAACGCAGTGATATTATATGATTAATTTTTCTTAATTTTTTTGGAAGACAGTGGCATAAGTACAAAATTTGAAAACGCCAAATTAGTGTTCTCATCATTTCTTGAAAACAAATCAAAATCCTTTCAGTATCTATTACTCATTGATTACAGATAGCCCTTGCAGCCACCCCATCCAGTATCACAAATATTTGTGTCCATTATTGATTTTTCTTGTAACACTCTGATAAATAAAATTTGAAAAACTTCAGCTCACCCAAGATAGATTATGCTGTGTAACACATAATACACTCATCACTCATTACTTTATCAAGAAATTAATAAACTTCATTATTGCCACCACTTTAGCCAATTGATATTTTTATATATAAAAAGAGAATAATGTTTTATTATCAGCCGATTTGATGTTTCAGTTATGCCACTGCCCACATAGGATTCTTACTGTTAAATATATGGAGGTTGATCTACCAATTTGTGGAGCCTAGAATGTTTGACTTTTTTCCTTCATGTTTTTGTGTTAATAGTTCACACGTTATTCTTTCTATTTGAGCCTGAGAAGTCTTAACAGAGGATCAATTGTCCTACATCCATGGCCAAAGTCAAAAGTCAACCCTGAGACCAGTCATTCAACCCTCTCCTTCTAGAAAATTAAATCCAATTTGAAACCGAACTCACAAAATTCAAACCCACAACTACACATGTGGCCTACCCACATTATTATTTATGTGCTCCACTATAAATAACAACCAACTCTACCTTCATTCCCTGCCTTAGAAACCAAAATGGCTCAAATCATTGCACCCAGCAACGTATTTCTAACCCTTATTATTGTAGCTGCAACTGTAGCTGGGTATGTGGAGGCACAAAATTGTGGGTGTGCTTCAGACTTGTGTTGTAGCAAATATGGGTATTGTGGCACAAGTGATGACTACTGTGGCACCGGGTGCCAAGCAGGGCCGTGCAAGACAGCGCCTCTAACCCCGAGCACTAGCAACGTGTCGGTGGCTGATATCGTCACGCCCGAATTCTTCGACGGCATAATTGGCCAGGCCGATGCAAGCTGCGTCGGCAAGAACTTTTATTCCCGAGCTACCTTTCTTGAGGCTCTCAAGTCTTATGATCAGTTCGGTAAGATTGGTTCCATTGATGACTCTAAGCGTGAGATTGCTGCCTTCTTTGCCCATGTCACCCATGAGACTTTTCGTAAGTTCTTTATTCTCTCATCAATTATTTCTTCCACTTTATTCATTTTTTGCATATGTTGGTCCAGAATGTAATTCATTTTTATACTTCCGCATGCAACTTTTAAAGCCGTTATATATTTAGTGTTGTTTCTTATGATTGTTGTAGTAGTGTGCCCACGGTCAAACACGTAGACACGAGTTTAATTTATTTGTATCAAGTTAACTGACGGTACTATCTCTCCAATAATAGAAGTAGAAATAGATATTTTGTTTTCTTTTCTTGTTCAGAATTTTCAATTTTTTTTATTGGTTTTTTTTAATGGGGGTGACGAGGATGGGGAATCCACAACTTGAATATTATGGGTATAGAGGCCGGAATGGGGGAAAAGCTTAACAAGAAATGGAGACAGCAATGGTGTACCCCGGCCTGATTTGCTCCATTAATTGTCACCCCTAGTAGAAACTACAAAGTCACATCCCTTGTAGATGAGTCTAAGTTCTATCCCTTGTAGATGAGTCTAAGTTCTATTAGAGAGATTGTACACTATGTGGCCAATTAAAAACTTAAGATAATACAAATATGTTTATTCTATAAATAGATATTTAAGCCATTAATATGAGGTTGATTAAATTGTGCTATTTTATATATAACCCAAAAACGCAATTAGCAAAGGATCCCAAAAACTGAAGGAAAAATGATGTTTGATTGTGCAGATTTCTGCTACATAGAAGAGATAGATGGACCCTCAAAGGACTACTGTGATGAGAGCAACACACAATATCCATGCAAGCCAAACAAGGGCTACTACGGGCGTGGACCAATCCAACTATCATGGAACTTCAACTACGGCCCAGCCGGAGAGAGCATTGGCTTCGACGGATTAAACTCTCCTGAAACTGTTGCCAATGACCCCATCATCGCCTTCAAGACAGCGTTGTGGTATTGGATGAACAGCGTCCGACCAGTCATTGGAGAAGGTTTCGGTGCAACAATACGAGCCATTAATGGTGCCCTTGAATGTGATGGTGGAAACCCTGCCACTGTTCAGAAACGCGTTGAGTATTTCACTGAATATTGTAACCAACTTGGTGTTGCTCCCGGGGACAATCTCACTTGCTAGGAGACATCTCAGTTTACTCGCTGAGCTGGAAACATTCATCTCCTTCGATTGTTGTTAATTGTTTAATAAAAATTATGTATCAGACATATAAAATAAAATAAATACTACGAATTCCATTAAATGTGATCAATGTCCTCTTGGTTTAGTACGTAATCTTTTTAATGATAAATGGATCTCCGTAAAACATTAATGAAATACCAGGAGCTTATTCATCCAGAAAAAAAAGCATCGTAGAGGTATTACAAACCCAAAAAAACTGAAAACGACAACATGATTTTAGGGGAGCTAAGCCAAACTTCATCGGTGAAAGTGCCAATTAATCGTCAAGTGATCATCTTTTCTTGAAACCATACTTTTTACGTTCATAGAACAGATCAGTTTTGGCACTTCCCAAATTCACAATTTTGGGACACCCGTCTCTGTCTTTTTCCAGCTGAGTACACTCTTTGCAGTAGTAAGCGTCAGAAATTCCAACCCCTCCACACACAACACACCGGCCCTGGAATGATCCATAGTTGCACTCATCGCACACCCGAACAAGCGTGCAAGGGCGCACCAAAGAATCGCAGATTACGCACTTGCCGTCACACTTTTCACACAGCCTTCCGATGGCTATTCCGGGTTGCTTCCGACACATAATTAAGTCAGGATTATGCTTGGCCATCTTTCTAGTTATGTCACCGCATTATTACATAGGCCAATATGTCTTATATATATTGGTAAAGTGAAGACTAGTGTGACAGATGAGAAGGGGCTTTTGGGGCTTACTTGCTGACCAAGACCAACCACTTTCAAAAGTCAACATTATTTAAGCTGAAAAATGTGAGATACTTACTGGTTTTCTTGCGAGACAAGGGACGAGGACATGGAGTTCATTTTCTGAATTGAATAAAGTAGCAGTGCTCAAATGCTCATGAGACTAGTCAAAATGGAAGGGGAAAGGTCGATTATAATATGTCCACAGTGGATTGAATAAAGCAGCAGTCTCCAGTTGGCTTATGGCTTGATACGTCACAGTGGATCCACACAAATTGCTTCGGCATGAGTTTTATTTTTGTCTTATTTAAATATAAATTAAATATTTTATAAACTAAAATGATGAGTTACTATTGAAAACTATACCTAACTAAATTTAAATCTTTGTTATTGCTAGGTGTGAATGGATTAGGATGTATTAGTTCTTGGTCTATAGGACATGGAGTAATAGAATGGAATTATTCTTAAAATAGAAAAAAATATTTTATTGGAATATGAATGGAGGAGTAAACCGTCGGTTATTTAGATATCAAGGATTTGGTGGTCGGGATGAAGATCCTTCCATTAAAGAAGGATTTGGCAGTAGTTAAAGTGGCCGAATCGACGGTGGTTGGTCGGAAAAACCATCTAGGACTACTAAGCTTTTCAACTTGACTACATAAGAATACAGTTTTTATTTGGGTCAATATAAGAATATAATAAGGCAATGTTTTGCGACTTTCCTGAGGATTGTTGACTTTTGTATTATATTTTAGGTAACTCTTTCTAATATTAGATTTCCTAGTATAGTCATGTAATTACTCTTCGTGATAGTGGAATTAGGATTGTAACCCTACGTGTATATATATCCCCATTTGTGAGATGAATAACACAAAACAATATTAAACCAAATCATATTCTTCTTCTTGGCACCAGGCCCAGGTTCAGAAAAAAAGAAAAAATGGTCAAGCAAATTCTCTGGGCCGCTGCCGCACGAACCTGCCACTGTCGAATCTGGCAGCATCGACTTGAAGAAGCCACCGCCGCTACCAAATCATGTAGCACCACCGTATCGCCCAGCCGACTCCCCTCCTTGGCTCTAAACATAGCTGCTCCACATCACCTCCCATCTTCATTCTTCTTGAAAGTCTCTTGTGATGACCAAGGACGACGAATTTGTTGCCGTTCCTAATACTGCTTCCGTCATTGTTCAATCTCATTGTAGACAAAGGAATTTTGGTGGAATAAATTCCATTAGATAAGAAAATAATTAAGGCTCGGTGGACTGAATTGTAGGCCCCATAATTCTCTTATGTGGCGTATGACTCATCAAAATCGGATTAGTTGTCAAAGTGACACGTGTCGACATCTGAAGGACTGCATCAATAGGTTCAAAGTGAAGACAAAATTAAAAGAAAGAATATTCTGTGATTAACTTTAATTTAAATCAAATATTAATCAAGTCAATCAATCGAAGATAATTTGGTTAAATTGCCAAATTATTGTAATTGATTTTAAATCAAATCAAAATCTCACAAAACAAGGTCTTAAAGAGGGAAAGTTATTTAGGTCAAGCATCCTGCAGGAGCCTATAAATTCCTCAAGACGAAAGAAAGGAGCTTAGACGGACCAAGCATTCAGAAGAAACATAAAACTCTCTGCATTCTTCACCTCACTTCAGAAGAGCCACCAAGCACAACAAATACGTGCCAGTTCCTCCACCTTAGAAAAATTCAAACACCAAACAAGCCTTGTGCTACCTGTTTGATCAAGATCAAGTCTCTACGACCCTTGTATCAAACAAAAATTTTCTTTAAACCCTTTGGAGATCGAATCAGATGATTTAATACAGAGATTGTAACCCTAAATTTTATTAATACAAATATTATGTTGTACATGTGTTCTTGTCTCATTTGTCGCAGGAAATTCGTGTTTACAAATTTGGCACGCCCAGTGGGACTTCTTTGCCTCTCATCTCTTTTTCCAGTTCCAAAAATGATGGCTTCTAAGAAGATTCAAACCGTTCTTGCGATGAGAGGCAAAAGTGTGAGCGCCTCCTTCTCAAGCAAAGACTCTACTGGGGTCGTCACTCAGAGCAAGGCCAAGGCGATATCTGCAACTCAACATGCCACTTCCATATCGACTCAAGCCAAGGTGAAAGATGTGAACGGAAGGCGTGAACCAGTTATCAATTTAGCCTCCTTCGGGGCAAGAAGAATACTTCCTGAGCGGATGAGAAAAACTCTCGAAATGAAGAAATGAGTTTTTTTGGCTCGAAGAATTAAAGAGAACGTTCACTCTCACCTGTTTCAGATGCTAACTCGAGCACAGGCTCGTCCCATGGATCCCCGTCTGGCGACCAATAGAAGAAGATTGCCACGAAACCCTCGACGTCCATAGGTGAGTCTTGTTCTATGGCCATGCAGCTCATGGTGATAGGAGCGAAGTCTATTGAAGAACAACTGGCCCATATGAGCGAAGCGGTCACGAAACTGACAAAGCTGAATCAACGTCAAGAAGTACATAAGAAAGGACCACATCATGAAGCTGAATCAGTGAGAAAGGATTGGGTCATGAAACAGAGTCGGGTGAGAAGTTGCACGGAGAAGGTGACGCCGCCTCGGTGGGTTCTTTATCGGTCCAACAACTACAAGGCATGATCACGAACACCATCAGGGTTCAATACGGACCACCTTCCCGATACACGCTCATATATTCCAAGCCATACACTAGGAGGATAGACAACCTGTGGATGTTGACGAGATATCAACCTCCCAAATTCCAACAATTCAATGGAAAAGGCAACCCAAAACAACACGTTGCACACTTTGTCGAAACATGCAACAATGCTGGGACGGAGGGTGACCACTTGGTGAAACAATTTGTTCGTTCATTGAAAGGAAATGCATTTGATTGGTATGTAGACTTAGAGTTCGAGTCCCTTGATAGTTAGGATCAAATGGAGAGAGAATTCTTGAACAAATTCTATAGCACTTGTTGCACCGTGAGTATGATGGAACACACAAATACCAAGCAATGGAAAGATGAACCTGTCATCGATTACATCAATCGGTGGCGCTCGTTAAGCCTGGATTGCAAGGATAGGCTTTTGGAGATATCAGTAGTTGAGATGTTCATTCAAGGGATGCATTGGGGGTTACTCTACATTCTACAAGGGATTAAAGCTCGCACGTTTGAGGAGCTAGCCACTCATGCCCATGATATGGAGTTAAGTATAGCTAGCCATGGAGGAAATCATGAGCCTGTCATGGAGCATAAAAAGGAGAGTTTTTGGACAAAAGATAGATAAGCCGATCAAGAAGCCTACCAAGGAAGCCGATCAACAGTGTCTTGGTCAAAATCTCCACCCGAGATAAGAAGAGAGAAGTCAAAAGGATGAAGCCATCCTGAGAGGTGGATAGACGTCAATGCATCTTGAAGGAGTTGGAGGAAAAAATGTACCCTTTCCCTAACTCCGATGTCGCAGGTATGCTTGAGGACTTGCTTGAAAAAAAGGTGATTGAATTGCCAGAATGTAAGCACCCTGAGGAGATGAACCGGGTTAACGACCCTAAGTTTTGCAAGTACCACCAAATCGTCAACCATCCAGTAGAGAAGTGTTTCATGTTGAATGAGCTAATTATGAATTTAGTTAGGCAAGGAAGGATTGAGTTGGATATTGATGAAATCGCAGATACGAACGTTGCCACAATTGTGTTTTGATCCTTTGATCCGATGTCGTTGCCTGTATTGTCGCAAAGATCGGAGTTTCAGTCAACAAGAGGCATACACAAGGTAACTGATCTGTGTATGAAAGAAGTGGCGGGCGAACCAAACAATCGGGGTGATGATGGCTTCATTGGTGACTCGCCTTTCGAAAGAAGAGCAAAAGTTCTCAGCATAGGCAAAGGATTCACCATCGCACTCCAATATTCAGGGTATGTGCGAGAATAAAAATTCAAGACACATGCTCGTTGATGGAGGTTTGGCAGTAAACATCATGCCTAAGTCCACAATGATGAAGTTAGGCATTACCATGGATGAATTGTCTCGAAGTCATCTCATGATTCAAGGCGTCAACCAAGGAGGGCCAAGAGCCATGGGCATGATCAGAATTGAGCTTGTGATAGGTGATTTAAAGTCAAACACCCTATTTCACGTGATTGATGCCAAGATTTCCTACAATATTCTCTTAGGAAGGCCATGGTACATGAAAATGAAATAGTGCCTTCAACCTTATATTAGTGTTTCAAATTTTACAGAGTTGGAGTGAAGAAAATCATGGGTGACGTCAAACCATTTACTGAAGTCAAGTCTTATTTTGCCGATGCCAAGTTTTACATGGATGAAGACATGGTAACTGAAGTTATTCCAGTTGAGGTTCACTCAACAAGTAAGGCCATACCAAGAAGAGATGAGCATTCAAAGTGCCTTTCCACTGAAGAGAATGGCGATAAGAAATCAAAAAGCACTTCGTTTGGACAAATGGGTTCATCACCGATAGATTCACAGTAGGTGTCTATTCCTGTTCTTCGTTATGTTTCATCATTCCAACGGAAGGAAGGACAATCCCCATTTGGAAAAGAAGTAAAACCAAGGAAGTTAGGGGAAAGTGACATGAAGTTTTTGAAGGAGTCAACAACCATGCCTTTGCCCAAGTTGAGCAATTCAGACATTTCGAAATCTTCGGTACCAAGGTTCATCAGACCATCACAAGACGCAACAAGACACGAATCTCTTCCTGTCAAAAGAACTAAAAAAGGTTTTGATCCTAATGCCTATAAGCTCATGTCAAAGGCAGGTTATGACTTTGACTTATCTCCTTCACTGGGAGAGCTTAATCTAGATATTACTGGAGAAAGGACACATGGCCTGAACGAAACCCAAAAGAAGTTGAAGAAGCAGGGTTACATAATCAACTCAGCTAGAGCAGGCCTTGGTTTTACTCATATTGCACCTGTTAAGATATCCGATAGAAGGAAAGAAAAGAAGGCAAACACTCAACACATTAGTATCCAAGTGGTCGAAGAGGAAGAAGAATTAAAGGCTACGAAGAGAGCCTCAGTGTTTGACTGTTTAGCAAGCCTACCCAACGGACCTCAATTTTTAGCCGCATCAAAGAATCAACATCACGACCCTCTGTGTTCAAAAGGATATCTGGATATAATGGTCAAAGGGGAATTCGATTAGCTCCACATAGATCAATGCTAGAAAGACTCGGAGTTCCAAGCAAGCCATATGAAGAGAAAAACCAACAAGAGTTGAAAAGTAGAGTTCATGTTGATTCGATAGAAGATAATGAAATTTTGAGCCTAATCTTGTCACCTATGAAACGTCACTCAACATTAGAGGTAACTTCAGGTGACCAAGTCAAAGTAAAACGATGAACAATCATACATACTCAGAAAACTTTGAGTCAACAAAACAAAAGTGACAATGAAGAAGCAGAGGTCCTAGCTGTTCATCACGTTACAATTAACGAGCTCGATGAAGAGGAACCTTTCGAGGATGAGGTTCATAATGCCCATGCCACACTAGAAGATTGGGGACAAGCGACTGTAGATGAATTAAAAGAACTCAACTTGGGTACAAATGAAGACCCAAGACCTATCTTCGTTAGTGCACTTTTGAACCCTAATGAAGAGGAATCATATCATCAACTCTTACTTGAGTTAAGGCATTACATGCAAGCTTTCACAGTTCATCTAATTGCACGAGCTGACCCGGTGAGGTACGTTATGTCAAAACCAGTCTTGACGGGGTGTTTGGCCAAGTGGGCGTTACTTCTCAATCAATATGAAATTATCTACACTCCAGTAAAGGCGTTTAAGGGTCAAACTATTGCAGACTTCCTACCCGATCATCTAATTCCAGCAGACTGGAAAATTTCAGATGACTTACCCGACGAACAAGTCTTCTTCACTGAAATTTCTCCTGCTTGGATGATGTTCTTTGGTTGATCGTCTCGTATAGACAGGACAGGGGCTGGCATAGTCTTCGTATCACCCGAGAGACACGTACTACCCTATTCATTATGCTTAAGAGAACTTTGCTCAAACAATGTTGCAAAATACCAAGCTTTGATCATGGGCTTGCAAATGGCCGTGGAGATGAATATATCAAGCTTAGAAGTGTATGGTGACTCCATGTTAGTAATCAACCAGCTATTGACCCATTACGAGGTTAGGAAGGATGATTTAATTCCATATCACCAAATGGCCACGCAGTTAATGAAAAGTTTGACTTCGTGATGCTGGAACATGTGCCAAGAAAAGATAACCAAATGGCAGATGCCTTAGCCAACCTTTCTGCTACGTTGACATTGACAAAAGATGAAGCGATGAATCTTCTAATTTGCCACTGTTGGATTGTTCCATTAGCACTTGGGGCATCACAATAAGGAGTCAACGTCATCTCAGTATTGTCCATTGACATTGACAACTAGAGACAAACTTTAATTGATTATCTTGAGCATGGGAAACTGCCAAATGATTCGAGACATCGATCAGAGGTAGGACGTCGGGCACCTAGATTCATTTATTACAAATAAATTCTCTACCGTCGTTCATTCGAAGGCATGTTACTAAGATGTTTGACCGAAGAAGATGCATCCAAAGCGGTGGAGGAGGCTCACTCAGGTATTTGTGGAGCTCATCAATCAGGACCAAAGCTACATTTCCAAATAAAGAGGATGGGATACTATTGGCTGACTATAGTCAAGGATTGCATGGATTATGTGAAAAAATGTCATGCATGTCAATTCCATGCCAACTTTATACACCAGCCGCCGAAGCCGCTACATCCCACAATTACTTCATGGCCATTTGATGCATGGGGTCTTGATGTGGTGGGACCAATAGCACCCAAATCTTCGGAGGGTCATTCTTACATCCTTGCAGCCACATACTATTTTTCAAAATGGGCAGAAGCTGTACCTCTAAAGAAAGTGAAGAAAGAAAACGTAGTGAGCTTTATCAAAGTAAACATAATTCATCGGTATGGTGTGCCACGTTACATCATCACAGATAATGGAAAGCCATTCTCAAACCGGTTAATGGATAAATTTTGTGAAGATTTTGGTTTCAAGCAACGCAACTCTTTAATGTTCAATGCCCCAGCCAACAGTCTTGCAGAAGCATTCAACAAAATTCTTTGCAACTTGTTGAAGAAAGTTGTCGGGAGAACCAAGAAAGATTGGCATGAAAGGATAAATGAAGCATTATGGTCTTATCGGATGACCTAGCGGATGCCTGCTCAGGCTACACCGTACTCGCTTGCATATAGCGTGGAAGCAATCTTGCCTCTAGAAAGTCAAATTCCATCATTAAGGATGGCCGTACAAGAAGGATTAACTAATGAAAAGGATGGGAAGTTTCATCTCCAAGAGTTAGAAGCATTAGACGAAAAGAGACTCGAAGCGCAACAACGCTTAGAGTGTTATCAAGCTTGGCTTTCGAATGCTTTTAATAAGAAAGTCTACCCCAGATCTTTTGAGGTAGGAGATCTCGTTCTCGCATTACGTAGACCTAAGATCATAACACACAAAACCGGAAGCAAGTTTACTTCAAAATGGGATGGGCCCTACGTAGTACAAGAAGTATGCACAAGTGGCGCTTACAAGATCGTAGCTGAGGACAGTTTAAGAGTCGGCCCTATCAACGAAAAGTTCTTGAAATGATACTATGTATGAAATTACTGCCAGCTCCTAGCCCGCATGAGCCTAAACTGCGTATGGCACCCAAAAAAAAATAGGCTCGTTGGATTGAAAACCCGAAAGGGCGATCCAAGCAAAAGTTAGAGTATAAGAAACTACATTGAGTTGAATACCTGAAAGGGCGTGGCTCAAGCAAGAGTTAGGACAAAAAAAAATCCCCTTTGAACTATGTGATGACTTGATCCCTTTTCATTGAGGGTACGTAGGCACCTTGGACAAATAATTCCAAGTTTAGTCACATCAAAATACAAACAAAGGGTTTCCCCATCAATCCGAACCATTCACAAGAAATAATGAAATAATGAAATAAGAAAATTCTTTTATTTCATTATGAAAGTTAACTAGCAAACATCAACACTTTGACAAGTTCGAAGAGAAATATAAACGAAGCAAAGAAAGTTTACAACAACAAAAATTTGCTATTCCCAAGAAAAGTCCCTGAAGCCGTTACGCAATCTCTCAAAAGAAACTCGTAATGCAACTAAAGTCTCAGCATCGGCAGCAGATAATACATGAGCTCCTTCGACTGTAATCTTATCCTCTCTCAAGCGGGTAACCTCACCATGATGATAAGAAAGTTGTGCATCACTATTTGAAAGTGATTCGTTTAGTTGACGCAATCTTAACTCCAATTGTTCGTGTTCTCTCTTTAACTCCTCTATATGCGTGTTGGCAGCTTTAATAGTCTCAAATATGGAAAACTGATGAACCTCTTCAGCTTGTTGCAGAGCCAAGGCAATAGAGAATGAAGAGTCAACAGCAGCTAAACGATCACTTTGAACCTCAAGAGACAGCTTTTGGGAGTAAGTAGAGTGTGCAAAATAATAGTCAACTGCAGTCACCATAAGTGCATCGATCATAGCTCGTAAAGATGAGACATCCGCCCCCACATTGTCAAAGGTAGTCAACAACTTGCCAAGCTCATCTTTGAATGAAGGAAGCCTTTCTAATGAAGCCTTCAAGATTATGCTTTTTATTTGGTTTCCTAAAACAGAAACTACTTTGCGAAGGGTTTTGTCTGCAACACCTAATTTGGGTTCCCCACATGACATTTTAGAGGTTGATGCATGATTAGCCGACTTTAATAAATGTTGTTGCACCTAAACCACTTATCGGGTGCAAAGTATCATTTTCCCCTTGGATAGGCAAATGGTTAAATGGTTAAATGGCACAAGCTCAAACACAGTAGGAACATGATGTACTACTTCTCCCTAATATATATATATATATATATAATAAAATAAAAAGGGAGGCTCAAAGCGAAATAAAATACATACCTCGTTCATTAGAACTGGTTGTGAAATCGCAATAGAGAGGTACGCTGTGTCAAGATCGCAATAGAGAGGTCCGACACTTGTCTTCTTATGCCTAAAGTTGACTTCACTGTCTTCATTGCTGCTTATATGCCCTCGCTTCAAATTGCGAATTCGTCGATCGAGGGGAATGAAATCTTCTTGAGAATCTACTAGACTTTCTATTTCTCCTTTATCATTAAGGACCCGAGTTGAAGGAACATCAGCTGAGGTGGGTGTTGAACTCGAGGCGCAGTAGTAGTAGAACTACCTTCAAATTCTGGATGAACTCTGTGTGCTCTACCACGTATGAGTTTATAAGGAACTAAAGTTTCGTTGCCTTAAGACTTAAAAGATTTTGGCTGAGATAGCGACGATGACTTGCCTACAGTTGAAACTGTCTTTGACTTCGTTGATTCAAAGTGATGCACCTTTGATCACCAAACAACATAATCGGATGTTACCTCAAATTCCCGGATATTGTCCTTAGTGGGTAAGGTTATTGTAGATGCACTACCATCATTTAAGCATGACTTCTAATGATAATACACTGATAGCACAGTCCCATTATGGATGTCATCTTTAAGTTCTCCTAGCAGATGTTGTACATAGTAGAACTGTCTACTAAACCGGTGCTGGCTATAAGGTTGGATGACTCGGTAGTTTTCCTGTCATAGAGAAACAAATCCCGAACGAAGGCATAACAAATATGCAACGTCTTCTTTGGAAATATGATCTTCATTAGTCAGTCATTTCCACTCTAAAAACATTCTAGCCAGAAGGCTCATTTCCACTTTACCACAAGTCTAGAATAAAGCTCCAGCTGTTGAATCTTCAAAAAATTTCACAAAAATTCTTCCTGAGAACATTGCCATGATAGGAATAGACTTCGTGAAAGATGATGTAAAGTGTGTGTCGAAGTATTTGCCCAACCACCCATACACATAATGTAAAGGAAGAACAGTTGTGCAATTTCCTAGATCATCTGCGCTAGAAATATCGTTCTGCCCTTTGTAAATGCTGGCCAATACTGGAACTGCTAGGCTAAATGATACACCGTGTGATATTCGACGAGCAACTTTGAAAACCCCCGGTCTGATAAAAGTGACGTTGTTTTTGGAAAATACAAATTTACATAACCAGTAAGCAAGGAAAGCAACCAAGTATGATCTTTCCATATCTTCATCAGTTACACCCAAATGATACCAGACGAATCAGAGTCTTCCTTTGGCTTTTGTGACTTGTTCCGTATGGTTTTCCTTGAAGGCTTTTTGTACTTGAATGACCCTCGATACTAGTACTTTATCCAAGCAATCATTCTCACTCCAGATTTTCCTTTAGAATCCCGTAAAATTTTGTGGTACGCTAAGAACAAATAGTGACAAATGTGTGGGATATGAGACACGCCTTTGTGGTCCTTCCTGTTGAGACTCTCAGTGGTTGAAATAACCTTATCATAAAATCGACCTATAATAGGGAGACTGCCGATTTCATGAAGATCCCAAAGGGAAATAGATATTTCTCCTTGCGATGTATAAAGAGTAGTTGTCGCAGGACACCAATACTGGCAAAAGGCTCGGATGACTGGAGCGTGTCGATCATAGCTAAATAATGAGGCAAACACTACATTATACAAACCAGCACTCTTAAGAAATTGGGTATTTCCACTTAGCACATCTACAAGCCATTCCCAGTAATACTTGGTAAATGTAGATTCACCAGTTGTCAGGAGAACAGAACTCCAAATCGCTGCTTTATTATGGATTCGATCGCTAAGAAGTTCGAATGCCCTTAATGAATCGGTCTCTGCATGATGTGTGGAATTTAATTATAAAATAGTGGAGTGAAGGTCCCTACTCGTAGACTTGGATTTTTTGAAGTTGCTTAGTTGACAAAACACCTCTTGAGACCAAAACGGGATATGAAGAGAATTGTCCACCTCGGATACCTCCGAAGCTAAGAGACGCACAGCTACAAGCAATGTGGTACCTTCATTCCCGGTTATCACTTTCAGTATAAGGTTGATGACTTCATACTTGAAAAAACAAAAAACAAAAAAACAAAAAACAAAAAAACCAAAAAACCAAAAAACCAAAAAACCAAAAAAACCAAAAAAACAAAAAACTAGAACAACCAAGGGGAAACGCTTACTTGTACAACTTTGAAATGCACAACAACATTGGGCCCCGATTTTGGGGAGAAGAAGTTGAGGATTAGGTTGGATGATGCTGCAAGGACGAATATCGTTAAACTAAATAATGTACAGTATAATGTTGTGGATGGTGATATGGACGACCTCGTACATTTGACGGACAACAGTTGTAGTTGTAAGAAATTTCAACTTGAGCAGCTACCTTGCAAGCATGTAGTTGTAGTTTGCCGCTTCTTGAAACTAAATGTATACTCCAAGGATTCTCGGTATTACACTCAAAATACATGGATGGATGCTTATTCGGATACCCTCTACCTAGTACAGCCTCAGGGAATGTGGGTTATTCTTGAAGATGTCCAAAGTCGAGTTGTGATAGCTCCCATGGCAAAGGTCATGCCAAGCAGATGGAAGAAGCTAAGGATTCCCTCGCAAGGAGATGGTGGCATTAGAAGAAAGTGCTCAAGGTGCGGTTCCACGGGCCACAATAAAATCACCTATAAAAAGAATCTTCCACTATGTAATATATATTAGACAATATGATTTGTGTTGGTTTGTTAGGTAGTATTAATTTGAATTTTATTTGTGGTGGCTTTGGTGTTATGTGGATTGTGAATTCAGCTAAATTTGCATAATTTGGGTTGCATTGCTATACATCGTGGTGTATTCCCTATTTATATTGACAATATCTCTATTGTATTGTCATTTTATTGCCTTAAGATTGCCATTATATTGTACGTTTATTGTAGTGGTATTGCTATTGCAATGTAGACTGTGTATGTATGAAATTAAAGGGCCTAGAATGTAACTCAAAATGGATCCCCAACATTAAAGTCCTTCTAATGCAATTATTACGCAATTAACGTAATACTCCTACTACACCTTCTTTTGTGATTACAAACTCAGATGATGCATGGGGCAAATGCAAGGTGAAGTATCCTATGTGTTTGACTGGATATAGTTGTAGAAAGAGCATTATGACTGTTAACCCCAACAGATTCCTCATGTCTTGTCCAGAACACCCTTGAATTGACGCAATGTGCCCAAGCCAGTCCCAAAGCTGGACTCACCCGTCTGTCTAATGTATGCAAGCACCCCAAGTTACCCAATCTCACTCCATTGATTCCATCATCTAGCCCAATAAAATCCACCACTTGGTTGGTCACAACCACCGCCACCCCAAACTTATTTGCTAAAGCATTCAATGTCCAGGATATCTTGAAAAACATTTTATACTGGTGTTTCAAATATGTCGGTGTTCTTTCATACTGTGACTGGAACAATGGACATTACTACGTTTCACTATTTGCGCGACAAGAGTTTGCATGACGAAGACAAATTCGTCGCGCGAGTCACCCTTGCGCGACAAAGTATACCATGCGTAGCGCAAAATCGAGCGACGACAAAATTTCATCGCGCAAAAAGACTTCGCGCGACAAAAAACTCTATCGTCGCAAAAAGCTAAGGAAAAAACCTGCGGACCTTTTTTTTTGCGGCAAAACCTTGCGCGACGACAGTTGTCGTCACAAGAGATCGCTTTGCGCGACAAAAGTTTATGGCGTCCCACAAAAAAAAATGCGGGAAGAGAAATGCAGGTTTATGGTATTAGCGCCAAAATCTTGCACGACGAGATATTTTATTTTGTCGCGCTTACTCTTTTACGACGAATATTTTTTGTCGCGTTGAAAAACGTTCCAACATCTTGCGCAACGACAGTATACATATTTCGCGACGACAGGATGACTTGGCGCGACGAATAATTGAGGGATTAAAAATTTAGGGTTTGTTGCGCAAAGTTCAATGTCGGCACAACCTTGCGCAAGATTTTTCGTTTATGAGTTGAACTACCTCCGCTTATGCTACGTTCGTTGGGTATGTATTTTTTGTCGTTAGTGTAAAAGTTTTAATGTAAATTTATACTGACACCATTAATTTCGTTTTCTATAGGGATATTATATGTGATTAGCGATTGGTGGAGAACGATTGATAAGGTATTTTCGTCGTTTTATAATTTAAAAATATAAAATTGATTACATTATGTTTAAATTATTTTGTGAAATTATATTTATATTATGTTGTTAAATTTATGCACGTGATGTACGAAGTTAATTGAAATTAACTTAGTACGTTTTTTATTTATTCAAACTTAATTTCCCGTTCGAGGTTAGTTGGATTTCGCGCATGGATGCGAAAGCGTGACTGCGATCCAATTAATTCTAGAATTGTCCCATTATTTGGACAGTTTGGGAATGCATGGTCATGTCACTTAATTTACGGCTACAGGATTAGGTTTCGATTGTGGAGATTTAGGTGTCATCTCAGTACGTTCTTTGGGTGGTACATAGGTATTTTATACCTATGGTACACCTCAAGAACTGTGTCGAGATGCTGCCGAAATTCATTCACGTCGAAATCTAATCTCATGTAGCCGTAAATTACGTGATATGACTATGCATTCCCGAATGGGATAGGGCCCTTACCGGAGGCATAAGGTGACATTATGATTTTGTACGAATACAACATGATTGTTGTATTGTGATTATGGTTCTAGTAATTATGAGCAGGAGGTGGATACAGAACCCGAATAGGTGTGTAGATGAATATTTGGATGGAATTGAGGATTTTATTGACTTTGCACGGACACACAACCCGGGTGCAACTAGAATCCGTTGCCCTTCTAGGAGGTGTAACAACACGTTGTAGGAGACAATTGAAAATGTTCAATTTCATTTAGTAAGGAATGAAATGATTGAGACGGAAAGATTAAGCACAAACCAAAGCACAATGAAGTAAAAACCTCAACCCACCCTTGTCGTTCGGCAAGGGTTGAGCAAGGACAGTGGGGATTCGAGGAGAACTTACCTAAATACCTGCCGAACCTGCTCTCACAGCCCAAGCTAAAACCGGTTGCTATGCTACCAAAACCCACAGGACCCAGCTCCAAGAGGACTCTTCTTCACAAGACTTTCACCTTTGCCGAACCAATTCCTCGAGAAAGCGAAGCCCACCCTTGCCGAACGGCAAGGGTCGTGGAGGAATTTGAAGGGAGGCTCACAACTCACAATCCAAGGACGGACTCACCAAAACACCAACGTATGTGTTCACCCGTTTTGTGATCACTCCTGTGGTGGAAGGGCAAAGTTCCCCACTGCCTTGTGAACCATTGACTAGTCAGCAAGTCAGCTTTCTTTGGTGTATGAGCGTGCCACTGTTAGCAATGAAGATTCTAGCAGACTAATTCTAGAATAGATAATTTGCGCCCCAAGTTACTGATTTCCATAAACAAGCGACTGTGAATTTGGGTGAAGAATATCTCCCAGGTAAGTTCTTTTCTTGCCTCAGACTGGTGAGGACTTTAACAATTTATCTCAATATAAAGAAGTTGTTCTGGCCAGAATGGTTGATGGAATTTAAATTATCTTAGGCAGAACTGCCTTTTACAAAACTATAAACATAAATATCCAAGCTAGAAAGAAGAAAGGACAGTTGGAACTCCATTTCTGCCTGGATAGGAGGTTTCTGAGTGGGCAGAACTGCGGCTTCTTCAGTCTGTAAGGGCAGAAGTGGCTGTTCTCGAGGACTTCAGTGGGCTAGAGACTGCACTGTAAAATTTGTTGAGGTTTTCATGTTTGGAAAAAGCTCAAGCTCTACTTGTCTTGGTTTTTTGCTGAACCAAATTTGTAATGAGAGAAATCTCATTTTGAATGACTTATTTTCTAAGTCTGAACCTTGGGAATTCTGATCTAAAGTTGGTTTTCACTTGGAATTCAAGTGAGCTTCTGGTTGATTTTGAGTTGTTTATTTGATTGATGACTTGAGTGTTGGATTGATTGTTGTGTTTGCCCTGTTTACTCCTTCTTGTATTTATAAGAGATGTTATCTGGAGTAGGGTAATTCTTTTAAATAATGGGCGGCAATTTTCTTTAAAAAGATCTTTCATTTTTAATTGTAAAGAAAGGGGGTTTTGATCAATTTCTGGTAGATAAGCTCTCAATAGTCAGTTCTTAAGATCACTTCCCTATATTTTTCAAACTGTGATGGTTAGTTTGATCTTCCAATTGAACAACTCCCTGTCCTCCTGCTTATCTCCTTTTGAGAACATGGTCTGCTTATCTCTTGGGAGAATCACCCTCTTTGGAGAAAAAATATTATTTCCAAATATGTAAAAAAGGATCTGATCTTCTGATGGCAGAGATTCAGAGAAGTCTTCTCCTAGCCGTCTGCTTTTGTTAATCCCAGTTGAAAATATTGACTTTTCTAAGTCAGAAACATCACGTGGGTCTGTTCCTGTTTTGGTTTTCTTTCTTTTAATAATGGCAAACCCAAATTCGAGTTGAACCATGAACTAATTCCTTTCTTTTCTCTATTTCTATGAGGCCCAGGTTTTGCGTTCTTAGATACCTCCTGAGTTGGGCTTCTTTTAGATGTGGGCCCTTGATTATAATTTGGGTCCTGAACTGTCTGGTTCTGTTTTTGTCTCATCCTTCTGGGCCTCCAATGTTGGGCCGAGTGTGTGTTTTGGCCCAATTTCAGGGAATGCTGGGGGCTGTCCAAAAATTGTCATAGGCTTTTGTTTTCCTTGGGCTCTGTGTCAAATTAGGCCCAAACAATGCCCCTTAAGTCTGAATCATTTTTGAACGGTTTCAGACTTAATGACTTGGGCCATTAATTTGTGTATGCTAGTTTCTTTTCGTTAACCCACGTCTGCCACGTCTTCCTACTGAGCTATAGTTGGTGGGAAGCTGGGTAGTTATTAGCTCATTACTAGCTAGTCATCATCTTCTCCTTCCCTGGTTTTCGAACTTTTAAAAGAAATCAAACTCAAAGCTTCTGTTCATTTCGAAAACCTAGCTCTCAGACCTTGATTTTCTTAGTGTTTCAGAATTTCCACTCTTTTTTTTTCGAGTCGACTCTGCCTTTCTTACCACCTCCTTTGTTCCTAGCTCAAAACTTCTGAACATGTCTTCTCCCAAGACTCGTGCCCAGGGTTCGTCCTCCTCTATTCCTCCTTATTACATCACTAGGGCTGGGGTTGACAACCATGCCATAGAGATAAGAAGCAAGCTCCATCCTTTTGCCCAAAAGAAGTTGGATGAGAATGTCCTTCACCTGTTCAAGAATACTCTGGTTTTGGGTCCACACTGGTTTGGCCCAGTTCCGACTGAGATGGCAAAATTGATGAAGAAGGATGCTGAAGCTCCTTTATGTTTTGAGAGCACTTCTGCCTTGGCCTCTCATTCTTGGGTCAGCAAGAATCTGAGCCATTCGTTCCCATCCAGTGAAGTGAGAAACAGTTCGGTGAAATGGGTAGACTGGATTGACAGACTCCTTCCAAGATATGGAGCTCACTGGAAGAGGGCTGGCGTATATGATGCCATACTTTTGTCCAAGCATTCCATCAATAGAGATGAGAACCTCTTGGCTGCTGCTCTATGTTTCTGGAATTCTGCCAGTAACACATTTGACTTCCGTGTGGGCCCCATGGCTCCAACTCTGCTGGATATGGCGCAAATCTTTGGGTTCAGGCCCCATGGAAGACTTGTGGATGCAGTAGGAGATTACCATAGAAGAAAGAACCAGGAGAAACTAGCCAAGCCTTTCACTATCTCTCCAGCTCTTATTAACCAGAACTGCTCCTTCTCCAACTACCCGAGGAAGTTCAGTGCTGAGAAGGACAAGGACCAGCAACACATGCTATTCCTTCTGTACTGGCTGAATAGGTTCATTCTCCCCAATCGGTCTTCAGCAGTTCTGGTTGAATACAAACATTTGGCAGAAGCATTGCACAACCATACGGATGTAGGGCTTGGCCCTACAGTTCTGGCCCATCTTTTCAAGAATTTGCATACTGCTACTTTGGAGAATCCTCTGAACCTGTCTGCTCCAGGCGCATTCTGGATGATCCAGATTTGGCTGCAGGTTCATTTCACAGAACTGAGGTTTCCGGACATCGTTCTGCCTGAAGATCAGGTCATGGTAGCTCCCTTGATGTCAGCAGAGGTGCCAAAGCGATCGATCGAGGAGTATCTGATGTTTTTCAGGCACTGTACTAAGAGGTCTGCAGCTCAGTGGCAGGTGGTGTTAGAAGAACATATCCCTGGTTTCAGGCTGGATACAGACTATTTGAGAAGGAGCCAAAAGAGGAGGCAGCCATAATAGACTTTAGGAAGAAATTCCTAAGTGTCACTTTGCCGAGAGATCTGCCTCATGGAGGAGGAAAGCCTCCAAATTATCATTTGGGGGCAGAAGAGGAGCCAAAAGAGGAGGCATCCATCCCAACTTCTGTGCAAGGCAACTTGGCTGCCCTCAGCTCATTCCACTCAAATCTTATAGAAGTTGCAATCGGGGCACTTCTTGGAGAGATGCAGATGACCTGGAGGTGCACAAGGATGCTAGATGTGCAGTGAACAAGATAAACAATAATGCAAACGCCCTCTATCCCTCATGGGAACCAAATTCCTATAGTTCTGTCGAGTTCGATGCCTGGTGGAAGGCCAGATTCCATGATCTACCTGCTTCAAGCACTGCACTTGAGGTGCTTTTTAAGGGCTGGGATGGATGGACTGTCCACACAGGAGAGGAGACTCACAAATTTATGGTGCAGACCATCAAGGACATCAATGCTCAAGTTATAGAAGGTAGTGTCTTACTTTTATCTGTTCTGTCTATCCTTTTTGTAGTGATGATGTTTTAACACTTTGTTCTATCTGCAACAGATCTCTCCTTGACACAGAACATTGGTGGACAGTCTATCCAGGCCGGAGAAGTAATTGGTAATTTTTCTATCCTTCTGTTTCTTCTGTTTTTTGTCTTTCTCTTGATTGACCTTCTAACCCATTTGCTTCCTGTGCAGTCACTTCTGTTATTGCAGCCGGAGATCTGGAGCTGCCTTTTGGAGAAGCAGAAGAAGAAGAATAAGAAGATCGGGCAGAACAAACGGCTGTTGTAGGAAACTGCTCAGCCTGCGGCTTCAGGTGAATTTTGATAGTTTGAGTTTTTCATAATTTTGTTATGTCCTGTTCTGCCTGTTTTAGCTTATGTTCTAATGGCCTATCTTCTGTCTACTCCAGCTGGGAGTGCCTGACCTCCTCCTACTAAGTCAAAACAACTTAGAAAGAGGATTGTAGAGGAATATGTGGCTCCAGAGGCAACTGCAGTAGTTCCCACCACAACTTCTGGCACAGATGAAGAGCTGAGAGAGGCTTTTGAAGCTGTGGAGCAGGAGAATGAGTTAAGGGCTCTAGAAGAGGTTGGAGAGAAACCTCAAGAAGAAACAAAGACAGTAGAAGAAGGAGTGAGTTTCTGATCAACAGATCTGTTTCTGTCTTTTATTCTTTCCATTTTCTAACTTTTGTCCACCTATCTGTCTATTTGCAGGAAGAAATTCATGCTGAAGTGATTGCAAGAGAAGACAAGGGCAGAGCTGACTAGCTCACAGCTAGCCCTGTTTGAGGATCTAGAGGTAGAACACTCTACTGCTGCCCCAGAAACTGAGGAGCAAGCAGAGCAATCTGCATCCGAGCCTGTGGAGCAGGCAAAACTACCTGTTTTAGTTCCAGAAGCTGTAGTGGAAATGGCTGCAGCTGTTCCTGAAGTGGTAGTAATTTTCTTCCAATTTTGGTCATATTTTTGCAATTCTGTTATACTTCTACTCCTTTAACTGTTTTAGTCTTTTTAGGTAGAAGTGCCTAGGTCTGCTGGTGTTCTGGCAGTGGTGACCAGTCCCTTGAATCCTCCAATCGTTGCTGTAAGTATTGTTGTAATTCTGAGCTCCTTTCTTGTGCTTCTGCCTGAGTTTGACTTATGCTCTCTTGTGCAGATGCCTATTCATTCTCTTCCAGGTTCTTCTAACACGGCCTCCTTTGCTGATCCAGAACTGGCAGAGTTTGAAGCCATGAACTTGGATGCCCAGCTGGACAAGTTGGAAAAGCTTAGTTCTACTCCTAGCAAAGCAAAATATAAGGTAGTGGGGGAAGCTACGGAGAGTGTGAAGATCTGGCAGTCCATTGAGCTGGAGCTAGATGAGGATAGGGAAGCCATTGACCAGCTGATGAAAGACTTGGACCTGCTGCATAGACAGAACATATCTCCCAAGCCCATACTTGAGATGAGCCTTGGCCTGGCAAGAGATGTGCTTAACCTCCACATCGATATGAGGATCTCAAGCCTACCTTCAAGACCTCTGAGTTCTGCAATGCTAGTCACGAAGCCAACTTGACTGATTTTGCAAAGCAGAAGGCAGAACTGGACCAGATGGTGTCTGGATACAAGGAGGCCAAGGCCACTGCAGACAAGCTGGAGAAGCAGATTGAAGAGCTTCAAAAGCAACTGGCAGAGTGTAGGGAGGTGCATAACAAGCTTGGGGCTGGACTGAGCTCCAAGACTAAGGCCACCTTCCTCGTGCAGAGCATGGTTGCAGCTTCTAGGCCAACCCTTGGAGATTGCAGAGGCTTCAATTCATCAGGGGGTGCTGCTTCAAAAAGAACTTTCCATTAAGAAAACCAACTTGCAAGAAACCCTCACGAAATTAGGGTTTTGATTTTGTTATTTATTTATCCTTTCAGTTTTTTGCTTTATGATGAACAATTTGCCATGGGGAAGGCCCCATGGTTATCTATTTTAAATAAAGTTTATTTTTCTTGCTGCAATTTTCGGGTTTTTAATTTTATTTGATGAAATAAACAGAAGTAAAAAGTACAAAAGGAACAAACTTTAAACAACTTTAGAACAAAGATAAAACTTCTTTAGTGTTGTCCCTTCTCTATCCCAGGATCTGTTTGTACAGCTTGTGAATCCCACATGGTTGGATAAAACTTCTTTAACCATTTGCCATTGATTGGGGCAGCATGAATTTCTCCATCTCTATCCTGCAACCTGTATGCCCCCATTCCAAGGATTTGATTAATTATGAAAGGGCCTTCCCATGTAGGTGACCACTTTACATAACTAGCTACATGTGTTCCAAGGGGCAGAACTGCTTTCCAGATTATCTCTCCCTCTTCAAAACTCTTGTTCTTGACTCTTTTGTTATAGGCCCTTGACACAGCTTGCTTTCCTGCCAAGAGTTTATTGAGGGTGTCAATTTTGCTTGCATCCAATCCTTCCAGTTCTAGCAGCATGGCTTGAGAGTAGTTTTCTCCTACCAGATTATGTTGGTGAGCAATTCTGAGGGACTGAACAGCTATCTCCATAGGCAGAATTGCATCATGGCCATATGTTAAAGCGTAAGGGGTCATGCCAGTTGCTTCTCTCTTGGAAGTTCTATATGCCCACAGAGTTTCTGACAACTTCTCATGTCATTGCTTTGGATTCTTCTCAAGCATTTTTCGGATAATGTTGATGATTACCTTGTTGCTTGACTTTGCCTGCCTGTTAGCTTGAGCATAATAAGGAGTGGATTGAAGCAGCCTGAATTTGAATGCCTCTGCCATATCTAGCATTTCTCCAGATATGAAAGAAGATCCTCTGTCAGTTGTGATTGATTTTGGGATGCCAAATCTCTGTATAATTTGTTCTTCTATGAAAGTGATGATTTCTTGAGATGTAGTGGATTTAACAGGCTTGGCTTCTACCCACTTAGTGAAATAGTCTGTGGCCACAATGATAAAACAGTGCTGCTGGCTGCTGGCTGGATAGATCTTGCCAATGAGGTCCATTGCCCATCCTCTAAAGGGCCATAGCTTTACCACTGGATTCATGGGAACTGAAGGAGCCTGCTGGATTGGGTCGTGTCTTTAACAAGACTCACACCCCTTGGAATAGTCAATGCAATCTTTCATCATGGTTGGCCAGAAGTAGCCATACCTTCTAATTAACCAGCACATTTTCCTTCATGAGTTTTCCCCATGACTTTCATGTATTCTTTCTTTCCGAGGCACCTTAAAAGCACCTCATCCTTACTCTTTCGGACATAAGATAGTTCAAAGCCATGATTCTGACTCTTTTTTCAGAAGGTAAGGTTGGATACTGCAAGTAGGTTATGATAGGATTTCTCCAATCATCTTCAATGATTATGGCAGAATTGATATCTTTCCCACCTTGATGATCCTCTGTACACAGTCTTCAGGCATTTGTATACCTGTTGCTACTTGGGCCAGTTCATTGGCTGCACAGTTTTCCTCCATTGGGATGTGTTCCCAAGTAGGTTCTCTAAATTCTGTCAGAAGATTCCTAGCTGCCACTAGATATACAGCTAGAGAAGGACTAAGGCACTTGTATTCCCCAGCAATCTGTTTTAATACAAGCATTGAATCTCCCAGGATTTCCACATATTGGATTCCTAGTTCCACCAGCATTTCTAATGCTATGATTAGAGCTTCATATTCTGTCATGTTGTTGGTGCACTGGAAATCTAACTGGAAAGAATAATAGTGTCTGATTCCAAGTGGTTCTTCCAAAACAATCCTTGCCCCAGAAGCTATATCAGTTTTTGATCCATCAAAATACAACTTCCAAGGTGTGAGATGAACTGAATAGATAGGATTGTTAAAGCAAGTGTGAGCTCTAGTTAACATATCTGCATTTGCTATGTCCAAAGAGTCCATGTTCTCAATCTCCTCTACAAGATGATCTGCTAGGAAGTCTGCCACAGCTTGTCCTTTGACACCTTTCTGAGGAACATACCTGAAGGCAAATTCTGTCAAGGCCAAGGTCCATTTTCCAATTCTGCCTCTCAACATTGGCCTGGGTAGCATGTACTTGATCAGATCTGTCTTGGCAATGATGTAGATGGTGTATGACAGCATGTAGTGTCTGAGTTTCACAGTAGTGAAGTACAAGGCTAGGCAAAGTCTTTCAATTATAGAATATTTTCTTTCCACCTCTGTTAGAGTTCTACTCAGGTAGTAGACTGTCTGTTCCTTCCCTTCCTTGTTATCTTGAACCAACAGACTCCCAATGGATACTTTTGATGCAGATACATAGAGCTTGAGTGGTCTGCCTCTCTTTGGTGGGGACATAACTGGTGGATTTCAGAGGTAATGCTTGATTTCCTCAAAAGCTTGTTGGTGTTGTTCTTCCCACTTGAAGGTGTGTTCCTGTTTCAATCTTAACAAAGAGGAGAAAGGCTGGATCTTTCCTGCAGAATTGGATATGAATCTCCTTAAAAAATTAATTTTTCCTAAGAGACTCTGCAATTCTTTCTTGTTCCAAGGCGGCAGAGCTTCTATGCCTATCTGGTGGACCAAGAATCCTAGGAAATTTCCTGCTTGAACTCCAAAAACACATTTCTTTGGGTTCATCTTTAGTTTGTGCTGCCTCATTCTTAGGAATGCCCTCCTTAGATTTGGTATGTGGTTTCCCTCTTCTGGGGATTTAATCACCACATCATCGATATACACTTCCAAAGAATGTCCTATCATATCATGGAAGATAGAATTCATTGCCCTTTGATAAGTAGCCCCTGCATTTCTTAAGCCAAAAGGCATTACAGTGTACTCAAAAGCACCTATATGTCCTGGACACATGAAGGCTGTCTTGTGGATGTCTCCTTTTGCCACCATGATCTGATTGTAACCTGCATTGCCATCCATAAAAGATAGCATCTGGTTGTGAGCATCTCCATTTACTAGCATGTCTGCCATTGGCATAGGATACTCATCCTTGGGAGAAGCTTCATTTAGATTTCTGTAATCCACACAGATTCTGACTACCCCAGTTTTTCAATTCAGAACTGGTACAATATTAGCTGGTCTGGTGAATCCTGCTTTGAGCAACCTTTCTATTTCTTCTTTGACCTTCAGTTCTGTGTCCATGAACATTCTTATTCTGGCCTGTTTGACTGGAAGGTATCCCTCTTTGATTGGTAGCTTATGCTCCACTAATTCCTTGTCTAGACCGGGCAGTTTGTGCTCCAAAACAATCTCTGAACTCCTGCAACAGTCCAATGAGCTCACTCTTGAGCAGTTCTTTCAGAGAGTCATCCAGTGCTGCTGGGGCAAAATCTAACACTTCCTCCTGTAACTCTTCTTCCTCCTGGTCTTCCGTGCTCTCATGAGTGAATTCTGCCATATTGATGGCTGGATCCTGCATGAAGAGCTTCCCTTCCTCCCAATATATCAACAATCTTTTTGTAATGGATCGGATTGTTGCAGCTCGATCCTTTTCTTGTTGATAGGAACTAAACATCAAAGTTCTGGAGGTTTAGAACAAAAGGTCTATTCCAGTCTTCTAAGGAACTAGCTAGACCATCTTCAATGAGCCTCTGGGTCGTGACACCATGGGGACAGCCATTCTGGTTGACTCCAAGGAAAGTGAAAGGACCAAGGTCATCATGGTAATACCTTGCCTCAAAACACATGGAAGAAGGCAGAAATTGTCGTGGATCAGCCTCTACTATCTCCTTGTAACCTTCTTCATTCCACAGAGCTAATTGCTGGTGAAGAGTGGAGGGAACACACAGACTCTGGTGAATCCAGTCCCTGCCAAGTAGTGCATTATAGGTGGTGGAAGTGGTGTCTACCACAAAGAATGCAATCTTCAGCTCTTTGCTTCCAACTATGACATCCATATCTAGGATCCCATAAGTTTTAGTGATGCGCCCTGCAAAGTTGGTAACGATTAAGCGTGTTGGGATCAAGTCCTTCTCTGTTCTGCCCATTTTGCTCAGCATTCTGTGAGGCAGAAGATTGATGGCTGCACCTCCATCTACCATGATTTTGGGAATAGGAATACCCCCAAAGTTTGCTGTTATAAACAAGGGTCTGAGGTGGTTTTCCATCTCTTTGGTTGGTTTGGAGAAGCAGAGCTGGTCTGCAGCCAGCTTGTTGTCAGTTCCTTCCTTCCTGGAATTGCCTGCTTGCTGTTATGTCGTCTCTTCTGCCTCTGCCAACCTGCATTCGAAACTTTCCTGGGAGAAAACATCTCCCTCCAGAGTGCTTTCTTCTCCTTCTGCAGCTCTGAACTTTTCTGGCAGAATGAACACCGTGTTGATGTCCAAATCACCCTGCAACAGGTTTTCCAATTCTGCACCAAAAGGTTCAGTTTCTGCATCTAATTCCCCATCATATTCCATGTGTTCGTCCCCGAATCCTTCTGTCCAGTCTTCCTGTTCTCCTGTTTCGAGGAGTGCATTCTGGTCATCTGCAGATGGCTCATAATCTAGCTGCTCCTCTTCATTTCTCTCAGTCCAGTCTTCTGGCCCTTCTATCGGAATAGGTTCAGATTCTCCTTGTATCTGTGAAGGTTTAAATTGATTGTCTGAGGATGAAGCAAGATGGATAGAAGGCTTAACTGGAGATCCAGCTTTCAACATTTTCTGTGGCTGGATTACTTGTTCTGTCTGGGAAAGTATTTCCGGATCTTTCCCTTTTCTGTTCTGTCTCCGGAGGTGCCTGTGCGTCACTTTTGTTCTTGAGGAACATGCAGTATTGCCTTTGAACCCTCCTCTTCTGGGTTCTGGTTAATTCCATAGTTGGTTTGCCATTTTTCCCGACAGCATACCACCTTCCTTCTATGATAGCAGCTAGAGGTTTCTCATTCCCGGGCATCTTGATTGATATTTCCTTCTTGGGCTGCTCTGTCATCCTCCTGCTGTGCTGGGTTGGTTTGGGATACTCCTTCCGCCTGGCTCTATCTCGGGATGAGGTTCCAATCCTGCCAAAAACACTTGGAATGGGCTGACTCTGCCTGTCCAAGACCACTTCTAACTCAGCTTCACATTTGCACTTGCTGCAGAGCACTACTCCAGCTGAGATAGTTGTTTTTGGCCTTTCAATAGTTTCCCTTGAAACCATTCTGCCTCTGCTGGAACTGGCTTTTGTCGTTGGCCTGCTTCTCTTCTGTTCTGGCCAATTTAAGTTGACCATGTTGACTTGTGGTTGGGGAAAAGGATCTGTTGTGACTGAAGGAGATTTCTCCGCCAGTTTCAACCTTCCTGCTGCTATTCCTTCTTGTATAACATCTCTGAAAACTACACAACTACTAGTTCCAAGAGTTGTGCCACCTGCAATACTGCCTGCCCTTGAGCTCTTCTGGCTTGGGTATCCTGTGGGGTGTCTCTATTGCCTTTTGCAGCAACACTTCATCAAATAAAGCATCCACCTTGGTTAGATCAAAGGAATAAACCTTGTTTTGTGTTGGTTTGCTCAGAACAAACCCTCATGTGAAAGGTGGTGGCTTCTGATCCTTTGGTGGCTTAGTAAGGGCCTTTGCCATTTCTGCTACTGCAACTTCTCCCTCCTTTGAGCATTCTGCTTCCTCTTCTGATTCTACCTTAACCAGATGTATTGAAGAGGAAGGTTACTTGTAATACGTGCCTTTGGATGAGTTCCTCTTCTGCTGTTCTTCCCTAAGCAGTTCCTCATACTTAGATGCTTTATTTGCCGGTTCTGCCAGGTCTCCAAACAGCATCCCATCAAATCTTTTTCTTAGAGAGATCTTGAGGGCAGCTTGAGCCATCTGGATGAAGTGTCTTTCTTCCATAGGGATTCGACACTTCATTTTGAGCTTCTTGAACCTGGTTATGAAGTCTTGAGCAGGTTCATCTTCACTCTGTTTGAGGGCAGCAAGGTCACTGATGGTGACTTCTGGCTGAATCCTGTAATAATAGTTGTGGAAAACACTTTACATCTGCTCCCAGGTTTGAACAGAATTAGCTAGCAGGTTGGTGTACCAAGTAAAAGCTTGTCCAGAGAGAGAATTCCCGAAAAGCCTCAACTTCAAAAGAGGATTGTTCTCTATGGCTATGCACTGGACAGAGAACCTGTCTATGTGCTCAATTGATGAAGCATGGGGATCCTCTCCGTTGAATAAGGTGAAGTTTGGCACCTTAAAACCCGGGGATAGAGGTATTTGATCGATATAAGCCGGATATGGCTTCCTATAATCATCTGATCATCCTTTGTAATGCCCCCATCATCTCTCTGATCATCCTTTGTAATGCCCCCACGTCTTTTAGAGCATTGACAGGGTGGTGATTTGGCCCCTGTTCTGGCTGAGCGTGATCAATCCTGGGCTCCGCTCTGTATGGCATGGGCAGAACTTCCTCCCTGTGTTCTTCCTATTCTTCCAGATCTGGATTATTCCTTCAGTTTGCCCCCAGCCTGTTCCTATCATTGTTGGCAAAAAGGTTATTACCCCTTCCGCCTCTTCTGCCTCTTGCAGGTGGAGGGAATGGATTGGGATCCATCCTTCTGGGTCTATAAGGCAACACTGTTGGTGGCTCAGGCAGAAGTGCTAAAGGTTGATCCTGTGGAATAGGGTGAGGTTGGCTGGTTCTGTTGCATCTGAATTGGTGCAGGGCCTTCTGGCCGAGCTGGGGCCTTATGTTCTTGGACAGGAAGGGCTCCCCCTTTGTCCACCCTGAATTTCCCCACGTTCTGGCATCCCAGCTATCTGCGCAATAAGAGGATTCTCTTGATATGGCCATGCCAATCCTGGTGGGGGACCATAGGGAAGGTCTAGTTGCTGGACTACATCATCCGGATTTGGAATTCTGGCTTTGGCAGCCTCACGGTCCTTCCTGAATTGCCTGTTGACCTGCCATTGCATCATGGCTGTCATATTATTGAGAGTGTCCTGGCTCCTTTGTGTTGTGACTTCTTGTCGCAACACAGATTCCTGAATCAGGTTCATCCTTCTGGAGCCAGTCCTGGACCTTCTACTCCCTGTGCTGAGTGCCTGACATCACTTTCCTCTGACTCCAGTCCTTCCCTGAGAGCCACCTGGTTTATCTCCATGGCGTGGTGTGGGTTCTGGCTAGAGCTTATAATATTCATAAACTTGAGAGGAATTCTGTGAGAATATGTATATTGAGAAGTCCCACCGGGCATGCCAAATTGTTCACCCATTTTGTGATCACTCCTGTGGTGGAAGGGCAAAGTTCCCCACTGCTTTGTGAATCATTGACTGGTCAGCAAGTCAACTTTCTTTAGTGTATGAGCGTGCCACTGCTAGCAATGAAGATTCTAGCAGATTTATTCTTTCATTTTTAATTGTAAAGAAAGGGGGTTTTGATCAATTTCTGGTAGATAAGCTCTCAATAGTCAGTTCTTAAGATCACTTCCCTATATTTTTCAAACTGTGATGGTTAGTTTGATCTTCCATTTGAACAACTCTCTGTCCTCCTGCTTATCTCCTTTTGAGAACATGGTCTGCTTATCTCTTGGGAGAATCACCCTCTTTGGAGAAAAAATATTATTTCCAAATATGTAAAAAAGGATCTGATCTTCTAATGGCAGAGATTCAGAGAAGTCTTCTCCTAGCCGTCTGCTTTTGTTAATTCCAGTCGAAAATATTGACTTTTCTAAGTCACTAACATCACGTGGGCCTGTTCCTGTTTTGGTTTTCTTTCTTTTAATAATGGCAAACCCAAATTCGAGTTGAACCATGAACTGATTCCCTTCTTTTCTCTATTTCTCCGAGGCCCAGGTTTTGCGTTCTTAGATACCTCCTGAGTTGGGCTTCTTTTAGATGTGGGCCCTTGATTATAATTTGGGTCCTGAACTGTCTGGTTTTGTTTTTGTCTCATCCTTCTGGGCCTCCAATGTTGGGCTGAGTGTGTGTTTTGGCCCAATTTCAGGGAATGCAGGTGGCTGTCCAAAAATTGTCATGGGCTTTTGTTTTCCTTGGGCTCTGTGTCAAATTAGGCCCAAACAGTATGTCCCTTGCCGTTCGGCACCTCCTCCGTGCTGAAATAGCCAGACCCGAGCTTCAACTTCAAAAACTCTTGCCGAAGACAAGAAAGCTCCCCAAATTTCTCTGTCAACCCAAGCTCCCTAGGCTGAGCAAAGTCAATCGGGACCCACGAGATGACTCCCTCCGAAATCAAAGTGTTGAAGGTTCGAACTCACGGCAGAAGACTCAGCTCCTAGCAGACCTCACAGACATGCCAACCCACCCTTGCCGATTGGCAAAGGTTATGCAGAAAATACGGAGAGCCTCAGAAAAACCCTTGCGATGTGAACTAGCCTCACGCCGGCCTTCAGATCCCAAGGATTACCAAAAAAAAAAGAGGAAGTATATTTCCACTCTTGCTGAACGGCAAGGGTTGAGCAAACAAAAGGGGAGCTTCGAAAAATTGCAAAACTCAACGGAACCAGCTCGTGCACCCTAGCTCCTGTCGAAGCTTTTGAGACCCGGGTCGCGCGCACAAGTCTTGCCGATCCTACCTCCTTCGAGAATACATCCCGTCGAGCCCAGCCCCAAATTTCTCTTAAACTTTGAGCTTGCAGAACGGCAAGGACCTAGCAGTGTGAAAATGCCCACAGCTCGAATAGCCCCACCCTCCAAAACCGGGAGTTGGCTCTGTTACCGAACAGCAAGAATTGTAGGGAGATATTTATACTCCCCTCTAAATTTCAAACCCTAGCACCTAATTATGTCAGCAATACTTGCCAAAGCCTAGCCCCAACAGCCTGCTCCAAGCACATGCCAAAAGCCCACCATACCCAAGGCCCAAGACCGGTCCTCACCAAAGAATCTTGGGCAAGCCCTGGGCCCAAGTGCACCACAGCTTTTAACCCTTGCCGAATCTTCTTGGGCCAAGACTCACTTCCATGCCAATGCTTTAGAGGCCCAAGTCTATAGCTTCTCTCAAAAATAGCTTACCAAAGGGTTTTACACAACCCCAAGACCGAACGGCAAGGAGCATTGAAACTCAAGGAAGGCTCACATAACACTTCCCTATCGAAGGTATTAAAGGCCCAGCTCCACAGAATTCCAAGTCCCGGCCTCCTCCCTAAAGGCCTAGGTACCCAGTTGTCACCAGTTTTGTAGGCTCACACAGCTTCTACCATGCCTTTCAAGTGTAAACGCAACTTCTAGCTTGCCAACTTGGGGGACTAGGGAATGCCCTATGGCTCTCACTGAACCAGGAATGCTCGGTCATGATTACACAAAAATCTAACAAGTTCCCAACCCAGAAGTTACTTCTTGATCGCAAACTTGGGGGACTACTGTTTACACCATAATCAACCGAGCATATCCAGCCTCGAAACAACTATCACCAAGGCAGATACGCCTCCTCCTAGGGGTTGCAATTTTGGACACGACCCGATACACGACTAGAAACTCGCACGAGAAATTAGCGGGTTCAACCCGCACAATAAAAAAACTAGTCAATTTTGGGTCAACCCATTCTGACCTGTTTAATAAACGGGTGGGTTTCATGTCAACCCGCTAACCCACTATAATACTTATCTAACTCGTTTATTAAACGGGTCTTGTCACGGATCGTGTCAACCCGTGTACAACCCGCTAACCCACTAAAAAATGAAGAGAAATGAAGACTTCAACACACACACACAAGGGGTTTCGAACCCCTACCACCCTCATTTCTCTCAAACATTTTATCCACCATGCTACAAACAACTTTGTGATTTTATGGTATGCCTTTTGATATTTATAATGTTTCTTTTTCTTTTGTGTTTTCCTTTCTTTTCCGTCTCTCCTTCTTTTTTTTTTTTTTTTTTTTTTCTCTCTCTCTCTCTCTCTCTCTTTTTTTTTCTCTTTTCCTTTCCTCGTCTCTTTTTTTTTTCCTTCTCTTTAGTTTTCTCTCATCTCTCTTTTTCTTTCTTTCTTTCCTTCAATCTTCTCTCTATTTTTTTTCTTTCTTTTCCTTCTCTCTTCTCTCCTCTCTCTATCTTTTTTTTAAAATTTTTTTTACTTATATTTTCTCTACTCTCTCTGTTTTTTATTTATTTAAAATTTTTCGCTTGTGAGTTTCGTAACATGCATGTTATTATTTATGAACCCGTTACACGACTTGAAACCCGCATGATAAAAGACGACCCGAACCCGACACGACACATTTATTAAATGGGTTGGGTTCAGGTTGAGCATTCTTGACACGTTTATTATCCCGACACGGCACGACCCATTGCCAGCCCTACCTCTTCCCCTGCTAAAGGAAGACACTCTTCCAAGGTGCCAGACACCTGCCAAAGCTCCTGACTGCCGAAGCTCTCAAACTGCTAACCTAATCTCCAAGACACATGTCACCACCACAACAACTTCCATAAAGTCCCACATCGAAATTGTATGCAAACCTCCCACTTTCACCTTCCTATAAATAAGGAATAGTATCCATGTGAAAGGGGGACTTCTCTCCACTTAGAAGAGGATCCGGGTCTTGGAGCTAGACCCTTGGGCCTTGGACTCTCTCTGTTCTAGATCCCTAGCCTGGGCATCTCACTTGTCATCTTTATATTTGGGTCCAACCCCATGTACAAATGTAATCATACATTATCATAATGAGACCATACTTCTCCGTGGACGTAGCCCATTCATTAAGGGTAAACCACGTATATCTCATCTTCTTTATATTTATCGCTTGCCCAAATCTTCACACACATGCTGAAGGTCTTCACCTTCACCCATCATCCACCATTCTACCTCTATCTAAGTTGACCCTCCCAAAAAGAGCATCAACAACATCTGTTATAATTGTATTCTTATGTATAGGCCATCGGGAATTACATGTTATTTGTATAATCATTCAGCTAGTTAATATTTAAATCATCAATGTTGGGCTGCACACTAACGTAAGGATGCTTTATTAGCTTAGGTGAAACCACTTTTTGGCTTTGAAAATTTAAGACTCATGACCTTTACAAGTCCCTTGTTCTTATGCAGGGTTCCAATTACCAATGGTCTTCCTAGAATTCCTCTGTAAATGTTAAGAGACAATGTTATTGTTTCTAGAGGTAACTAGTCATTTCCTTGGCTTTAGTTTTAAAGGTAGCTATATATTCTTAATTATTCTAGATCTGCATAGTACAAAAACCTGAATCTTGAATTTTCAAGGTGAAAAATCCTAACCTTAAATCAGTTTTCCAAGCGGTGCAAAACTCTATTATTTCCTTGACATTGTCAATGGGCTTGGGTTTTGTTTTCTAAAGGAATCAGTAAATGGACTCAACAATGTAGTGGTCGGCCGCTTCTTTCTACACCCTATACCTTCAACATCTTGTTTTTCAACAGTGGCACTATATTCCTTAATCACTTCATCACCAGCAACAGTAACATTGGTTATGATGGGAGGATTCATCTGACCTCCCAATGTCATAATGTCGCTTTTTTTCCAATCCTCTAACAAAGATAACATTTTTTTTGCAAATTACTTCGCACCCGTCCACATCTTTCGGAGTAGGAAGCTTTTCAGCTTCTTATTGCACTTGTTTGTCAAGAACTGAAGTGTCCATTTCTGCATCTTAGACTTGTGTGGCTGTGAAAGCTTCAGCTCTGTTACCAAGGACTATGCTTCCATTTCTACCAGTTCTGTAGTAGGAGTAATATATTCATGTATGGGTGACATGTCATTGTCGCCTCCTTCATTGATATGACGGCTACACACTTCTTGTCGTTCAACATGTTCATTCAAACCACCATATCGTTTTTTCCACTCTTGTATCTCCTGCTTAAAATAGTGTTCCATTGAAGTAAGGGTCTTGTTGAAATCCTTCACACACTTTTTTTTTTTTCACACTCCTCATGTTTCAAAGACTCATTCTCTACCATCCCTTCCAAGTCACGCACTCTTTCTAAGTACTCGATTTGAAGCGGCTACCTTTGACAACTTATCCTTTGTGCTTTTTAATCACGCTTCGAAGTGCGTAACTCAATCAAAGAGAGTTTACCATGCATGCAGTTATAATGCAACTGTTACAATGCTTAGAAAATATAACTTGCAAAAAGGTCGTGCTCATCTTAGAAGACGAGGGAAGGATAGTTGTTTCCTCAACTTCGTCATCTTCTTCTTCAATGGAAGTGCTGGTATTTTATTAGGCCTCATTGGCAAACAATTCAACAATTTATTCATTGTTTTCATCATTGTTACCCCAAGTCCAATAAGGTTGTTGCTTCTCAACTAGAGTAGGCCAGAGAAGTTGCACATCAACCTCCAATTTACACAAAAAACAAAAACAAAAAAAAACAAAAAATCAGTAAACTTATTATTTTTTCATATGCATAACATAATCATTACGAACATAACTAACCTCAAAGTTTTCGAATACTTGGTTCATTAGCTCGTGAAAACAAGCCGAAGTATTACTACTTCATTGTAATATACGGGGGATGTGCCATACTCTTCGTGCACAACAAAATGCAGTGCAGCCAACGCTGGAAACACCTCAAAAGCCCAAATCTATTTTGAACAATAAAACATCAGTCACTGTAAACAAATTAAATTGAACTTACAGCCAACGCTGGAAACACCTCAAAAGCCCAAATCTATTTTGAACAATAAAACATCAGTCACTGTAAACAAATTAAATTGAACTTACACATTTATGGATATTTGCTCACCTGAAGTGCAAAGCCAAAACCTTTTATGTGGTACTCTCTTGGTCTACCACTTACCGTTGTCTTTGATTTCTTTTTAGATGTTTTTGTTTTTGTAGTTTTTTTGGGCACTTTTACTTGATGGTAATCTGCACAAAGTGCCCTCAAAAGTGAGGCATTTGTCTTCAAGGTCTTCTGACAATTTCAAATACCGCATGTCAATGCTGACATTTTTTTCACTACCTAACAGAACAAAAACAACAAAATATAGAAACCCAAGCTTGATGACATCTTCCTCATCAATGCAGTCATTGAAGGCTTGTTCTAGTTTGGAAAGGATCACAACTTTATTGTTGCAGAAGTATTTCTTTTTCAATGAGCAGTATTCGTTAGTCGCAATCAGAATGAAAGGGAGGTTTCTGAAACTTAGCCCCATGATGAGGCAAAACTGCTATGGCGTGAATTGTATCACCTTATTACAAACAATGAATTTTATCCCGTTCACCTGGAAAACTGTCTTCGAATCATCATTCCTCAACAATAACCCATGGATAATTTGTGTAATCCACTTAAGGTCATCAATCACCAATAGATGACCAAAACAACTCTCTTGGAACCTTTGTAACTGTTGTGGACTCAATTTCGCCTTAATTGTACTTATGTTAGTCTTTGTATGGGAAAGGGACAACGCCTTTCCTTGGAAATTTTTATCCTCATTTCACAAAAGCTTTACTTTAGAAACCATATTTCCCTACACACCAACATTATACATCTGGATCATTACATACTAAAATTTGATACCTACATTACTAAAACAAATAATTTCAAGCCATTGAAATATACACAATAACAAAGCAATAAACACATGATACAAAGGCAGATTAAGGCAATAGGCACGAGATATATAAGTGCTAATAGTACAATAAAGGAGCAATAGACACCTGATATGCAATATATGTATGTTCACCAATGTGTCCCATGAAAAAAAAAAAAAAAAAAAAAAAAAAAAAAAAAAATAAAATAATCCTAATCCTTCTTCATAATTTCCTTTGATTCCATATTGCTTCATTTCTCCTCTTTTCTTATCTCTTTTTTTTCTCCTATTTGCTCTCCATAAGGCTTACTAAAAATACCACAAATCCACAAATTTGATACATCACTTTCATTTATAATGCTATCTATAAGATAGTGTTTGGTATATTGGATTAAACTATGGAGTGAAATGGCCATGAAATGGCCATTCCCATCAACTGTCAATCCCCCGAAATGTGAAATAATACCAATTGCATTCTTTACCCAATTTCAGTTTCTTATCTACTCTCAAACTCTCTCCACACTCCACTCTTATCTACATTCCATTTTACCAAATTTGGATTACATCCCATCCACAAACCAAACGTCGCCCAACTATCAAAGTGATTTCATGCCCCAATGATCAACTTCATAAATTGTTAGGGAAGGATTGGAGCAGAGTGCGAAAAGAGCTTTTAAATTGGAAATATTGAAGAGATTGAGAGAGGCCTCTATTTCTAATGTAGAGGCAGCTACTGTTGTTTCAGAGGTGCTATAATAATTATTAGCAAGTAATAATTATCAGACTTTAAAATAGGGAAATAATAGGAGAATATATCCCTTCCCCAATCACTGAATCCCGGTACACTCTTTTCCTCTTCCTAATTTTCCAGATCTCCAAATTTTTGAGTCCTAATTGTGCCTTAGTTCCCTTTTCCTCTTTTCCTCCCCACAGTTTCCCTTTCTCTCTTCTCATGGCTCTCTTCCGAAACTAGAAGAGTTACAAACAATAACTTTGATACATATATAAGCATGAAATTCCATTCATTTTAAGACACTATATAGTTTATCTAAATCAAGCACACTATGCCACGTGTCCACCTCCGACAATCCACTTTCGGTACTGCTCACCACCCATCGTCGGCCTATCGCCGTCGGTTAGCTACCACAGACGCCAACTTCCAGCCAATCACCGCCGGCTAGCTACCACAGACGCCAACTTCCATTCAATAATGTAAACAAAAACAAAAACTGTAAATAAAAACAGAAATTGCAAACAAAAACAAAAAAAGAAAACCAAAAAATTCATGCCAATAGCTAGTAAGAAATAGCCAAAACCAATAAAATCATATAATCAAACTAGAAACTGCAATGTAGCACCTAGTAAGCCACATCCCAAAATACACCTATTAATAAGTGAGGAACTAAAAGGCAAAACCATGATGAAAGTATTAGAAAAATCAACTTATAAAAACCAAAAAATAACTAGAAAATTCAAATAACAATTTGATCAAGAATATAAATACCTCAACAACAGAAAATCTAAGCTTCACATCAAAACATGAATACTGCAATAGAAGAAGAAGATCCAAAAATGTACTGCAGTTTCTAGAAAAACCAAAATTTCTCATATTTAAGTGGGATTTAAAACAAAAACAATGTAGATATCAATGATGTAAACAAAAACAAAAATAAAAATAAAAACTACAAACTACAATTAAAAAAAACTAATTTCATAGAAACAAAAACTGCACTTCAAAGTATGGGAAAAATAAACATATTAATAAGTGAGGAATCAAAATGCAAAACCATGATGAAAGTACTAAAATGAAAACTGTAATATGCATTGCAGTTTTCATTATTCTGCATTGCAGTTTCTGATCAAGTTGCAACCACACTACCAAAAAAATAAACCAAAAATCAAATCCCTGATAAAAGTACTAAAATGGAAACGGAAACTGCATTGCAATTTCCGTTTTTCGCATTGCAGTTTCCATTTTCTGCATTGCAATTTCTGATCAAGTTGCAACACACAAACAAAAAAAAAAAAAAAAAAAAAAAAAAAAAAAAAAAACAACCAAAAAAAAAAAAAACAAAAAGAAAACATGCAACTAAAACAAAGTCAAAAAGACAAAACCATTGATGACATCCATTGATGATAACTTCCATTAACTTAAAAAATCATATCAATGACCAATGATAAAACAATTTAGTCGATTGTAATTAAATGGAACTGCAATGTAGTGTGTAAAACTGCAATCTAGTGAGTGCAAAACAGCAATGCAACACATGTTTAGAAATTCACTAAACTATCTCTAATATAAGCAACCGTAAATTGAAAAGGAAAAAAGACCTATTTTCTCTTTTTGGGTACGAGGAGACTAAAAGTCACTAAACCAAAAACAACAACGAAACGCAATACATACTAAATTTATTGCAAATACCTTCACTGCATTGAAACAAGAAGACTAATATATTGACAAAATTCTTTTCCTTCAAGCATTCTAAAAATCCATTCATTTTTAGACCAAAGATATGTTAACTTTTAAGACTTACCTTAGGATAATTTCACCAAAAAGTAAAATAAAAAATCCACATGTTCACCTGTTTTGATTTTAATTATGTGATGGTGGGGTAAAGTTCCCTATTGGCTTGAACGTCAACAAGTCAACTTTTTTTTGTGCATGAGCGTGCCACTGCTAGCAGTTTAAAACCCTAGCATACTTCTAAAAAATAGATAACTTGTGCCCAAGTTACTGATTCTTAAACAAGTAATTGTAAATTTGGGTGAGGAATATCTCCCAAGTAAGTTCTTTTCTTACCTTAGACTAGTGAGGAATTCACAATTTTTCATAGTACAAAATTGGTAGTTCTGGCCAAAATAGATGAAAAGAAAGCAAAACTGTTTAGACAGAACTGCCTATTACAGACCCAAAAGAGAAATGCCAACTCCAAAAAAGACAATTGAAACTTTGGACTTTGATTTCTGCCTGAGCAGCTGCTTCTGAACCGGATTGGACTGGATGTATTCGTCAACACCTTCAATGATGGATATCAGCTGGAAATCGATACCAACGTTTGAGTTTGACAGAGCTTTAATCTATTTCAAGCCCAGGAAGGCTTTTTGAAAGAGCAGAATTGGAGCCTCTTCAGTCCGAAGGGGCAGAAGTGGTTGGATAGATGATTACTGAGCTGGAGCCGTACTATAGTACCTATTCTGCTTGATCAGGGCTTTCCATAAATTTGTTGAGGTTTTCATCTTGTGAGAAATCAGACTCTACTTGACTTGGCTTGTGCTGAACCAAATTTGTAGTGAGAGAAATCACGCTTTGTAAAACTGCTTCCTTGAATTGAATTGAAATCAGAGATTTGAATTATAGCTGACTTGTTTCTTATGGTTCAATGAGCTTTCGTTGTTTCAGTGTTTGAAGGCTTTTGAGATCAATGGACCTTTTTGAGTTTGTCAATTGTGACTTTGTGTTGAGGCCCAAAAAATTCCATGGTTGGGCCCAAATAAATTTTCGGTCAAATACGATACTGTATTAAGAAAAGTCACATATCAGAGTACTTGAAGGCTCGTCATATACAAGTCATAGTCCATGTGCTATGCTAAATAAATAATTTGTCATGCGAAGGATTGAAATAATATTATAAAATACAAGCCCATGCTAAACTAAGCACCGTGTCCCTCTTCAAGGACAACAAAATTGAAGCACGCCAAGCGACATGCCACGCCAAGCAAGGAATTATTATTCCGCATCCCATCACGCCACAAGCTTAAGTGGGCCCCAAGCCACTTAAATACTCGGGGCTTGCTTGAGTGGTTTGTGGTATGGATGGTAATAAATCAACATGAGGCCCATTGATGGGCTGAGAAATGGAAAGTCTCGGGTTGCTTGGGTGCCTCAGGACTCAAGCCCATTTCTTAGGCCCAAATATGTGGGTGAGCACAAAAGAGGAAAAAATAGCCCAATAGCCCAATCAAAATAGCCTATTGACTCAACCAAAAAGCCCAACATTTAATAAAAATAGCTCACTTACTTAATGAACCACCTTGGCCCATGCAATTTCCACAAATGAGCCACAAAAGCCCCAACTCCTGGCTGGAAGAACAAAAGCCACAAAGAGAAGGTCTGAAGGTTCATTGAACAAAGCTGCTAGGAGGTTCCAGCACATGGGGGGAGCAAGTTTCAAAGCAAAAAACATTCGAGGAACCAAGGGATATTAGCATATAAGCTTACAGGAGGAGGAGCACCCTTCAAACCAGTATGTACACCCATTTGCTTTCCTTCATTAGATCTAACCAGGGTATGAGGAAGGAAAGAAGAAGAAAATTAGCTACGAATGGAGCCTCCCACTGAACAGCTGCGGGAAAGGGGGCCTTGAGCTCCCAAAATTCCTGATTTTGTGCAAATAGATAGAGGAAATTTCACCAAGATGGAAAAAGTCAAGGGAGGAGAGGAGATAGGAAGGAAAAGCTTGGCCAAGTTGGGAAGAAACCATTAGGGTTTCTTGGGAAAAGATGGTTTCTAGTGGCTATAAAATGAGGCCTCTTCTACCCAACATGACAAACCCACATACAGAGAGCAAGCTTCCTCTCTTACTTGCAAAACCCAGCAATTTCGTGCACTATTCACCATTCTTCCCCATTTTTCCTCTTCTGGTAGACCATTTTCACATCTGACAGAATTTATGTCAAGCTGTCGAAAGAACATTGTTCTTTCTTTCTCTCTTCTCAGCCAAATCTTCTTGCAAACCTTTTCTTTCTTACCTTAACACTCCCCTTTTTCTCCCAAGAAATCATAAGCCTCTCATGCCAAGCTAGAAAATTTATCTGTAAGCATCAAGAAATCATCTATAAGTTGCTGTTGTTTTGGTTGGTGAAGATAACTAAGATGCTTCCTAAGGCGCTACTACCCTTTTGAAGCATTTTTGGGGCTTGATTTTCGAACTCAGACATAGGGGACAATTTCATCAATCTGCCCCTTATGGCAGCCTAGCCTATTTACAACCGCCGGAAGAAAAAGTCCCCTACATAAATTGGCGACTTCATTGGCGATCTGGCCGTTATCTTCACCAATGCCTCCAAGAAAGAAGGCCAGAAGTAATAAACCTGAGAAAATAAAGAGATAAGAATATTCCCTCTTTTCTTTTCTTTTTTCCTTTTGTTGGCTATAACTTTGCAAAACAAACATGATATAGATTGCTCACATGCTCCCTTTGTTTGTGCCTTAGATCTCCGTTCTCAAGCAAAACAAAATCTTGTAAGAGGGCTGGGGGCTTTAGCAAATCCATCATTCATGCCTTTGAGCAAACTACACATGCAAACCACAAAATACTTGGGAGCTTCATGCCAAACAAATTTTTTCAAAACAAAGAAGAAGCCAAACACAAGCCAAGCATCTGATACAGAGAAGCCATCTTCTCTGGCCAATAAAAGAGACTTGGCTAACTCTAGAACAATATAGCCACATCTTGCACAAAACCACGCATGCGCTTCAACTCAAAATTGAACAAGTCCTCTCCGGAACACTGCTTGCATCGCCTCCCTGACTTTCTATGCCAATGGCGATTCCACAATCCACATGCTCTCTATTAGAGGCCAAAGACAAGAAAATCTTTTTTTTTTTCTTTCCTACCTTTTTAGATTTCACAATAAAATATATATTATCATGCCATATGCCATACTTGTAAAAGTAGCACGAGCATGTCATCTATTCAAATTTAAACATGTACTGATAAATTTTCTTTCTTTTATATATATATATATATATATCATGTTTTAGGCTAGTACCAACAGAGTGAAGTTGTACTATTTAGCTTCCTTTATTTCTTGTCTTTCACTTTGAAAGGAATACAAACACTAGGCATTTATACACTACCAAAAGCACAAGTATCACCACGTGCTTTAATAATTGCCAAAGCATCACATGCTTGCATATTACTAAAAGCTACTTATGTTGGTTTTAATATTGATGTGTGATTCATTCGTTAGTTAATGATGTTGGATGGCATCCATTTAAAATCGACAAATATTAATTATATTTGTTTACAAGCTGCAACACATATATTATTTTAACCACCATCTACTTTGGTCATGCAGAAATTATATATCTGTCAAGCACTCTGTTCTTCTAAAGACGATGAGTGCATTCCTCTACACCTCAAGCCTCAAGGAGCATGGGACCCTATGTTCATGTACCGATCAGCATCTCAACACGCTCGGTAGCACTAAGCCAAGCCAACAACAAAATTGTGCCATAGCAGGTGGTCTCAAGAGGAATCATGCCAAAAAGAAACAATCCATCTCCAAAATCATGTAACTCAAGCATTTCACTTGATGCTATCATTTCAAGCAAGTCAAACCAAATATCACAAGATCAAGCTTTTCAAGCAGCACAGTTACCATAAAAATGAGAACTTGGTATATCTAGCTGTCATAAGCACAGAGAAGAAGCCATGCTATCATGCCAAATTGTCAACATTGCAACAAAGGGATATCCTAAGTTCATCACACCATGCAATGACCCAAAAAAATACTCAGAAGGCCATGTTGCAAGAGTTTTCGCAGCTCATGCCAATCAAATCTTTTTCTAATGATTAGGGTGCACTTGGGGGGCTGAGGAAGGAATTCATTGCGATCAAAACCTCCAGGCCTTACAAGGTCCCTACTATAGAGGAAAAGAGTGATCATAGGTACTGCTGTTATCATCAGCTTGTGGGTCATCCAACCACTGCTTCTCAAACTTTGAGGAAGATCTTGCACGCCGAGATACATGACAAAACTCTTGAGCTGCCCTCTAGGAAGCAAGCTTTTGATGAAGACCCCTTACCAAAATGAAGGGGAAAAGAGATTTCTGCTGTCATTACATGCTATGATGACTTGCTCGACGATGCCGTATTGCGTCACCCATGAAAGAATGATCCAAAATCATCGGAGGATATTTGGAAACCTTGTGGAAATATGGAGAAAGCTTACTGTTGTAAATATTCAAAACCTTCAAGTTATAGCACCCCATGGCTACTTGCTAATAGATGGGAGAATGGTTCCAACAGCGAAGTATTCACATTGGACATGTTTGAAGAACACCACTCGGGGGCTTCATTTGGTCAGCAAGATTATCAAGAAACAACTACCGTAACTCTCATAACCTCACAGAAGTTGAAGAAAGTACAATGGGTTATGAGCTGCAAATCACTCTTTGATTAGAAGGGTTATGAGCCGCCTGGAAGTAAAGCAGCAATATGGCTCTGTTAAATATCTCTGCAGAGCATGGCAGCCTTGTACAACACATGCCAAATACATGCCAACCTCAGTCACAAGCTTTCATGCTATTGCAAATCATGCACACTCCTTAACCCTTTCATACTTGGGGGCTTGATTCAATTAGAGTATTCATCAATGCAAAGTGGCTCAAGCCTTACTACTGCTAAGTTAATCTTATGTCAAGCACTTTCATTTATTTCATTTCCTTTTGTTTTAAATATGAACTCCTTCAGCTTACCTTCATATTTTGAAAAAAAAAAACACTTTTGTATGATGCACCATCATGGTAGCAAGGGCTTTTGCAATGAGAATGAAGGATTATTTATTTATTTTTAAATGTGTATGGAGTTTTATTACCCCTTTATACATTTTAAACCCCCTTTACATAAAACAAAAAACATGCCACTTAGCAGTAAGACATGCCATGAAAAGTCACTTGGACGGGGTCCCGGACCAACAAGCACAATGCCTAAGCAAAATAATATGGGGCATGCATTCTTGAGTTGCTGGAACAACAAAACCATTGTCCCATTTTGATAAGCAACCTGAATATGCAAGACATCTGGGAATCTTACAAAACCTTGGCAAATGTGAATACTAGTCTATAGCCCTTTTTAGGCATGACAAGAAGGTGTTTTTCAGGCCCAGTGGTTAGATAAAATTTTGGCAGCATGTACCTTGTTTTAAGGATATCCAACTTGTCAAAAAAAATCAGTCAAGAAAAAGAACAAAATTTTGCCAACAACAAGCAATATATATATATATATATATATATATATGAGACATGCAGATTACAACCTGCCTCAAGCATTCAGAAATTAATACAAGCTCCGATGGTTCAATGCTACATTACAAAGTCATAACGACATAGTCGTTAGAGTGGCCAAAAAAAAAAAATACAGTCAAAGCAAGATAAAACTACACATGCTAAAGACCCATGCATCCTATGGTCTCAAAGGGAACAGAACCATGTGCCAAGATAATCGATCACCAAGCTAAGGAAAGACAACCTGCAAGAAGAAAGTAGGCATGTGTCAAGACTAAGTGATGTTGGAAGAAGTAGACCGATAAAAAAAAAAAGACAGAAAAGAAGAATTATGTACCTGGAGGCTATGAAAAATGCCCAAAAAGAACAGAGGAAGCCTTAGGAGATGATCTGGCTGCTGCCTCCGTCACACACTCAGCATTGTCAGCAGAAATACCCTTAATGTTCAAGGTGTCGGCAGCAGCTCTTACCTCGTCAGAACCCTGTGATAATTTCATGCTATGGATGGCCCGTGCTCCAAATACGGCACGTGATAGGTTCCTCACAAGGTTGAGGAGGAAATCCACATGAAATCCCACAGTTATGGCCTCGCATATCGCATCCCACCAACAAAGTAGTCTGTGATCGGTGATATCAAGGAACTCCATGGTATCTACCCCATGAAGCACCAAGCCAAGAGCTTGGAAGGCGGCACTTCTCAAGAAAGAGGGGGTGATCCCGGTGACCTCCATAAAACTCCCATATTGATCCATTAATTTCCTCAAAACCGCGACTGTCTCTGGATACACAAAGGCACCTTGAAAGGGTGCGGAACCATCGAACCTGTAACAGAGCAGAAACAACTCATCGATAGATCGGAGGATCTTAGCACCACCATCAAAGAAGGCTTTGAACGCCATGAATGAATTCTCCCGATCTTGCCAAGACATGCTTTTCTCTGATAAATGCCCCACGGAGATGGAAGCATCACCGTCCTTATGGCTATCATCAATAATCTCACCACGAGGCGGCACTGGATAAGTAGGAGGCAGCACTGCTGGAAGCTGTGGAGAGGTGCCGGTAGCTGTGTCGGATGTGACTAGGAAATGAGGAGTAGGAGGCAGCACTAATGGAAGCTGTGGAGAGGTGCCGGTAGCTGTGTCGGATGTGACTAGGAAATGAGGAGTAGGAGGCAGCACTAATGGAAGCTGTGGAGAGGTGCCGGTAGTTGTGTCGGATGTGCTTAGGAAAGGAGGAGCAGGAGGCTGCGCTGCTGAAAGGCGCAGGGCAGTGTCGGTAGCTACGCTGGACGTCCCAAGAGAAGGAGTAGGAAGTGTATCCTCCGCAACTTGTGAGATGCTCTCAACTTGAAAAAAAAAGAAAAAAAAGAAAAAAAAAAGGGAAGGTCATGCTATGAAGGAAAATCATCCCAACCCTAGCACTATTTGAAGAGAGTGTATGTGTTGGGGTGCTGTGAAAGAAAAATCAGATCACATAAGAAAGGTCTTGTGGAGGTAGAAAAAAATGCAGAGGCAATAGGACAAACACTTTTGTGATCCTGTAAAAAAATTGGCAGCATGTACCTTGCACCTACCACAGCCCAACATGTTAAAATCTCAAGCAACTCATACATTTTAACCAAGCAAAGTGTACAGAACAAGCTGGACATCATTATCTCAATGCATTCCAAACCTCAACAATTCATGCATTTCATTATTTCCCACCAAACAAAGAGTACAAAATAGACTGAAGCTTAATATCTCAACCATTCTACATCAAAAGTTATGACAGAAAGTATGCAACAATGTTGTGTTTCGAGTTTCCAACAACATGAGATTTAGGCTCTCCCAAAAAGAAAAAGAGGTACAACTCAAGCCCAAATGCAGCCAATTGTGCTACAGATCAATACACCCCGCGGTTTCAAAAGCAAAAGCTACTACGCACTAAGCCAGTCAGCCCCTACAACAAAGAAATGTAACTTGCAAAGTGAAATAAGGACAGGTGTTAGAGAAAGATGGTGCTGGAAGATATGCTATTTCTATTAAAAGAAAAAAAAATTATATATATTACGGTACGAAGAAGGAGAATCGGGTACCTCAACTAGATCACGGTGCATGACTAAAACAGAATAGAAGAAGTGTTATGAGATGATCCTTTCGATGTTTCCACCATGCACCAAGCGCCATTACCAGTAGCTCATTCGTGAAGGAGAAGGTCTCGTAGCTTACGGCACTGGCATTCCAATTTGTGTCTTTTAAGGCTCAATGTATTTACGGCAACTCTTGCTTAAGGGGATCGGGCATGCATCTTTATGCTACAAGCAGCTCATGCTCTACAAATAATGTGTCATATAACTTCTTCAAAGTATTAAGTGAGAAGTCCACACGAGGTTCTAATAAGACACTTGCTTAAACCCTTTAAGCACGCTACTCCTTTCATAATGTTGTAGGGGTATTGAAAAAAAAATTCAAGGGGCCGTCAGAAACATGTCTTTCTTCTATATAACACCTGGAAATGAGAGTAGCTTCCTAAGCTTACTTAGTGCCTATGATCGAGTCTTGGCAAGTGTTTCTAAGCAATGAAGGTAGTCGTCCATTCTTCAACCCATCGTGCAAGGGGAAATAAGCCACCACTGATCACAGAAGTCATTGTGACTTATTACGTGAATTCCTGCAAGAATTGCCAACAAAGAATATTCTGCAAAAGGGCAAAGTATCTTTGTGTTAGAGCCAAGAAATCTCCACACTAGCATGCAAGCCATATGAACTTTACAGGCTAAGCAAAGCAAGCTATCTCATGCCAAGCGAAATGCATAAACAAAAAAAATTCAAAGCATCATGCAATCTATTACTTGAGCTCATGACAAGCAAAGTTCCCATTCCATGCTCAATCAATCATTCCAGCAGACCCTTTCACAAAGCAAGTGTTACAAACCGAACACTACTTACCTCATAGTAACCTTTTTCCCAAAATCAAAAACAAAATCCCTATGAGTTACACGGCATTCTTGCAGACCCATCATACACATGTTTATATCTATCCCTATAAAGCCAACAAAAATAAATAGTTATCCATGTCCAAGCACTAAGCTCATAAAAAGAGACAAATAGTGCTTACCTCCAGCTTTCGACAGCCTCTAATCTTATGTATTAATCATGCAATTACAAGCATACGCTCTTGATGCATATAGTTCAATCAAAAAAGGTGGTCAAGAATGTAGCACACGCAAAATATATGCCAAGCATGGCAAGTCAAGCTCACGCCAAAGAAAACGCTTAAGCAAATATCAAAGCAGCATGCAATTTATCCATGGCAAGCAAAATTCTCAAGTAATTCCCATGACAAGCAAATTCTCCCTCAAAATGCAAAAAGATTCAAGCATTGCAGAGCATGCATTCTATATTTCCACAAGATGGGAGAAAAGTCCAGATTTAATCAAGCGTGTGTTCACAAGAAAAACAAGCCTAGGCCAAGCACCAGTCTATGCTTATTCAAATTGGCAGAGTCACTTACTGAAAGACTAAAATAGAGGCCCAAAAATATGAACTAGAAGGCTGGAGGATTCGAAGGTTCCAGCAACAAAAACGTCAAAGCTTCCAGCACTTGCCTTCCCCTACCTGTGCCAGAGACGTATACACCTACATAGAAAAAGTGCATCGTGCAAAGTTCAGCCTTTTCACCAGCTCAAAAAGGGCCAACACATGATAAAAGGGGGGAAGAAAAATGGAGAAAAGAAAAGGATGCAATCCATACCAATGATTTGTTCTCACAAAGTTCGCACTCTTCCAGCAGCTTGCAAAAAGAAAGAAATCAAAAAGAGGATAACCCCAAAAATTGATGCAGACCCCTTCCTTGCTAACGATTACTCCAACGAAAGGTGGATGTGTTGAAATGAGTGGGTGCTTGGCTGCCAAAACAAAGAGCAAAACTCATGGGCATGAAGAACCCAATGAACCCTTCAATAGATTCAAGAAATTGCAACAGAAAATGGCATACCTTGTTAATCCTCTCAAAGGATAGCCTCAGGTGCACCAAGAAAGAAGGAATTGGGAATTTTGGAAGAAAATTTTGCACAAAGACAATCTCTTCCAGCAACGGCAAGCGGGTTTCTTCCTACAGGGGAATGACGGAGTCAGATTTGGCTCAAACTCAATTCCAGCGGCTAAAAAGAGGTGGTTGTTGCCCGATCTCACTCTCTCTCTCTGTCTCACTCCGAGTTCGTTGGAAGAAGAAAAGGAGAAAGAAGAGGAAAGTGGTAAAAATAGGTTTACTCTAGTGTGCGTAAAGCAGAAGGAAAAGAAGGAAGAAATAATGAATGAAAAAGAAGGAGGAAGTTAGCATCTGGGAAACCACAAATAGCTGCTAGAGCTTATGAATTTGATTTTTGGGCTGGGTTTAATTATTCGGCCCATTCCAGCACTTATCCATGGCCCTAATAATTAAGGAGGCTAATGTAGAGGCCCAAAAAAGTCCATGGTTGGGCCCAAATAAGTTTTCGGACCAATACGATACTGTATTAAGAAAAGTCACACATCGGAGTATATGAAGGCTCGTCATATACAAGTCATAGTCCATGTGCCATGCTAAATAAATAATTTGTCATGCCAAGGATTGAAATAATATTATAAAATACAAGCCCATGCTAAACTAAGCACCGTGTCCTTCTTCAAGGACGATAAATTGAAGCACGCCAAGCGACATGCCACGCTAAGCAAGGAATTATTATTCTGCACCCCATCACGCCACAAGCTTAAGTAGGCCCCAAGCCACTTAAATACCCGAGGCTTGCTTGAGTGGGTTGTGGTATGAATGGTAATAAATCAACATGAGGCTCATTGATGGGCCGAGAAATGGAAAGTCTCGGGTTGCTTGGGAGCCTCCGGACTCAAGCCCATTTCTTAGGCCCAAACATGTGGGTGAGCACAAAAGAAGAAAAAATAGCCCAATAGCCCAATCAAAATAGCCTATTGACTCAACCAAAAAGCCCAACGTTTAATAAAAATAGACCACTTACTTAATGAACCACCTTAGCCCATGCAATTGCCACAAATGAGCCACAAAGGCCCCAACTCCTGGCTGGAAGAACAAAAGCCACGTAGAGAAGGTCTAAAGGCTCATTGAACAAAGCTACTAGGAGGTTCCAGCACATGGGGGGAGCAAATTTCAAAGCAAAAAACATTCGAGGAACCAAGGGATATTAGCACGTAAGCTGCCAGGAGGAGGAGCGCCCTTCAAACCAGTATGTACACCCATTTTCTTTCCTTCATCAGATCTGGCTAGGGTATGAGGAAGGAAAGAAGAAGAAAATTAGCTAAGAATGGAGCCTCCCACTAAAAAGCTGCAGGAAAGGGGCCTTGAGCTCCCAAAATTCCTGATTTTGTCCAATAGATAGAGGAAATTTCACCAAGATAGAAAATGTCAAGGGAGGAGAGGAGATAGGAAGGAAAAGCTTGGCCAAGTTGGGAAGAAAGCATTAGGGTTTCTTGGGAAAAGATGGTTTCCAACGGCTATAAAATGAGGCCTCTTCTACCCAACATGACGAACCCACACCCAAAGAGCAAGCTTCCTCTCTTACTTGCAAAACCCAGCAATTTCGTGCACTATTCACCCTTCTTCCCCATTTTTCCTCCTCTGGCAAACCACTTTCACATCTGACAGAATTTCTGTCAAGCTGCCGAAAGAACATTGTTCTTTCTTTCTCTCTTCTCAGCCAAATCTTCTTGCAAACCTTTTCTTTCTTACCTTAACACTCCTCTTTTTCCCCCAAGAAATCATAATTTCCTCTTCAGTGCTAAACTCATGCTTATTTTGCTTCCATGCCACAAGCCTCTCATGCCAAGCTAGAAAATTTATTTGTAGCATCAAGAAATCATCTGTAAGTTGTTGCTGTTTTGGTTGGTGAAGATAACCAAGATGCTTCCCAAGGCTCTACTGCCCTTTCGAAGTATTTGTTGGGCTTGATTTTTGAACTCAGACAAAAGGGACAATTTCATCAATCTGCCCTTTACGGCAGCCCAGCCCATTTACAGCTACCAGAAGAAAAAGGCCCCTACACTTTGAGAGTTTTTGTGTGGATTGATTTTTTTGGTTGTCCTTCATCTGTTCACCCTCTCTCTTATTTTATAGGAAATGTTGGAGTGAGATTTTTAATCTTTGAATAATGGGTGGCAAATCTTTTCAAAAGATCTTTCTTTTTAATTGCCACAAAAAGAGGAACTTATCTATTCTGGCAGAGAAGAACTATCAACAGTCAGTTCCCATGGTGGTCTTTTCCGTGCTTTTCCCAAAAGAAAAATCAACTCCTTTTGCTCTCTTTCTCCCTACTTATCCTGCTTATCTCTTGGAAAGGTAACCTTCTTTGGTACAGAGCTTTTCTATGTACAAAAATGGATTTTGATCTTCTTCCTTTGGCTACAAAGATTGGAGAAGTTCTCTTGTAAGACCTGCCTTCATTAACTCCCTATCAACTCCTCTGTGATAGTTGAAAATTTTGACTTTTTCAAAGTTAGGAATTCACGTGGGGGCTTCCTTGAGAAAAAGATCTGCTGTTTTTGCTTTTTGGGATAGAGACCAAGTGGTGAGATCTTCTCAAAAGCTGGACTTTTATCCAAAACTGTGTGTATCAGTTCTTTAATTGCAAATAATAGTATTTTATTCTTTTCATATCATGGCTACATTTTTAGTTTATTCAAAAGGGTCTGGGCTTTTCTAGTGTCTTGGTTTTTTTCTTTTGATTCCTGTAGATGAAAGCCCAAATTTTTGGTTCATGAGCCTCTCAACAAAAATGGCCTGGTGTGCAGAATTTTGCCCCAAACACCACAATAAAAAGAAAAAACTATTGCAAAGTATGGGAAAAAAGAAATATATTAATAAGTGAGGAACCAAAACAAAAAACCATGATGAAACTACTAAAACGGAAACGAAAACTGCGGCAGTTTCCATTTTCTGCATTGCAATTTATGATCAAGTTCAACCACACTAAAAAAATAAAATAAATAAATAAACCAAAAAGCAAAGCCATCATGAAAACAAGCAACTAAACAAAGTCAAAATGACATATTCATTGATGACAATTGTATAATTTCCATCAACTTCAAAAATCATACCAATATCCAATGATAAAACAATTTAGCCAATTGTAATTAAATGAAAACTGCAATGCAACACTTCTAAAAATTAACTAAACTATCTCTAAACTAGAAATCTTCAAAGCACAACTCTACTGTCAAAGGTATTGTTTTTCCAAAAAATATTCAGTTATTAAGGTTTTTAAGACAACAAAAATGGCCATAAGCCAAATCTGACATGCTTTTGTGGTTCACTACCAGCATTCTGTAAACCATGATATGCCTTTTGACAGCATTTTTCTTGAAATATAACAAACGGAAGGAAGAAAGTTTCATCTAGGAGAGAAACTCTTGAGTTTTAAATGCTTTTAAAATCCCTGACTAACCACCAATCCCTCTCTGAAGTTTGGGGCACGTTGAAGTAAAAACCTCGAGTCACAGATGCTACTGCTAGATTGGACCCCCCCAACAGAAACAACACAAAAATAGAAAAAGTTTTACATCTTCCAATTAATCTGGCAAGGTTTAGTCACGAAAATGGTATCACAAGAAATATTTGAGCCAAGCCATACCATTGTATCCATGGGATATGGGTTATCTACAACATATTTGCATCTTGAGATAAATAGTCATTTGATACCTCCCACTGAGAAGGAGATGATAAGGCACAATAAGATTCCCCAAAATGCTAAGAGAAAAATATTTGCATTATGTACTACATGAAACCGAATGAAGAAGGAAAACTACAAACACGATGCTTACCACGTTAGACAACAGGTCTCTTATGCTATACATGGAATTCAGCATTGTTTCTAGAGTATTATAAGCTAATTCAAACTTCACTTCCGATTCTTTTGAGCGCAACTGTAAATCATTTAGGAACTGCAGAAAGAGCAGTTATAAGTTATAGTATAAGCAAATAAAAATGACATATTTTCACCACATATACAAATAACACCACATTCACAAGAAGTTATGTTGGTTTTCCAGTACCTTCAAGTTGATAACAGCCACAGGGTCTGCGAATTCTGCATCCGGATTCACCATGTCCCATGTCATTGTCTTTAACCGTGGCAAAGCACCCTATTTACATCATTGAGTTTACATATACAGAATGTCATTAGCCTAATTTCCTACTCCCAGTAAATCAATGATTTTACGTACAAACGCAGGAAAATATGAAACTTCATACCTCTAACCTGGTCCTTGAGTACATTTTGCCGCCATTCTCATTGAAACTTCCGCAACAAAAGCGTCAACAGTCTCTATAACTCAGGTAAGACCTCACTGGGAAACAGCTTCTGAATCTCATCTCTCCCGATGTTATCGTAAACCAGCTGCGAATCAACATGCGAAGGCATACAAAAAGTTGTCCCCCCCAAACCTAGACATTTACAAATCCCTTCAAATGAAATTCAGCAACAAATTCCCAATAAAAAGCGATAAATTCATAGAAATTCGTAATTCAAAACACAAGAGAGTGAGAGTGAGAGAAGTGTACCAGGTCGAGGTCCGTTTCATTCTGGAGCATATCTCAGATAATGTCTCAGTCGACCGAGTCAAGACCGGTTTTTCAGGTCCCCCAAAGAGCCTGAAGAATGAACTCAACCGAATCTTTCGAATTGGACCCAACCAATAGCGGTAAATGGCTCCATAGCGTCTGCCCCATGGCTTGTCAAGCTCAGAAATAGATGCCCTAACTTCTCAACTTCAGAAAATGGTGGGCTAGCAAAAGGTCCAGTGACTCCCTTTGCTTCCACTTCTTTCTGATTGAAGAGAAGACGAACACCAAATGATGTGACCTGTGCCGTTTGGATTGAAGGGAGGGTGTCGTTGCATTGACGTTGGAACGAAGAAGGAAGATGAGAGGGAGAGGGCATCGTCGTCGATGGAGTGAATAAGGCCCAGTTTGGGATTGCTGTCACTTTTAAAAAAAGTTGCTTCTGCTGTGCTTTGAAAATAATTAGTTGTAAAGTAAAGCAGCTCAGTGTTTGGTAAACAATATTTTTAAAGTGCTGTTAGTACAAAAAGCAGTGTCAAAATCGTTTGGTAAGTTTTAATATAAAATTGTTGTAACTGTGAATAATGACTAAAATAGACATGATTTAAAAGTGCTATGTAGTAATCATGTGGTAGTAGTGGTAGTGATGGAATGGAGGTGGTGGTGGTAGGGATGGCGCTTGTGGAGGTGGTGGTGATGACAACATGGTGGTGGTGGTTGTGGAGGTGGTGGTGGATGTGGAGGTTTTGAAGGAGGTGGTGGTTGTGGTGGTGGTGGTGGTGGTGGTGGTGGAGGTGAAGGTGGAGTTGGTGGTGGTGGTTGTGGTGGAGGTGGAAGTGAAGGTGGAGTTGGTGGTGGTGGTGGCGGTGGCGATGGCGGTGGTTGTGGAGGTAGTGAATGTGGTTGTGTAAGTGGTGGAGTTGGATGTGGAAGTGGAGATGGTGTTATTTTTTAAAATAAATGATGGTATTTTGGGAATTAAAAAATTCATTAAAGGTTCATCTCTGCTTCTTTTGAAAGCAGCTTTGAAAAGCAAAGCATAGCCTACTTTTAAAAGCTGCTGTCAAAAGGCCACTGCTTTTAAAATAATCGAGATATTTTATTTTTACCAAACACCTAAAACTGCTTAACTTTAAAATGAAGCAGGTTTTTGGCGAAAAAAAGCAATCCCAAACGGGGCCTAAGAAAGAGGAGAGAGAGAGGGGCTAAGATCTGGTTTTAAACAAAAGGGTAAAATTGTATTTCACATTTATAATTTAGACAAGCCCAAATTCGTTGGGCCTCCTCTTTGGGCATATTCAAAACAGAATTTGATTTATAGGTATTAAAACCCAAATAGAAATACTCTATGTCTCAAATCCTAATTAGTAAAGATTGTTATGTCTAATACCTAACTTTTTAGGAAAAAGACAATGGCGTAAGTACAAAATTTGAAAACGCAGAATTACATTATCATCATTTCTTGAAAACAAATTAAAATATATCGCTACTTACTTCCATGCCTCTCTCATCTTTCTCTTTAATTTATCTGTAATTTCTTAAAATTGAAAAGGATTGTATATCCATTACTCATTGGTTACATATAGTTCTTGCAGCCATCCAATTCAGTACCACAAATATTTGTGCTCATTATTGATTTTTCTTGTAGCGCTCTGATAAATAAAATTAAAAAAAGGGAAATTGGCGGCTTTGCCCCTACCGTAACTAATTTATTCAATAATATCCCCATTTTGAAATCTAATCACAAATACCCCCTATAAAAACTCCCTATTGACCGTCTATTGCCCATCTATCATTCTTTTTTTTCTTCTTAATCGTTGCTCTTCTTCTTCCTCTTCTATCTAGTCTCTTCCTCTTCTTCCTTCTGCCAAACCTCACAGGAATCCACCTCCACCACAGAATCTCGCTTAATTCAATTTTCTCTTAGTTATATCTTCAAACTAGGAGCTAATTTGAACCTTAAGGTTGAACCCCAAATTCGGAATCGAACCCTAGCCAAGGTGTGACTCGCCACCTCCGTCGTTGGCCTCCATAACGAAGCCATAATCGTGACTCTCCACCTTCTTCGTCGACTTCCACCACAAACCCACAACACCTTCATCTTCGATCTTCACTGTGGTGAGTTCTATATATTTGTTTGTTTTTTTTTTTTTTTTTTTTTTTTTTTGTTGGGATTGATGATTATTGGGTGATTACTTTCATTATTTTGAATGAAACATTAATGGGTTTCTGTTGTGGTTTGTTTGCTGTTTCTATGATTGAATGAAATTTACCAACTATTTCCTGTGGTTGTCAAGCTCTTGGACTTGGATACATTGTTTGTACTTATGATTTGTCTCTAAAATCATGCATATACTGGTTTGTGATTGAGACTTGGACTTGCAGACCTCCTTGAAAGTGGTATATTCACTCTTTTGTGATTGTGATTTGTCTGTGAAAGCACTTAGGTGATATATCAAATTAGGACTTCTGGCTTTTCTGAGCAACCTGTAAGAATACATATAAAATTCATAGATGCACTTTGAAATAACAGTAATGTGGGTTTTAACCGTAAGAAACCAACATCATAATTTGAAACCAGTAGCACCACCAACAATTGCAAGATTCGCATCATTTACTTCTTTTGAAAGTGATTGGAGAGTTTGTGAGTTTTATGAGAATGCCAATATTTTAACATACGTTTGATAGTGTAAAGTTGGCTTGTGTTGGATATTTGTTTTCTTTATTTTTTTTGTAATTCAATCTTGGATCTGTTTTTGGTGCGGTCTACAATCCTCAAGGTTGGTATCATGCCAAGGTTGTGTTGGTGCCGTAAAAAGGGTTCTTGAAAAACTTGAAGGTTTGTTGATAGCTCTTGCGTTTATCTAGTTCCATTGTCTTGCTGTTCTTCTTCTCTGAGACTGTGCTTCTTTAACTATTCGAACAATGCCAAATGCACTATTGATGATTTCCTGATTTCCTGATTTGTATTTTTACTTGCCTGCTAGGATACACATTCACTTCACCCATGTTTATAATTACTTTTATATTGCAACTGAGTAGTATGAAATTGTTTGCATGAATGTGAACTTTAATTTTGCAATGGTACTGTCTTGTGAAAGCTTGCCATATAAAGAATTGAGTCATTTAGAAAAGCCAAAAATCTATATGAATTTTGGTATTGGTTTCTGTTTTGAAATTCAATTGTGATTAAATGTTATGTTTTTGTTTCCATTGTGATCATGATTTACTTCTAATATGCATTTTTTATCCGTTTTATACAGATAGAAGATTGTCTTGTTTCAAGTGGCGGCATTCTTTTGGGGAGGAAATTGCTAACTTTCAGCTTAAATTAGGGTCTAAGAGGACATGTCCTAGAATTTTGCTGATAGATATAAATTGTGTTAAAATTCCCGACCAAGTGGAGGTGTAAATTTTTTGATTTTTGCCACTTTCTTATATATATCTTCAGATGTAATGAGATAACATTGTTAGTTCATCAATTTATGAAAGTCAAGTTAGAAGGAAATTTGTCAATCTCTAATTTCCATGGTTTTATCGTTTCCCTTGACAAAGAAGAAAAAAAATACAAATGTAACCAAATAAGTGATTTAATTGGCAAATGCCATGACAGATATGTATTGCACATGTATAGCCCCTTATAGCTTGTGTATTGCCCTCGTATATCCTCTCTTTTTTTTCTTTTTTTTTCAAGTTTGTTGTAATAAATTTATAAGGGGAGCATGAAGTTTGTGTACTGCTACTGTATTATTGCGTGTGTATTACTACTGTATTGCTTACATAGTAGGGAAATTGGGAAATTATGGGTGTAAGAATGTGATTTCATCAAGGACGTCACATCTTTTTTTTTTTTAAACACGTTATATACATTTGGTGTATATTGCATGTATATTGCTAGTATATTGTCTGTATATTGCTTGTTTATTGTTTGTCTATAACCATTTATTGCCTTTTATTGTCATTGCATTGTATGTTTATTGCCAATTTATAGCTTGTGTCATTTTTTGAGAAAAAAATTAATATAAACTCTTGTGGCTTTTAATGCCTTTATATTGCCTCTGTATATGGCTTGTATTGCATAGGTGTTGACCCCATATATGGCTTGTATTGCCTATGTATTGTGCAAATAGGAGGACTCCCAAACAAATTAATGAAAAAAATAGCAAAAACCAATTAATTAGTGGCAATAAGAACGCAATAGGAGGTTATATAGTAGCAATACTAAGGCAATATGAGGCTATACAGTAACAATACAAAAACTGTAATAGTCCATCTTATGCGGGAAATGCTGGGCAAAACACAATGTATATAATGTTCTCTCTTCAATGCATAATATAAGTAAAAGTATTTTTTCCAAAAGCAAAATATCTAGGTCCAATCGAAATAAAAAAAAAAAAAAAAAAAAAAAAAAAAAAAAAAAAAAGAGATGGAATGAGAACAAAACAATACAAACAAGGTCCTCTTTGTTGTGCAACAACAATTTCATCAACAAATATTCATTTTCGTGGCCTTCTTTACAAAATAGCAAACTCATGAAGCACCAACACCAACAACAACCAAAGGTTAAGTCAATAAGCCTAGCAATAACTCATAGGTAAGCCTAAATCTAAAACACGGAATGATGATGGTTGTCATACTACAATGCCTTTGTACACTCTTCCTGGTCATCAAAGAACTCTTTTTTCTCACTTATAACTTATATGGTTTATGGCATCTGCCATCAACAACCTACAACAATGAAACATAATTTTAGAAAGAGAAACAAGGAAGGTTATAAGAATTTTAGAACAATTCCAGAGTGGATTGTGGAATGAACAAAGCAGTCTTGCAATTGGTGAACCCATTATCCATTATCCAATTCCTCTACAAGCACAATCTAATTTTGAAAAAAGTGTTCTACATTCACTACTACAAAAAGTGACAAAGACGACCAGAAAAAAAACGACGGTCTAAGTGAAAACCGTCGTTGTTTTTTAAAAGACGACGGTTCTATAAAACCGTCGTGTAATAACACCTTAGACACCTAAAAAATGGAGATTCAAATGGTTGTTCATAAACAACGACGTACCTAATTAAAAAACCGACGTCTATTTGAAACAGGATTTCCGCAGTGTAAAATCAAAGCAAATAAAGAACGGCAGAAGTTATGAATCGACCGACGTAGAAAGTAAAGACGACGATTTCAAAAAAAGCCGCCGTTTTTACGCAGAAAATAACACGACCAAGTTTTCGTATAAGGCGCCATATAATTACAAATAAATCCACGGCGGTAAAATACAAAATATCGCCGTATTAAATTAATGTACAACGACGGAAAATAAAAATATATCGACGTCTTTCTTGTATAGTTCTACGACGGTATCTTTAAATCTCACCACGTTTGTTTTTCATTTAACGACGTATTATAAAATTTAACGTCGTATTTATTCCCTTTATACGTCATACCTTATATTTAAACCGTCGTCTTAATACGAATTTTTTTTAACAATTTATTTCTTTGATTTTGTTATCATACGTCATACTATATGTAAAGATGACGCTTTTTATAAAAATAAAAAAAAACGTCGTCTATTATATGTAAAGATGACAATTTTTATAAAAACCGTCGTCTATTATGTGTAAAGATGATGATTTTTATAAAAACCGTCGTCTATTATATGTAAAAATGACGATTTTATAAAACCGTCGTCTATTATATGTAAAGACGACGATTTTTATTACAAACCGTCGTCTATTATATGTAAAGATGACGATTTTTTTAAAAACCGTCGTCTATTATGTGTAAAGATGACGATTTTTTTAAAAACCGTCGTCTATTATATGTAAAGATGACGATTTTATAAAACCGTCGTCTATTATATGTAAAGATGAAGCTTTTTATAAAAAACCGTCGTCTATTGTATGTAAAGAT